AGCGCTTTGACGATTGCCTGCACCTCGTCATTAAGTGGTTCGCAGTTAACAGGGAGGGGTAAGCATAGCTGAGGGAAACGCATCATCATTAGCAGTATAGCAATCAATAGTACATTCTGGATAGCAAGGACATTGGCTTAAAGCGTAGCTTTATCTCCATCACTCTCGGCCGCTATAATTCGTTCACGAAGGAGCAGTAGTGGCTCTTTGATCCTTTTAACAAATTTCCAAAGGAGAAGTGACTGCTGCCGGATTCTGATATTCGATGCAGTTTGCTCTCCCATTATTGTTAAAATGGGCCATTAGATTTTTTCTAGTCGCCTTTGAAGTCGATTAAGCGCAAGTTTATCTTCGGCGTTCTGCGACAACACATGGCTACCCGAATAAGACGTCGATGTTAGCAGATAAGTGCCGACCGGTGCGGTACGTGACTTCACGAGTTGTCGTGGCAATAATGTGAACCATGTTCAGTGCGATTCGAAAACGGCGACAGCATTATCAAGCAGAGCGGGCATGGACAGTAATGACAGAGACGGCGACAGCGTGATTTCTAAGACATTAATTTATCTGTTCCAGTTGGTAAAAATACGTGTAATGGTCTTGGTGTGTACTTCTCATCCCCTAAATCGAGAATAACTAGGAGGTGTACGGTGGGCAGTCAGTGGAGCGCTTCAATTGACGTAGAGAGACGTATATCTTTAAGTATGGCAATATCTCGTACGTCTATTTTGCCTGTATTCGCCAAGTGTGATGATTACTGGGGAGCTAGCACGCACAGCCCGTGGTCATTCGAGTTAGCGACTCGGCGGTTCCATGGTGGGTGCTCGCAAATAAGATTTCCCCACCAAACAGCAGAAGGGGGGCTCCCAAGAATGGCGTCCAAATAGGAGGGCGGAAGTAGCTTCCAAGAGAATTTTGTAGACAGCAATTACAGACATGGTCCCTGGTCGGTCATACATTGGGAAATTCCTACTGTCTTAACGCTTTGTAGAGCTGGCATAGATATCGAACGATGTCGAATACTCCGTTTCACCAAGCTAGCCACCCCCCCCCCCGACGTGTGCATCAATTCTGGCTTGGCAATAAGTAACAAAGTTGCACAAATTAAATACAACGTTAGGAAGGAGGTACGTCTTGTTAATGGCGCACACATCATTTCTTTCTCGCAGTAACAGATCCTGAAGCTCGTGCTTCTTACTCTGAAAACCATTTGCGTTCCAAAATAGGAGTCGAATGTGGCGGTGGGTCTTTGGCTTAGAAACCGTTGCAAACATATCCCAGTCCTTTCACAGTTTCAAGCATTCTGGGTAACATCGTCGTTAAAAATTGCTAACATCTGCCGTATTGTCGGCTGCGACTGTTCAGCTTAGCAGTAGAAGCATGACCAGGGGCTTTAGAACCTCATGGGATATTGGACAAATCTTGATGAGGTTTTGTCCTCAAACGAGAAGCGTAAGAGACCCTCGGGTATCAGTATTGTTTGTAGTTGGCGCCAACAAAGTAAACTTTGCGGGTTAGCTGACTGCCTAACGCGGATAATATTTGAAGCCTTGATAATTAGCGGCCTATGCCTCGCCACAATTCGCAAAATCTAGCAGGCGAGTCTCTTTGATTTAGTACACTCGACGGAAATAACACTCCCCGTATTTAATGCAGCGAGATGCCGCAGCCAAAAAGCTTGCATCCTGGCCAAAGGTTTGGCAGCAGTGTCACCGGTCAACGCGACTGCTTTTTCGAAGTTCTTCTATTTCTGAAGATGGGAAATAGTCTTCGTCGCTTTGCTCTAGGTAGATGCACCAGCACCGGTGGTAACGGACTCTTCTTCCGCTCGCCAATGGTGGTGTGCCCTCTGTGTGCATCCGTGCCACTCGGAAGTGTGTGAAGCCTTGCGCGCGCAGGACCGCCTCAGCCATGGAGATATCGAGTTCGCAATAAATTCCACGAATAACAAATTTTTGTGGTTGATCTTCAGGTAATCAATAGGTAAAATGTTGTAATTCATGCTTGCGCATTATCGCTGTGATCGCACGGTATTCTTGAGCTGTTATCGGAAATTTTTAATTCCGAGACGCGTGTCTCTTGACCTCGGAATCATGGCACTGTTGGATTGAAAAAGTTGTAAAAGGAGCCACTTTTGTTTTCGCAAAGGGTAATAGGAGGGATTTTCTCTTTATGAGTTCGCAGGGGACGTTCTGTAGTAGATGGTCTTTCTTTTAACAGAGGGAGAATGTTAGAAGCGCTGTCCATCTCCATGTCTACGGTGTCTTGTAAAAATTTTCTGGGCTACTCTGGGTCTCTTAATTTTCAGGTTGCCTTTACCCTTAATGGGGGAAGCTTACTACTATCATTACTATTAATAATATTTCTATTTTTATTACTGGATATATATTTTTATTGCCATTAGTGTTCTTGCTAACTATTATATTATTATTAATGACTCCAGTACGAGGACTATTAGCCATAAAGTTATTGCTACTATCACTATTTTCCTTAATAGTAGCTATTTCCCCGTGTCTAGACCCGCCTTTTGTAAATTTTAAAGTCTTGCTATCTTCCAGTACCACTTCGGAAGCATCTGGTTGATCTAGAATTTGTAAGGCCGAAAATACGTTATTACTGTTAGTTGTATTATCGAAAGGCTCCTTTCACCTTTTAGACTTTTTCTCGTCCTGAGTATTTTTAGTAACTTCAAGAAGTTCGGCCTTTGTGGAATCTAACTCTTTCTTGAGTTCTTCATTAATAGCCAACAAGTTAGCACTGAATGCTCTAAGTTCTTCTTCAGAGGGCAGATGCATAAGTAATATAAAGGTAGAGGTTAAAAGGAAGAAAAAATAATAATTAATATATAATAGATATAAGATCTGTAATATAAGTTCAGTAGATATAATTTATGCAATTTAAATTTATAAAATGTGTAAGTATATTTTGAATAAATCGCTAAATAAGTGAGTTAAAGAAATATCACAAATTCCAATAAAGTTAGGTGCGCGGGCCAAAATTACAACCTGGGGGTTAGAGCAAAAAAGTAGTTAAATATGCCTCTTCCTATCTATCCATGGCTGCATGCTAGTTTAGGGGTTTTAGACTATTAATAACCCCCCTCACGGAAATATAATATTCCCTGGGTATTAGTAATTCTTTGTAGTCGTCACAGCTGTTACCCGAAATTTTAATTTACAATAAAAAATTGTAATAGTCAATAGAAACAAAGGTAAAAAGCGTTGAAGAGGCATTAAAGGGGGATTCTTTGGTATTTACTTGCATAAACCATTTTTATAAAAAGTTTTAAGGATTTCACGTTTTGTATTTGTGTTCGAATACTCTGAATTTTTTTTACTCAGGACTTTAACGCATCATGTTTTTGATCTACAGAGGTCCCTTAGCGTTGTTCGGCCTGTCCCTTATTTCTACTTATGTGGAAAGTATATCTTTTAGTAGTGTTTTTTTTATAGTTTAATTAATTTCAACTAGTAATAATCAGACATATTGCGCTTATAGAGTGTAGCATCCGCTAAGTGTGTTTATGTTATAATTTATTGCCAAATGTTTCGATTTTGATCGGCTATGATAAAATTATTATAGTTATAAATATTATTTGCAAATTCTTCTATACCTTTCATTTGTCTTCTATTATATATTTTTTGGGCTGCTTTATTAAAAAGCAATAACGTTATAAAAATTTAACAGTCACCCACATATTTACCGACTAATTTTATTATCAAATGTTAATTAACGGAAGAAAAGCTAGCAAAACTAAGCCCTAGGTAAAGAGAATAACGAAAGCTGCTTTTGGTTACTGCTAGTTTTCAAAGCTAGTAAAGAAAAAGGTACAAATCTATACGCTTCCAAAAAAGTCAAATTTCAATTATATATGTATCAACTACAAACTTTTTAACCCTTGCCAATCTCTTAAAAGCTTAAAAACCATGTAACTTTTTTTTCCGAATAACCTTGATCTTAAAGCTAGATGAAAGATAGCAAACATTTGACCCTGAAAACACTAAAAATGATATTAACTTTTTAAACGAATAATTACCGAGATCTTAAATATATGAGCCTAATAAAACTCCTCATCCACGATCAGGGCTATTTGAGAAGGTTGACACCCAGTATATTTCCCAATTTAAGAACCAAGTTGGTTTAGTAATATAATAATACCCTTAAGTTATCCTTGAAATTTTTAAAGTAAATCAAGAAAAGAAGGACGACAAATTAAAAGCAATGTTTTGCAACTCCATTCTCTTATCTAAAGTTATTCCCGGAATGGCATTACCATTATTGGTGGTAGCTCCAGAAGCGTAAACATAAGTACACCCAAGGTATGAATAAATGCATAAAAAATTTATTCATATATAACAGCAATTAGTCTGACCCTCTATACTACAGCATGTCCCGCACAGAAAACAAAGAGTAGAAAAATAAAATTCCTTTCTTCGGGAATAGTATGTTTATCGGCACAAAGGCACGTGGTTAACCCTAACCCAAAAACACATACAGAGAAACAATGATGTGCACCCTTAGCGGCACCATAGATTAAGTTGTTCTGTATACTACCCAAACATATACTCCCTTATAAATAAATAGATTAAGACTCTTTTCTACTTTAAAAAAAGTTTTTTTTAAAATTTTGGAAGCTTGAGGCTATTTAAAAAGCTATGAGTTTATTAGAACTGCTAAACTGCAAAGAGCGCACAAAAAGTAATTAAAACTATGGGTTGAACCAGGGCACTGAACTTTTGGATGCAGTGCCAAGCAAATCAATAGAAATTCCTTTTCTTACTTTACTTAAAATATATATCGTGTAAATTTCTTTACAGCTACCAAAAAATTCTGCAAAGTCCGTGGTTACCACATAGTCGCCTGGCTAAATCCAGAAAGTATTATATTATTAACGCTAACTTATTACTTACCGAACAACTTAACCCTAATTAGTATAATGTGGTAGTTAATACTATTACGAAGACTGAAGTAAATATCGGTATAACATTTATTAGTTGACAAGCAATTTATATTATCGGCTGTAACGAGAAACCCCAGGTATCATTCCGGCTTCAGCGAGATTTCGAAAAACAATACGATCGATACGATATTCAGCTAAAGTGAAATATGCAGTTATAAAAAAAACGGCTTTAAAGAAAAAGTAAGTAAATAAAAAAGTAAAAGTAGTCATGTATGAGTGCTAACTAAGTAACCACAAACCACCTGTAGTTAAGAAGTACGCAGGCAAAGCAGGTCTAAAGAAACTTACACAACACAGCTCTTGGTCTAGAGGAAAATATGCTTCTATTTCTAATTCTAGTTCGTGAGGAATTACGAGGCAAAGAACTTAATTGGTAAGCTGCATCCCATCTATAGCGCTCTGGAATGTTTTCGTTAACAGCTAACGCTATAGAAGTAAAATACTTTTTTATTATTAATTGTTACCAAAAGTAAAAGTTCAAGATATAAAATAGTATATTTACAAAAAGTTATTATAACAGATCTCTTTTTAATTTTTCCAATACCAATAATTTTACAAAACAGAGTAAGATACACCTTTTGCAAACTTTTAAAAACAATTTTATTAATATAGGCCTCTTATAATATATATTCGTAAATAAAATTATACACCGATAAATGGATGATATTAACATTTTATTATAAAATATTTAAAGTTTGTAGACGAACTTTAAGATAACCTTTGAGTACATTTCGCGTATCTTCGTATTCATTAAAAAGTTTCCTTCTAGCCCAATCTGTAACAATTTTATGATCGCGCCACCAAGAGCTAGGGGCTTTCAAAGAGTGATTGCCAAAAGCTTGGCCATGCGAAGCGTGGATAAACATAACACTTTTATTAATGTAACAAACCGAAGTCTTCGGTACAGGCAAATTTTATAAAGGCTTCCCTGCTCTCTAACGGCCTCTTCGCCCAGTCACCTATAGAGCTAAAGAGTAGTACTCAATCCACATTTTTAGCCTTAACAAAATAATGGAATGCGATTGCCCCTGGCCCGAGCTCGTGGGCTTTGAAGTTTACTTTGAGTTACAAGGTAGCCGTTGTTAACGAGCGCTTATTAAAAATAGTTTTCTTTTGAAAGTGCAACCAGTAGATTATTGTTTATTTTAAACTAGATAGTTATTTACAATTACTTAAGGAGGACCCCTGTACATAGTTTTTACAAGTAATGGAATATGAGAGTCCCGAACATACTTCCATTGTAGAGGATCTTATCACTTCTAAGAGGAGGACAGATTTATACAAATTGTTAAGTGAAAATGTTAGAAACCTTGACACCTCATCAGACAGTAAAACTGGTAGTAGTATTTACTCAACAACTTATGAAGAATTTATACTTTATTAATTGTAATATGGCAGTCTTATCTTCATTATATTAAATTTTATTATTGATTATTTTTACTTGGTATTCCTTAAGTTTATCTCTGCTATTGATATATTGATATTTTTTCTTTTTCTATTAGTTTATTTAATTAAATATTAGTTTTTATTTTTAATTTAGTAAACAGAAGTTAACTGTTAAAAGTTTTAACTCTCAAAAGTGTTACCTATTTTAAAAATTTTTGTACATATATGGAGCCTTCGGCTACTATAAAATAACTCAGTTATAAGTTAGTCTTTTTCTTTATAAATTTTAAAGTATGTTGATTTTCCATATTGGTCTTATTTTATCGCAGGCAGCAATATTACAGAAAATTGCCCACGACCTAGAAAAAAAATTACCGATACGAAGGCTGGTTTTTTCTATGAAGAGGATATTTTATTACTAACTAAAAATACGAAATTTTCCAGTAAACCTAAAAAGGTCAAATCTGAGGAGCCTTTATCTAAAGGTTTCTTTATATAATCTTATTTATTTTTTATTTTTTTTTGACTTCTTTATTAATAGTTAATTATAATATAACTGGTGGTTTTATTTGCCAAAACTGCCAAGGAAGTTTTGGTAGTTCTTTTCTTTTTAACTCCTTTGAAGTTCCCGTTTGCAACGATTGTCGGAAGATTGACAAAGAACAAGAAAATTATTATTCTTTCATAACCAAAACTCAGGCTAAGGAGGTTTTTTATTATATAACTCTTATTACTTAACTTAGTATACAAATTTATAAACTTATTCTTAGTTATTTTAGTTTTTATAAATAATTAAGTAAATCATACACTTTAGGAATATTTATTAACCGAAAATGACTTGCAATCTTTACGATTTATTATTAAAAGAAATCCTCAAGGAGCTATATTTGCTAGTATGAAGTTATATTTAGCTTTTCAGGTTATGCATACTGAATTTATTTTAATATTTATAGCTGCTTAGTATTAAATTTAGAAACCTTTAAATTTTTTTACTACACTTTTTTAAATATTCATATGTTAGTTCGTTTTTACCGTCTTTATATTCTCACTCAATTTACTTTCTGTTTGTAGTATTCATTTAAAAAATTATGGTAACTCTAAATTTAGGGATGTTATGTATTGATATAATTTTAATTAATTTGGGTAATTCTCTCACACTACTAATTGTTCTGATAATGTGTTTGTAAACTTTTAAATATTAAAGTAATATTGATCGATTTGGTACTTTTTTCTTATAGGAGTTGTATATATCGTTTATTTTGTTATAGAAATAATAGTGGGTCTGTAAGAAGATAGTTCAGGGCAAAGTTTACTAATTGTTGGTCGTAAAATAAGTAAAAGTAATTTGCGTAAAATTTTGCTTTTCAAGGTTTTTTTATAGTTTTTATTATTTCTATTTAAGCAAACTTTAGTAATATTTTTTTATTTATTTAGCAGTTAGTATTATTTTACTATTGGAGCTCTACTTGAACTATACTATTTCAATATCCTGTAATCTTTTTGTCATCCTTTATTTTTCTATTAAGAAAATTGTTTATTCGCAAGTCTTCTACACCGTCTTCCATTCTGTTAGTCGTCAAGCGTATTAAGCGATTCTTCCTTTTACAAAACATAACTTATTTTTGTTTAAAGACCGTCACTATCAAGTTTTGCAGTTTTTCTGCGGCCAGTGTGTTACTTTATTGCATGGAACTGTTCCCCAGGAGCTGTAAGGGTAGCAAGCAGCGAAAAACTAAAAAGCTTTTGCTATAGCAATCAACTTTTTTATTTAAAAAATCGAACTTTTTATATACACGTAGGTAAAACTATACACTATAATATTCAGTAAATTGGAAACCGTTGTGTAAATTGCGCACTAGTATTTAAATTATGGGTCTTTTTTTTGGGGGGGGGGGGGTTTATTATACTTTATATATTCCACTTCTAATAACTATTATTTTATAGGTTGAAGAAATTTCCTTTCAAAGATGGAATGGCGAAAGTGGTTTGGACGAGGAAATTGCTAGAAGACGGGATGAAAGAATTAAAAGGAAAAAAATCAAAGCTAAAAAGGAACTATTAGGCGCGAATGCATATATTGATTTGTTTATAAAAAACCTTCTATTGCTTAATATATTTTATACAAAAAAAATTAGATAAGCTACTATTAGAACATACGAGAGTTTACTTGATACCATCCGTACATTATTTAATTTTGAGTTCACAAAATTTTCATTTTATATGCTTTCAATGTTTGATAAAACACATTTTTAAGTTTTTAAAATTCCTGTATTTATCAGAATATACTCAATTAACTGCACTCATATAATATAAAACTATAACTTTTACTATTTTAAACTATATCCAACGACAAAACTTTTGGTAATATAGCTTGTTACCAAAATTTTAAATTGTAAACAAAAGGGCTTGGCTAAGCCTCATTAATATATTTTGTAGAAATAGAAACAGTTTATTGCATTACAACAGATTTGCATTAAAGTATGCGCATAAAAAAGTATTCGTAAAATAACTGGAGCATTAATATTGCAAGACGAGAATTTAAGATCTTTATATACTTTTGAAAAAAGGAAATATTTTTGCATATGTGCAATTAAGTTGCTACCAAACTACATAAAATAAATTTTGTTTAACTAAACGTATCCATCAAAAGTCTGCAAAGTTATTTCCTTATTTGATTTTCTTTAATTTCTTCCGTTTACAAAAAAACTATATTGCTTAAAAACTTTAAGTTTTAAGTTTTTTAAAGTAATAATTATCCAATTTTTCTATTATAATTTTTTTAATTTGCTCTATCTATCTTTTAAGTTTAACTTAAAATTCGATTTTAATTCTGCGTCTCCAGAGTTACGGAGGAAAACTGTCCCTAAAGTTTTAATGAAGCAAAAAGAAGCGCATGTACACGAATTTGGAGAAGAAGTATACGATTCGGCTAAAGACCAGTTTTTAAAGACTTGTAAAATATGCAAGTTTACTCACTTTTATGAAAAAATGTAAACATTCAGTTATGTAAGATTAACGCATAAAATTCTTAAATTTACTTCAGTGCGCGCGCAATGTGCTTATATTGTATTGCATCTTATAAAGTGGTAAAAGTCAAACAGTTTTTAATAAACATTAATACAGTCACGTAAGTTGTAATATTACAATTATAATAGGAAGACAGTCCTTAGTGACTTCCCCAAAATGAACACCCCCTTATAAGGCAAAAAACACGCTAATTTCATATGCGTTGCAAAGTATACTTACAACATGCAGAATCACATGTTTATTGGCGTTTTTTAGTTGCAAGTGCATATTCCTTTTATTAGAAAAATTTAGAAGTTATTTCCATTAGTAATGATTTAATATCCTTGCGGAGGGTGGGTGGCGTAGGCTTGAGCATACATGGAAGCCTGAGCAGCGTACGCCTGAGCAGCCGCTTGGGGGTTGTAAGCTGCCTGCATCGTCGGAGTCCCCATAATTGTGCCAGGATAGGATGTCATAGGTGCCGGCGGACAGACGGGCGGCTGGCTTGGAGCTATACTATAGGCCATCGCATTGTAATTGGTAAGAGCTGCGTTGTACACTACAAAAAGGAAGTGAGCGGCCATAAATTCAAGCGCTAGTAAACATATAGGACCTCCATTAAACGAGGAGGAGTTGACCGTGTTTGTGGTCTGTTTGGCAGCCACAAAGCCCTTCCCATAGTTGTAACCGCCGTAACGACCTAGCAAGGTAAACCAATAAAATTGTAGCTCATCGCCTGTGGGAAAGATGCTTATACCTGATCGGGAGTCATTGTCGCGGTAAAGTTGGGCCAGTTGCCGCAATTTTGCGGGAATTTCTTGACTGGCCGATTCAAGAATGTCGATTAGCTCTTTTGCTTGCTTGCTGTTTTCCGAAGTAAAAAACGTGAAGGCGACCCCTGTCTTGCCGGCGCGGCCTGTGCGACCAATACGATGGATGTAATCGGCGCACGTGGACGGAAAGTCGTAGTTAACCACGGTAGTAACGTCCTTGACGTCTTTGTGCATATATAAGTAGTTTTTCGTTCATTACCGATCTTGAAATAACTTATGATTTTACTTTTCTACATAACTAGCTTCTAAAGCAAACTTGATATAATTAAAGTGTCTTGGAGCGGCTAGCTACACGCCGCAACTAAGAACAAAAGGCGGTTCAAGTTTTTTAACAAATTTCGTTTTCTTTTTGCAACGGCGTTCCAGCTTTCCCCTTTCCATGCTTCCAGAGAAAAGGGCGCAGGAGCCTTCCAAAAAGAAAACGGAAAAAACCGAACCACAATGTTCTAATGCAAAATAATTGATAAACATAACATCAATACAGAGCAGAAGCGGCCAAAAGGAACAAAAAACAAAAATAATAAGAAAAAAAACAAGAAATAATAACCGAGGCCCCTTCCAGCCACGTCAGTGGCCACAAGAATAATGATGCGGCCAGCACGAAAGTCGTTTAGCACGGCATCCCTCTCTCGTTGGCACTTGTCACCGTGAATGCACCCGACCCGGAAGCCCTGCCCCCGAAGCATGTGCATGACGGACTCAGTACTGCGCTTGGTAGCTACAAAAACAAGAATTTTTCCAGGAACATTCACGTATGTCCTTAAAATTTGTATCAACCTAAAAGAGCAGACAGTAAACATGTGATATTTATCAGGGAAAGTATAGATAACTATTATTATTATAGCTGCTACGTTAAATACAATATACTTTTGCTCCTTTTCATATTTAGTGCAAATGTCTATTTTCTGGGTAATGCGAGAGTTGGCGGAGAGTTCTAATGAGCCTATATTGACTTGAATATATTCCGATAAGTATGTTTCGGCCAATCGTTTGACACCTGGAGGCCATGTGGCGCTCCACATCAGGGTTTGCCTATCCGGCTTTATAATATTTAAAATGCAGTCTTATGTAACTCAAATAATGCCAAGATAGCAAAATATTTAGAGATACTCTTTAATGCACTACTTACAGTCTTTCACTCAAAACACAATAAATATAATAATGATACTCTACACTTCAAGTTTAAGTATAAAGATATAATAAAAAAAACAATACGCGAATCTGGTTGACAATCTTGTTCATGTCTGGCTCGAAGCCCATATCCAACATCCGATCGGCCTCGTCAAGAACAAGATATGTGCAACGCCGAAGATTAGTATGGCGACTCTCGAGCATGTCCAGAAGTCGACCCGGGGTGGCAATCACTATTTCAACACCTTCATAAAGCAGGTAAGGCGCATACAAATACAGATGCTTTTTAATAATCTAAAATTTATTTTAATAATTATTGTAACATAAAAGCAAGCTAAGGAATAATATATATTTAGTTTAATAAACTCTTGAAAGGTTCTTCTATAATACACTTATAACAGATATTGAAATTAAAGAGTTAATTTTACAATAAATTTCTAAAAGTAAAAAACAGGTATACTAAGTAAAAAACGCTTCATAAAAAATTTTAAAAAATGGGATATGTAACAGTAAAGCGTAAAAACCCTTTTCCAGTTGCTCTATTTGAGGATATCTCGATACTCCTCCGCATATACAAGTGTTGCTTATCGAGCACACTGAGCCATATTGCTGGGCGACCTGCTGAATTTGCATCGCAAGTTCTCGGGTAGGAGCTAAAACTAAAACAATGGGGCCTATAAAAAAGATTAAAAATTATAAAAAAAAATTCATGAAATTTCTAAAACGCCAATATAAATAAAATTGCTTAATAACTTCTAAACAGTAAACCACATAAATGTTTTTATAAATTTCTGATTTTCTTTATAAGTTAGAGATGCAAGCTACTTATCCAGTACACTTTACTATAAAATACTTTAAACTTAAATAGAAAATAGCTAAAAGTAAGCCCATAAAAAAACAATAATAATACATACCATCACCGGGAGACAAAATGGGTTGGGCCATTATATGTACGATAGCTGGAAGAATAAAAGAAAGCGTTTTTCCCGAGCCGGTTTCAGCGACTCCGATCATATCTCGACCTTTATAAAAAGAAGTCGTATAATTACAAATATAAACCAACTACAATCACACACCAGAAAGAGCCATGGGCCAGCCCTGTGCCTGGATAGGCGTGGGCTTAACAAATCCTTGTTTACCAAGAACACTTTTGATGTATTCAGGAAACGGAGCTTCTTCAAAAGACTGTATCGGACGAGGAACATCTCGTCCAATTACAGACATCTCAGCTGCAAGGCGAAAGGCTTCAACTTCGGCTTGAGTACGTCTCAAGACCCTAAAAGTTATAGCTGATAAAAAAAAAAGGATAAAATTAAAAACAAATATTCAATACGCCTCGCAAGGAGTATAAAAATTTTTCTCAAAACGCGGAAGCTTTGAAAGATCCCATTTGGGTGTAGGTAAGTTAACTTGTGTGTCTTTATTTTTCCCAAAAAAACTGCTTCCGCTATTCGCAGGCTTAAAGGACTTATTATAATCGTGGCTACGATCGCGACTACGGCTTCGACTGCGACTGCGACTGCGGCTTCTCCTAATAGGAAATATTAGTAACAAAATAAAGAGTAGCAAGAAAAGAATAAACCTTCTTCCCCTGTCTCGACTTCTACTACGATGTCGGCGCGATTTACGCTCGCTTCCTCTATCACCATCTCTATCTCGGCTAAAAAAAATAATGTTTGATTGAAAAATTATTTAGTATATAGTTTCACTGTTATCATAGTTCTAAATTCTACAACACGTTGGTAATCAAGTCGCATAGTAAGTAAACCGTATAAACAGTGTTGCAAAGCTAAATAGTTTTCTTATAATAAAAAACAAAATAAAAAATTATGCAATAAGAAGGCTAACCCGTACGACGACATGATAACGTAAACTAATATCCGCTCCTCAAGACCTGAGAATCGGAGAGAAATGTGCACGTTGGCATAAGCTTTTTCTTAACAAATAGTTTTCACGTGGTAGCAAAGCGAAAAAATTAAATTGACAGGTATAAAATAAAGTCTACCTAAAAACTATTAATTTCCATAAAAAGATGAAAAGGTTTCAAACAAACCTGTTAAATGGTAACAGGAAAAAGCTGATAAATCTAAGTATTGTTTTAAAAAAAAAATTATAATTGATATACCCTAAGTTTTTGATTTTTTCAGCTTCTTAAATCTACGTGGACGGGAGAAAGGGTTTATTTAGGTTACAACTCTCAGTTAGCTGAGACTTAAAAAACTTTTATAAATATCTTTGCGAATTTCTTTGCATAGAATATAAGGACTTTCATGCTAGAGTTGCTAGGCCTTAAAAAAAAAATTATTTAGCTCTAATCTTCACTGCTGCGCATTATTACTTAATCACTGGACTATTTTATAAAAAAATTTTTGTTAAGTTCTTTGCATAGAATGTAAGAACGTTTAGCCAAAGTTGCTAGACCTGTTAGGGGAAAATTACTTAGCTTTAATTTTCATTGCTGCGCATATTACTTAATCACTGGGCTATTTCTTAAAAGAGAAATAGGACTACTTAACCAATATTTTTGTTATATGCTTAAAAGATTTTAAATTATGTTAGTTACGATTACTATTATTTTTAATTATATTGTTTTTAATATGCACTCATTTGTTTTATTAAAAGTGAAGTGACTTTTATTTAAGCTTAATCTTTGATATTACCATATATTTAATACTTTTATTATATTATAACATTTTTACAAGTATCATAAACAAACATAGAAATCTTGCTTACCAATTTAGATTTGTAGGGAAACAACGCGTGACGCCGTTTCTTTAGTTTACAAATTTTAGAATAAAACTGCATTAAATATTAGTATAGCTTGATACTAAGGAAAGAGGCAGTATAAAATACCTTGCAGGTAATTTTTTATTTTTTATTATAAATGATATACGCAGAGGCTTTGTAAAGTCGAGCGAGGATCGCATTGCTTGGCTAACAATATAGATTATCTGAAGAAGTTCTTGTATAGATTCCGCTAGTTATTTCACGTTTATATATACGTAAAAGTGTGGGGTGGTGTAAAAACTATAAGTCGGCTCCTAAAGTGCTTCGCGGGCCATCGGAAGCGTACGCCATTCCAAAGATCGTATGTAACTGTGTGCCCACAAGCGGTCAAGTTGCTTTAAAAACGTTTAAAAAGAGGGTAGTCATATTTCGAGTATTCTTTAATTTCAGGTCGTCGTGTAAGTCTTACGCACTAAGTAAGGTGCGCAATCATTAGCCGCGAAAGCTTGTTTTGTTGCGTCTGCAGGGATGCAATCGTCGAAGTTTTTTTCTATATCGGAGCGGATGCATAGGACATTACGGCGTGCAAGCGCATACTTTACAAAGGTAGAGTTTATAGCGCAGGGACGCTTCTTGCGCACAACAGCGGGAAAGCGCAACGTGACACCGCCAAGTTAGTCGCTTATCTATGATAACATCCAAGTGCTTGTCCTTGAGACCCCCTAAGCTATTAAAACTTTTTAGGGTTAGAATCGGGGATAGTGTAGTGTATCTTTTAAAAATGAGAATTGCTTTGCTTCTTTTCTATTGGTTAATAGCCGCTCCCCATTATGGTCCCCAGTTGGCAAATGTTTACAGGTAGCGTTATGGGTGTTGCCATAATAATGGCAGTCTTTTGGATGACGCGTAAACAACAGTGTCAGTGTAGTGTGCAATCAAATGTGGGGGTTTGCAAGAAGTGGACCGCATGTACAGGGCGATGAACAGGGGTGACAACAAAGAGCTCTGCGGAACACCAGCTGAGAGTCTGGCGAGGCTCTCACTCGAAAGGTGCGTACGAGGCGGAGTACCTAGTGTCCGTAGTTAAGGTAGAAAACCACGGGAGCTGCGCGGTATATATATAATACTGGCTAAGAACAATCTTTAGTATGCGATCGAAGACTTTTTCAACGTCGAGAAGGACGATGCTCTTAGTATTAAAAATTGAAATTCTGAGTTGTCCACTAGACAAAGCGTAAAATTTGAGTGCCTTGAGGAACCTCTTTAAAACCCTAACTCAAATTCCGGAAACGCCTTGTTTGTTTTTATAAACTCCTAGTTATTCTACACCTTTTACTCTGCTAGAATTAGGCTAATGGGGCACTGTATGCTAGCATCTGGTGAAGCACGCTGAGTCCTAGGAAGCAACGCGACAGAGGCTGTTTTTCATCAAGATGCGAAGAAGCCAAGAAACATTGCAGTACTTGCAAAACAGGAAAGGAGATTAATCGCCAGAAGCGACAAATTTTTTACAGTTTATTAGTAATGCCGTCAAAGCTAAATGCCTTCGGCCCTAGAGTGCAAGGACAACTATTTCACTAGTTGTTCTCGGTTTTATAAGTCCGACGTTAACAATTGAGGAGGCTTGAGAGATGTAATATCTTCGTCCCCTAAGGTAGCAGAAGTTGGAGAAAGGCCCTGAACTTAAGATGGTCGGCAAAGAGCGTCGCCTTATCTTCATCGCTTTCAGCAATTAGCACGCCGGTTATTAAGTGACGGAGACAAAGATATGGTTGTCCTTCGTCAGCTGCTAGCACGTCCTTCAGTTGCGCCGCCCAGCTGTTTATCTGAAAAGGGGCCAGCTCTTTTCTAGTGTGTCTGTGAAAGTGTCCTGCGTTAACCTGTTCGTTGGGATTTTGTGTACAGCGCCCACGCGTATTACCAGCAGCGTTAACGGTAGTCGCCTTATACGAGACGCAGCTTCGTGGCTAGTCATCGTGGCAGCGAGGGCAATAATCAGTGAGCCCTCAAAACTGTTAACTACGTCTTCTAGAAGCGAGAAGGTATGATGAGTCGGAGGACGGCGATACTTCAATCGCAGCTGTAAATTTAGTTTAGTATGTAATTTACCGTGTTCAGAGGTTTCCTGTAGTTTTACCTCCACCTAACTTTAGTAAGGCGGGCAGGTAATTTTAACAGAGCTCATTTAGCTAGGGAATTGATACCGACTAGCGGATAAACCATGTTTAAGCAAATATAAATGTCACTTTTAGCGGAACGGGGGTCTGTAGACAGATTTACGGTTCCCTAAACATGTCTTGAGGTAAATAGGCTTGGAAGATAAATTGAATTTGTGTATTTATCAGATAATTATACATGAGTAAAACAGGTTGTTAAATGCTATTGTGTTAAGTTCAATTTAATGATGAATAAAGAGGGAACACTGCGCGCTAAGTTAAACTATTCTTTTAACATGTATTAAAAGATAGAATTGCCAACCTCGCCTAAGCTTAGTGAACTCCTGCTCATTTTCTTATAATACCCGTTTCATACTATTTAGTATTCATTCTTGCCCCTCTCCAAAAACGAGTAAAATATCTCAATTTATTAATTTTTTCTGCTTTCAATCTTTATAATAATTATTTTATAGAAAAACGATGTTTTTAAAATTAGCCTAATTTGTATTTCTAGTCTTAACTTATGAGTTTATATATGTCTAACTAAAATTTAATACGTTTTGGGGCTTCGTGATAAGGATAAGTGCATTTTTAAAGGACACTAACCGTTACAAACCTTTATGATCTATTTTGGCAATGCTTTTTTATTATTTGTATCGCTAGTCCAGTCACCTCATTTCTTTGGTGATAATCAACTTTTATTAGATGGTTTTTTTAATGAAATTTTCAGTTATTTTCTACTTAAAATGCCGATCCTTTATCTGCTTCTCAGATATATATATAGCAAGTTTATAAGTTAGTCAAACATGACTATAAATGACAAGGCTCTTTTCCCTCGTTAGGTAAAGGATGCCTGTCTGGAGGCTTTTCCGGCATCCAATTAACCGGTCTTCAGTGAGCCCTGATCCTAAAAGTCGCTGTCCTCTTTCTTAGTAGTTAGTTTTAGCGCCTTCTTACAACTAGAGCAAGTGATAAAATCCGCTACAGATATTTATCGGTCATTCTCTCATTCTTTAAAAGTTTTGATACTTGGAATACATATTGTTGGCTGCCTAAACCTTTTGGAGAGGTGTAAACGATATAAACTGTAAGTATTGATAAAATTGACTGCAGTTTTCCGCAGTAAAGTAGCTGTCAAATTTTTTTTACTTACAGAGTAATTAAAATATATCTTTATAACTTCATTTTTATAATAATTGTTTTCTTCGAAGCTCTTGGTATACATGTAATTATACAGGGGAGAAATGACTACAAGGAAGTGAGGTTCAAGGGTTGGAAGTCACATGGAAGACTAAGTTTCCTTTTCTCTTTTCTCTCTCTCTTGTTGTTTTAAGTTATCCGCTGTGTACGGACGAAGTATTTCTTGTGTGCAGTAATGTACGGGATAGTTTAATGATTAATACATATAATTTCTTAGTGTTAAATAATATTTTTATTAACTCTCTTATTTTTACTAAGAAAAGACTAACATATACCGCATATTTTTCTATTACTCTTAAGTAGAAAATGGTAAATAACCTCCCAAAAAGGTTATCTGTGCCTTTTTAAAAGTAAATCCTGTTCCCAAAATCTTTTTTCTCCAATGACTGAAGAGCTCGTTTGGTTTTCTTGTTTCAAAAAGTGAATTGGCATCCCTTATATTATTAAAAACCTGCTTTTTATGCAAATTACGACCTTGCCTTCCTGCAACCTTATAATAAACTTGTCCACTCTTAACTAATTTTATTTCTTTCCAACCTATAATATTTTTGTTCTTTAACTCTAATTGCGTTTTGTTCCGTCAAGTCTTCAGCTCAGTCTTACAATTCGCTTGACAGCACCGGCCTTAAGGAAGTTAAAAGTTAAAAGTGCTTAAATATATAAATATTTTTATTGTATTTATTATTAAAAACATTTTTCTTTATCATTATTTAAAGACTCTGTACATTTAATTATTGACTTTTTCGGGAATAATATTTCTGCAAATTCCGCAAGAGTAGTGTTTATTTTCCATTTCTTCGTACTGTTTTCTATCAATATTGTCACACTCTAATGTGTTAATAAACTAATTAGTTAAGGCAAACGCCTTTAAGGGTATTGAAAAAATAATATTCTCTAAGTGTAAAAAAAAAACGTAAACAATGTTTTAGTTCTCAGTACTACCGATGTGTATCCATCGATCACAGTCGTCGCAGCAAATCATAGGGACTTCGTCGTTGGAATTGCTATAAACTTTCAAGCATATCGGACAGTAATCGCCGTTGCGGAAAAGTCTTGCAGTGAATGTGAATTGTAAAAGTTATCAAAATATTCATTACAAAAAGTTTAAGTTGGCTAATTTATATAATATAACAGAAATAGTACAGATACTACTAAAATTTTTCTAATAAAGAAGATCTTTATATAAAAATTAAATTTATGTATTGTATAATTGTAGATTTCCAACAGTTAAAGCTTATTAACAAACTTTATAACTTTAAAAAGTAAGCGATTTTTGTAGAAAAATTCTTCTTTCTGGTAAAGTATATGTTGAAGTAGTTAAAATCCCTCCTTTCTTTGATTTTATGATTTTATGTATAAGCACTTTTTATAATGACTTAATAACTTTTAATAAGTAAAGAAATCAGTATCAACGAGGAAAATGGATAAGCAAAATTTTTCTGTACGTTACTTTTTAAATTTATGTTCTTATACAGAGCAAAAAAGGTTAAAAAGAAGTTTAATAAAAAAGAAAGTAATAAAGAAATAGCAATAATAATAATCAATGAGAACCTTGAGCACTTTACACAAAGTGTTTGAAGAAACTTTGGAGGCGTATTCTCATCTTTAGGTTTCGAATACTTATAAAACAATAAATATACCATCACATTAGGTTTTAACATTTTTATATAATATATATATATATATAGATAAGATAACAGTAAAAAGTCCAAAATTTTTGATTCGTTCAACATAATACATAAATAAAGGTTACTATAAAAATATAAGAATTTTGCAATAATACTGGTTATTCTACAATAATAATTGAATATTTACTTTACTTTAACTAGTAAAATTAATTGTTTTTAGGTTATAAAATATTATATCATAGTATTATTTACTCATATATATGAGTAGGCATCAAATAACAAACTTCGTGTTTCCAATGAACATTGTGAAGCACACTTTCGCCTGGAGTTGTACTCCCACAACTGGCGCATTTCCCACAGTCGTTGCATATCCACCGCCCTGAAGTTGACGGGAAATATAAGGTGGTTCTTCAATTTCAGTAACTTGTATAAAAAAGTTACGAGCAGCGAAAAACAATAAAGTCGCCGTACTAAAAAGGTCATTGAGAATGTGCGTACTAAACTTTTTAATGCTTAAATAAACTATCAGCGTATATATATAAAGTAGTTAAAAGCAAAGATGAAGCTTCGAAATGAGAGTGAAGGAGTGCTAAACTTAACAACAGTAAAAAGTAGTTTAAAAGTAAATAAAAATTATAAAATATCTGTCTTGTAAGATAATTATTAAGTGAACACATGAAAATTATAATATTTCTTTATGTAAAAATAAAAGCATTACAGATAAAACTAAGAAACGCATAATAATATAATAACTAAAAAGTTGTCGGAAGCTGGTTAATTTATATATAATGGTATATTAATAAATAAGAAATTAAACATACAAACAGTGATGCTAACCAATAGGCAGCCGTTTTAAACCGACACAAAAAGTGTGATAACCTCGATCGCACTCGTCGCAAAACATAAACTTATCCTGAATAAAAGAGTATAGTAAAATAATAATAATAATAATAATAATAATAATAATAATAATAATAATAATAATAATAATAATAATATAATATATGAACATTAGCAAACAGCGCGAAAATATATATTTCGTATACTTTAGTAGCCAAAAAGCTAAAAAGTTTATAAAAAGAATATACAGAAATAGTAAATAAAGTTTTATAATAAAATTTTATTAGTAAATAAAAGTAATATCGCGTAATACATGAATTTTTTATATACTTTTCGCCGACTTTAAAAATGACCAATAAACTAAAGATAAATGTTTTAACAAATCAAATAGGAAAAAAAACCGTGCCTCATTATCACTGCTGTCACATATTCGACAAGTCTTGCATTCGCTGCACTGCCAATCATAACTATGCACTTTTTTCTCTAATTCTGGCGAAATTTCCAAGCATTGTGCGTGCGCTTACATATGAAAAAATATAGGAAAATTAAGTCAAAAAAAAAGAGAGCAGTCGCTACGTTCATTTAGTTAATAAGCAACCAACTTATAATAGTCCACAACCATTCGCCACGTTTAACATAGTAGTTAAAAAGTTTAAAATTCAAAATGCATCTTTTTAAGATTGATATTAAAAAGTAGCTACTTATTTACTATCCAATAAGGACAAATAAGAATGAAAAAAAAGTCAAACACCAAAATCGTAAAACTCAATCAACGGACAAAGAAATAATCAAGTAGAATTGCAAAATTTTATAATATAAAGATAGAAAATATTAAAAATTTAAAAATTCTACCTTAAAAAATTTATTAGATACTGATGTCCGCATAAAATGATTATTAAAAACAAAAAATTATATAAATAAAGAAAACCAAAAGTGATAAGCAAAGCTAACAACCTTTTGCATGTACGCACAGATATAATATATTAAACTGTATGTTCAAGAAAAATAAAAATATAAAAAAACTTTTTAAGGCCCAATAAAAAAAAAAGAAGAAACAAAAGTCTACCTCCCATGTGGCAATTAGAACAAATTAGAAATTTTTTATCGCTTTTCTCGTACTTTTCACAAACCACGCAGCATTTAGTTTTTCTTGATGCTTGTCTTTTTTCTTAAAAAACATAATAGTAAAGTCTGCTATAGTAAATATTAAATAAACTCTTTAATTAAAACCTAGCGATGCCTTGATAAGAGGATAAAGAGCGGACACGGGTTTCTAGCAAATCAACTATAAGCACTTAAAAACATGATATAAATGCTTAAGAATAATACACAATATTTACTGTAAAAAGTTAAAGTTTTGGGGATATCAAAGAATAATTGGTTACTATTACGATTGTAAGTAAAAATTATTAGACTCCTATTAAAATGCTTTTTTAATTTCCTTCATTTACCCAAAAATATTTAGGTGCATCCACGTGAGAAATATATATAAAAAGAGAATACTGTATAAGTAACTAAAGTATTTCTATAAATATTATAACTTCATAGCTAAAAAAAACTTAATACTCCCATTAGTTTACTTTATGGATTAAAGGTGGAAAATTTATTGTTCACCAGGGACCTCTATTATAAGCTCTTTAGATTGTTGAGCTTTAAAATCGCTAAGTTTTTTTAAAATTTGATTACTTTTTCCGTATGAATTCTATAATTTTAAATATTATTCTCTCTCCCATCTATATATTATTAAATCTTTTATTTTTATCACACAAAACGGACGAAAAAAAGATTTTCAATGATTAAAAGCTTAAACAAATAAAAGTGGTTTAACAGTAAATTAATTCTTTGAATAAGGATGATATAACGGTTTCAAAATGGATGAACAGATCAAAACTTACTACACTTGAAGTTCTAATCGTTGCTGAGTTAGCCCTATAAGTTGGTTTCATTAAAATTAGAAATGGTAAAATTTTGCAATTATAAACTCTAATAATATTAAAGTAAATGCATGCTATGAATTATTGATAATAAAGAATTATAATAATCATAAACTTCCGTTTAGAAAGAAAGATAAAATCCCTTATAGCTGATGCGTCTTACTCACCGATAATAAGTTTACAATAAAAGATGACTTTTAAAAAAATAACTAAAATAATACAAGTATATATAAATTATAATATTGTATGAATTTTATAAAAAGGCAAAACTTTTTGTAAGCAAAATACATTTTAAGTAAAACTATATAACGGAAGTAATAATCTAACCCGTCTGTATATTTCTGGTGGTGTCTCACACAACTCTGCCAGCTCTTTTGAATCATAACGCCTTTAGGGTAAGAGATCAACAAAAGAGAAGATCAAAGAAATATATTTAAATTAAATTAAATTGAAAAACGTCATAAAGAAAAATAATTATTACCTCGCAGGGAGATCAGTAAATTGGCTCTCTATACAAGCAACTGGAAACTTTGAAGTTTTTCTTAAAGGCTTAGTAGCTAAAACCTAATATAAACAAGTAATTTAAGAACTTTATTCATCTAAAATTTACTATTTAACTTTAGACTGCTGAAAGTGCATTTGCTGAAGTTGAGAATTATAAACAGCTCCTCTAAGTAAAGTTCTCTCCTTCGTTAAACGCTTAAAGTAAATAAAGTAATTGCTACGCGTAATTAAATGCAAAAATAAATAGTTAAATAAAAAAAAAAAGAAACGTCATTGTACTGGCAAGTTGACTTCGCCACCGAAAGAATAATCTCCTTCCAATCGGTAGGCTTATAATCCTCTTCGCTATCTGAATAAAAACAGGAGTATACAGTAAAAAAGTAATAGGTTAAAAAGTTAGATAGCCTTCAGTGTAACAAAAAAAAAGAGAAGTGAGAAAAAGTTTTGGGTATTCGCTTATAATAAGGTTGTTTTCCAATCCTTATGTATTCTAATAACCAAAGGGAGAGGTATCGAATATAGTTTTTTAGCCTATTATTAGCTAGTAAAACAATAATGGTTTTTATGTTTTACTCTACAAAACAAGTGCTATTAGTACGTTAATATTATCTATGGTAAGTATTTAGATTTTGAATTTATAAACTTTAGTATTCCTTACAAAATTTATAATATACCAATATTTTTTGGTAACCGAAACTCAGTCCTAATTACATCATCAGTTTTTAAGTCAAAAGGAGGAGTGGAAACAACGACTTCTTTCTCATCATATTCTCCTGAAAACTCCATTTTGTGAAAAGGGTACCTTCAACCCAAGATACAAATGTTTGCTTAAAAATAAAAATTGGGTGCTGGGGGTCTGCTATAGAATAATCTGTTATTAATGCAAGGGGTCCACACTAATAGCATGTATCCTTCTTATATTATAAGAGCTTAAGGTTTATTTATGTAGGAACTTGGGTTAAATTTTTCTACTAAGTCTTACTTAATGTAGTGGAATTAATGATATTTGTTTCAGCCTTATATGCATTACCGTAGCTCGATATATCGAACAGTTCTGCTTCTATATGATTTCGCAGTGATGTTTCTTTTCCTACTTAAATTTAGCTTAATGCCCCGCCTTAAACGTTCTTTGACTCTATTTTAGTTGCTTTCCCCTGTCTACATATATAATCCGCATATTTTTATACGTACGTTAGTTTAAACCATGTTTAATTAGGTCTCTTTCAAGGATAGTTTTTTATACCTTTAATTTTTACCTTGGCTATGTAAATGGCCGGGGAGTGCCCATTGACTCATGACAATTTCTAAAAGACACTTGGAGTTGGGTCAACGCGGTGTCATTAGTTTAATGTAACTGGAACATTATAATAAAATTCGCTTTATTTTTAAAAGTTTATCTTGAATAACTGTTAACGCTCTTTAAAATATATACACGTTTATTCAAAACATTGACCTAAAAAAGGTTTCCATACAATTGGACCTACAAGGAAAAAAGTAGGAGATGCATAAATTGCGATAAAAAAGATTATAAACAACGCCATAAGATGTGGTAAAAGCGGAGTTATAAAAGTAAGAATGCATATAAATAAGACACCGCACCCTCTGACTTACTAACAATCCCATCGACCACAATACAAAAAATTATTATATATATTTCATTAAATCTGTACTTGTAAGTTAGATTTATTTTTTTAATGTTCATAAATAAAAAATAACAATTATTAACTTTAAAAATTATTAGGTTATCTTAAAAAAAATTGTAAAACCACCATATAAGGCATACATGATTCATCTGCCCAAAATAGGCATTTATTTATGACTTTGACCTACTAAAAACAGACCTATAAAAAGGAGGTAACAAAAAAATAGAAAAAAATTTATAGGCTAAAAAACATATAGAAGAATGGCTTAGCCTCCGGTTAACCGGATGAATACGCTTGGCCAAGGATTTTTAACAAGGAAGGAAAATCCCTATTCAGACATTACAACAGGTTGTATATATACGTTACTCGCCACGCTGAATTTGAGTGTTGTTTTTAGTCGTAGCTCTGCAGTCAGGACAAAACAATGAAGGGAAAATTCGCGTTTTACCAAAGCAGTTCTCTTTAAGGTTTGACTGTTGCATGAACAAAATTGTTCGTATTACTGTGAAGGCTTTATCCCAAATATTAAGTTTAGTTGCAATTGTCCTCACCAAAATGTTATTCGTTCTAGCTTTCTACATAAAACGAGTTCGAGATTGGTTTTAAGAAAGGAACACAACGAAGACAAAACAATCTCTATGATAAGTTTTAAGGCGTTGAGTTAGTGGTTAATACAAGTTCAGCAATAATTCCTCAACTTGTGTACTGTTAGTGTCCCATTTTTAACACAGATGAAAAATTGATTTATAATTTTATAGATGAGGCCGTACAAATAATCATCTTTCCTGGAAACTCCAAAAGCACTTTTTCCACTCCATGAATGGTGGCACAATTAATCCGCTTTGAGTTCGTATATATCACACGACCATACTGTTTAAATGCAGAAAAGAGCTGTTGACAGGAGGAGGTTAATTTTAGCTTTCTGGTATTTCGTTTTAGAATCATCCACATTTTTAACCGTAACCCCTATTCAAAAATTTTGGTACAGGTGAAAAGAAAACATTTTTTGTATAATTACTTCAGGCTAATACACTAAGGCCACCAGTATATTTTCCCTAAAAATAATATCAGCCATTTTTTGAAGAACCAAGTTTTAAAAGATATTTATAAGGCTTAGACTCAAATGTTGCCTACTATGATGGTGAAAGCTTAAAACTACTCCTCAGTGAAGGTGATAACGAGCGTGAAACCAAAGAAAAATAATTAAAGTAAAAATACTAATTATCTTCACAAATAATAAATAGAAGGAATTAAGAAAAATGTATACGGTAGAAAAGTGTATAAAATAAGTTCCAGAAAAAAAAGATGGTTTAGTTCATATAAGCTGAGATCTTAGTTAAGTTTAGCAACGTTAGTAGGGTATACAGGCCACATCAGCTCCCCAGCACTGGCATACTACGCTCGAGAGAAACTCGAGCATGAATGCCCGCCAGTATTCCCGAAAGAGTATAACGACTGTTTCCTCGCACTATGAGACTAGTGGAAGAACAAACTTAAGCTCATTCAAAAATACTACACATACTTTTACACTTTTAGACACTAAGAAAAATAGCTCCCCGTCGGACTCGCAGTTCTCCAGGAATGCATAGACTTCTTTATTTTGTTAGTTGGGGTAGCTTTCTCTTTCTTAACAGTGTAAAATTCTAGCTATAAACTACTTATTGGATTAATTTTGTATGAACACGTTTAAATTTTTTTAGAGTAAGGTTCATTCTTTCAATAAAACTTGCTTAATCGATATTTTTCATCCTCCGTGAATTTTACGTAAATCAAGAATCCAAGCTTAGCACCAGTAAAAAGCTGTTTGGCGATATTATAGCTTGGCTCTTACTCAAAAAGTAAAATGGTAATTTTAACTAAATTAGAACAATTTTATTCTACCATTACTAGCTATCACATATAGGCGCACACCCTAAGCTCGTTGCTCATACAATTTGCTTTCTCCGGTGTCATGTGTGTCTTTTAAGGCCATCCACTTTCTTTAGTGTTGCCGCCTTAGCTAGGCATTGCAGGCAAAAACACAAACAAGGTCGGGATGTGTTGGAAGTTTTACCTACCTTTCTTTCTTGTCGCCCATACAAGTTCACATAAACGTTTTTTCAGGTTTCTATGAGCTAACTAAACGCAGACAGACATAACTCACAACTTATATCCTTTTAATAACTCTTACAGTCCCTAGGAAAGACTTGTAATTATGCTGGCCGGTAAGACCTTGTGGTTTCTTCTTTTGATGGCAGTTTTAGTAATTTGTATAATTGGCGGAGGCCCAAGCCCAGAGGTTTTCTTGATAATGCTTGCTTTTAAGGGACAAATACTTGCGGACACCCCACACGGGGAAATACGAACAACGCGGTTTAAGCTAATTTTTTTTAGGCAAATTTTCTAGATTGTTAATAACTGTCTCCTTTTTTTTTTTTATTACATACATACAAATATAAAGGCTTTTCCCCGTTAATTTTTTTATATATAGTCAAGTAATCTTATCGTCTTAATATTACATGTTAAAACTTTTTGTTTTAAGGTTACTGTAACAATATATTGCGCAAAATACTTTTGTATGTTATTAATTATTTCCGTACAAAGTCTATGTAATAGAGAGCTTTAAGTTCAAAAAAACCGGGAAAAAACGTATAATTTAGGAATCTAGTGTTTCCCTGTCCCCGTATTGGCCACTGGAGGGTTATTGTATAAAGAGAAGATTATAAAAGACAAGGCCACGTGGAAAAACAGTTTTTAAAACATTGGTAAATAGACGGATTTCTACCCTGTCGATGCAATAGTTTATGGTAAACAAAAGAATGTTTAACAAATATACCTTGTTCTACCGTTAGTATTGTCACCATTATTAATGATATCTATTGAACTAACAGTAAATAAGGGCCCTGTCAATTTAAGAATAAACTAATTTTTATTTCTTTTTAATAAATTTATTCTGGCAAATATGCCAATTTAGACAATCCAATGCTCTAAAGCAGAAGCTCCTGGCCTAAGCCGCTTTGAAAAAGTCATTAAAAGCGACCAGACTTCCTAAAGTCTTCCCCAGCATAAGGGGCGTTATGTTCGAGCTCCTCCTCAATGCGTAGTAGTTGATTATACTTAGCTAACCGTTCCGAGCGACAGGGGGCCCCAGTTTTTATATGACCGGCTCCCAAAGCTACTGCTAAGTCTGCTATAAACGTGTCTTCCGTTTCGCCAGAGCGATGCGAAACGAAAACTCCCCACTGGTTCTTTACGCAGGCCTTATAGGCTTCGATGGCTTCTGTGACGGTGCCAATCTGATTAACCTGCAAAAAATCGATAAAGCTTTGAAAAGTTATGGTTACTTTTGGGTAATAATAGTTGCCTTTAGAAGCATGGCGTTCGTAGCTGAGTGCTCTATTCCTTTCTGTACCAACTTTTTGTTAGTGCAGTAAAGATCGTCCCCCACGATTTCAACTTTGTGGCCAAGTCTTTTGGTTATCATGGCATGTCCTTGTTAGAGCAGCAGTCATATAAATCTCCTTATATGTTAAATAATAAAAATAGGCACCCTCAAAGTCATTTTCGTTACAGGGATCTTCAATAAGAATAATGGGGTACTTGTCGCACCAGCCCTCCCACGCGTCTATAAGTTGTTGGCGCGTTAATACTCTATCCTTTTTTGAATCCCCTGGAACTTTGAAATCCAAGTCATAGCGATCAAGTTCTTTATTGTAAAACTCGGAAGAGGCTGGATCTGAGCCAATCTTAACTTTGCCGGTGTGACCTTAAAATTATTAAACCACTTTCTCAGTTAGAATTTTTTATAGTAATATAATTTGAACCTGCAGACTCTATGGCCTTTACTAATAGTTCCAGAGCTTCATCGATATCCTTTACGTTCGGCGCAAAACCACCTTCATCTCCTACGGCGGTAGAGTCTAGCCCGTACTTCTTTTTAATAATAGCTATTGTAAATTTCCATTATTTTGTTATATATATATATATATATGAAAATCGATCCAAACCCTTTAAGTGGTGATATGTCTCCGAGCCTATCTTCATGGCTTCGGCAAAGGAAGAGGCGCCTGTAGGAATTATAAAGAACTCTTGCGGGGCCAAATAATTTCCTTTTAATTGTAAATTATAAGTTAAGTTTAATTTTGCAAAGCTTTAAAAATGCCTATTTTACCAGCGTGGCATCCACCGTTGATAACATTAAAGCAAGGCACAGGCAAAACCATTTTGGGAGAATCAGCCAACTTATTAAGAAATCGATAAAGTGGAATAGATAAAGCCGCTGCCGCTGCACGACAAGCAGCCATAGAAACGCCTAAGATAGCGTTAGCTCCAAGTTTGGATTTATTAGGGGTTCCATCTAATTCGTTTAACTTTGCATCCAAGGATACCATTTCCACAACCTTCATTCCTCAGAAATAGATTAGTTGGTGGGAAAATATTCGCTCTATTGTGACAAAAAAGTGGTACCTTTTATGGCAGGTGCTATTATGTTGTTAACATTTGAGACAGCCTTGGTAACTCCTTTGCCCATATGTTTAGTTCCGCCATCACGTAGTTCACAGGCCTCATTTTCTCCAGTTGAAGCGCCAGAAGGGACAGAAGCTCTAAATAAACCGTGTTCAGTGTAAAGATCTACTTCAACAGTGGGATTTCCACGGGAATCGTATATTTGCCGAGCAAAAACCTTTACGATAACGCTCATACGGCCCACCCGCTCAGAGAACAACGATAACAAATCCCCTTTAATTCGCAAAGCGTTATATCGTAAATTATGGTAACTTTTATAGTAAGTTTATTCGATGAATTTTTTCAACAGTTCCGACTGGTTACCAAAAATAGAGACTACTGGAGAATTAAGATATAACGTAGCTTATAGCTAACCACATACGTTTTTAAACTAACAGTAAAATTAATTTAGCATAACTTTTACTTAAACTTCGTCCTAACCTTCAATGAAAGTCCAAAGAAAGACCTATTTTCATTCTCAAATTCTTGATTAACAGTTTCAGCCTACTAAGTATTCCGGAATTAAAGATATCCTTAAATAAAAAATGAGACTTTTATAAAAATTATAAAATCTAATTAATGTCTTAAGTTTATAAGTAATATAAAGAGTGAAACTTCAGATATTTAGCGTTCATTAGTTGTTGAGAGGTTAGTATATATGTTTTGCGTTCTACTTGTTGCTATTAATTGAGTTGTATTTAGACGAATCACTAAGCCTGATAAATGTAAAGTGATTTAAAAAGCTTCTTAGTTGTGTGACACTAAATATTCTCAAAACTTTACGCTGATTAAACAGTTCAGCTTTTCTTTACAGATTACTTAAAGGGAGCTAAGTTATAGACGTTTAGGGGGGGAAATTATTTAGGTTTATGAAACCCAAATTGTCAAATCTTAATATTAATTTATGTAAACAGTTAAGATGGACAAATACTTATATTTAGATGTTTTTTTTAATTTTTTATAATTTAGATAAAGCTTTACTTTCCCTGTTGTAATTGGGTTATAATACTGTACATAGAGTGTTTTAAACATGTGAAAACTACATGTACGCTTCAGTGAATTCAATACGTATGCTGACTTAAATGTTATTTAGCTTCTGTCAAAATATGGAATAATTCGGCTTTCAGTTATTAATAAGAGAATTGATGAAACCCACTGTATAAACAGTGGTCTATATTTAGAGTTTTTTGGCGGTTTTTCCTACATTATACAACAAATACTAGGGGCTAACGGCGAGGACTTCCTGCTACTGAAATGAATGTGAGGGCATACTTGAAGTTTTAGCGGACTGACGGCGTAATTTCAGTAATAAATATAACTTGATCTTCTACTTAAAATTAGTTTAGCTAAAGAGTTAATATATAGGTTTCGGAAATAATTATATTTTTTATATAAATAATTAACTCTAAAGTTTTACTTGACAGCATTATTCAGCAAACTTTTTGTAATTTTTGAAACTCGAAACTTGAATAGCAATTATATAATCTGATAACTATTGCCAGCTCAAATTCAGGACACATTCGTTTTTAATATGCAGGAAACAAAGAAGAGACCTTTGCTAACTGGCAACGAAAACGGTGGATAATAATGCGTCTTTTAAGCTAATGACATAATTTAGGAATAGTTGTTAAAAACCTTCATAGGAGTTAATTTAGTGTCTGTAAGGGATTGCCTATTTTACTTCGCAGAACTACTTGTACGTGTTAATGCAAGTCTTCGGGAGCTTAGTATTAGTCGAGATGTAGCTGAATTTTGTATTTTTTAGAATTACAACATGATGGGTTGGTTCAGTCGTTTTAGATGAAGTTTTTTGGTTTAAAATCTAAACTTCCTATATTACAAATGAACTTAAGTTGTTTAACCTAACACTCCTTTGTGTAAAAACTAATGGTTTTTTTATCTTCCTTAAAAGAAGAAATGCTTTGGAGGTCTTCAAGAATGATAAAGCACATATAGACTTACCTGTTTGCCGTTAGAGGGATGTTGCTTGCACGAATGACTTGGCCGTTTTATGAAAAGCCAATAATTTTTTATTTATTTGTAAGCGTGAAATTTTACATGTTGCCATAATTAAAACCCTAACCTACTTAACCTATTACCTCTAATAAGGATGAGTTATTAACCCATTAAGAAAAGGCTTTATTTAATTAATTCCGCATTAAGTTCATGAAATCGTAAAGTGGGCACCTAGAACATGAGCAAGTAACATTTGAAGCGCTAGCCAAAATTGATCTCCTAAAATATGCTAAAAAATTATAACGAAAGCAAAAGAAATCAAAGAATTATAAGAAGTTAATAGCAAATCCCACGTTCGCTGTCAACAGCATCTAATTCGTCATTCATGTTTTCTTTTCGATTTTCTAACTATTATATCGTTAATTTCTCTTTCTGTCGTTCTTTATAGCTTTTCGTTAGAAGCAAAAATGGTATTTATTTAAAACCTTGTCCATAAATATACATTAACAATATTATATTTAACCGAAATATGTATAAATGAAATACTCTACATTCCCCACTTTCTCCATTTATTGGGTTCATTAGTGCATTTTCGTCTCCACATACTCCTAACCTTAGTGTCTCTAACTAAAATTTTTGTATTCCTTAAATTTCTTTAAAGCTTATTTTCTAAAATCTGTGGTTTTATCTTCTTTATACTCAAATTAAACAATAGTTTATATAACTTAAGGTCCTCATAGAGCTACTATACAAAAATAATCTTCTCTTGAAAAACGCCTAGAGTCTAAATCGATAACAATAACCAAATTTGACGTTTTTTGGGTAGATGATAATTAAATTATTATTTTAATTCTTTTTTCTTAAATTATGCCCTAATCCTGTGATAAATAATTACAATGATTTTTATTTTCGTTAATATTTTGTGTGCTGGATTTTATCCTTTTTTTTTATTGTTCATTAACTATCCATATATGCAGGAGGGCTAAGCCACTTTGCGTCCTACTAAAAAATTAATTCCAAAAAGCGCTTATAGTTCCTCCTTTTAATTAAAAGTTAGCTTTCTTGAGCCTTAAAGTTTTTCCTACTTCAAAAAATAAGTATGGGCTGATGATTTCCTAAACTAGATCTAAATTTGTAGCGATGGTTATAAATTATTAATTTTGTAAAAACATACGGACAAATACATTTGCAAAATTTATGACCGGGTTTATAGAAGTATTAAAAGTAACAAGAAAAAAAAAATAGTTCTTTAACTTAATGAATAAAATTATAAGGGCATAGTGATAATCTACTTGCTTTTATTCGTTACCCCCCTACTTTCGTTGAAAGTTTCCGTGGGGTTAAGGTTAGGGTAAAGCGTGCCTTATACCTTTGTAGTAAGCATAGGCTAACACTATCTGCAGGTATCCCTTATCATACATAATCAAGGAAGTACAAAATAAATAAATCGAAATCTTTCTTGTATTAATATTTTTTAATTATATCATACAATTGATAGTACTTACGTCTAATTTTTTTGGCCACAAAAGTATAACAATGCTAAAAGGTTATTGGTAAACTTTTACTAATTTGATGGAAAATTAGTGATAAACCTTTTTTTTTTCCAATCACTTTTCATATAAAACATATCGTCCAATAATTGCTGGCTAATATAATAAATATAGGTATAGGCTAAAAAAGGTATTGAGTGATATATTTAAATTCTAGTAATATAGTAAAGTACTGACGGGCCAACGTAAATACAGTGATAAAACGGTATAAACTTCTAATTAAGTTAATTAATGAAGCAGTTAAATTACCAAAGTTCCAAGTATGGGATTAAAGCTTAATCAATCTACAAGCACCAAGCAAAAAGAAAAGAGAACGGGTTTTATGTGGTTCGAAGTTGGTTTCGATCAAATTACTCTTAGCCCAAAGCCAAAATTTCTTAAAGAAAGATTTAGTTTCTCTTCCAAAAAGTTAGTAACTTCTTTATATATAAGTTCTAGTTATATATTTATTAAAAAATCTGTCAAATGGTTAATCGATAACTAGGAAAACTACAGAACTGATCCTGCAAGCAGAAGAAAAAAGACAATTAATGTTAACACAAAAAAAAGAGATGCAAGAAAAAAGAGCTGAGCACTTGCAATTTATAAAAAGAAACCAAAAAAAGTTAATTAATGAATTTAATAAATTACATGAGGTAATTTTAAAAAATTGAACACCGTTACATAATTATTAATCTTTGTTTTAATTTAGGAAGCAAAGAAAAAGCAAGTTACTGCAACCGAAAACAGAAGAAAAATATTGAGCAAAAGAAGTACAGGGGCGAAGCAAAATTTTTTCAAGCTAGCTAAAAATATAGAAGAAAACGCTGTGCCTATAATAGTTGGACGTTTATGCATTTATGATAACCATGAAATTTCTAATATCTTGTAAAATTAACTTAGGAACCTTTTCACTTAGAAGAGATACGTTTTAAAGAGCTTACTGCATATGAAAGGTTCTTTAAATATTCGCTTAAAACAAGTAAAATTATAATATTATATAGGAGGGTAGCTATCCTGTTAAATTAATTTTTTTATATTTTTTTAGCCTGCATGAAAGTTAAAAGACCGCATTTTTTAACACCGGTAAATTAGCAGAGCTATAGCTATAATCTTTAGACTTAAGTAAATTATTCTACAAAATATAGAGCCTTACAGGAACCTCGCAACAATTTTTTGTGTAAATTACTATAAACATCTCTAATAATATATAGTTTTATATACCTTTCATTATATAAAGTTTAAAAAATTTCTATTGTTTAATAATAGTGTATAGGACTGATTAATAATTTTTTTTTTTTAATATCCTTATAAAGTTATCATTAACTAAGATGTGTTATGATAACAATGAGAACAGTACAATACAGTTAAGGTATTGAGCTATTATTTGCGCTTTATGGGAGAGAAGTATACTACGCATAAAAAATCAAAGTTATTAGTAAAGCACTTGCATAATCTCATATAATCTATACTCTTCTTTTAATGTATAATCAACAGCTATAACAAATTTTCGATTTAACTTTAAACAGTTGTCTTTTTACCAGGCCATTGTTGTTGGTAGTGAAAGTTTTTTATGTTGAAAGTCACATTTTTCTTTATTGTCCTTTAACGGCCTCACACTCTTAAACGAACTTAAAAATTGTATTTTCCCTCTACACCACACTTACTATACCTCTGTATGCCGATCGGCATTGAAATCCGTCCTCCCTGTAATCTTCAGGGGTTTCATGACCCTTTTTGTGAGGGCAAAGATTGTTAACTACTTTACGATAATGTGGACTAAGTCACTATTACGATAGTATACGTCCCTTTATTGTAAATTTTGCTTTAATGTTGTAGAAAGTTGGGGAAAACATACATGCCAGTATACTTGAAAATATGAGCATTGCTTATACTTTTGTTTTAAAAAGACTAGTATATAATTTTGGCTCATGTGTATGTACTTATTCACAGTTAGCTGTAGAGTATTACAGAAAGCAGTCAATGCCAAAGTTTGCCATTTCCACCTATTGAGAAGGGTTGCAGCTTTGTTAGATTAGGTTTTTTCAACTCAGTTGCTTGCAGGGAATACTATCAATAATTTTGTATAATTTTTTCTTCATAAAAAGATGGCTCTAATGACAAACCTTTATAGCTTTCTGTCCTAGCACAGTTAACACACCTTATAAGAGGAGTCAGCAACTAAATAGATATTTAATCAGTTGTGCGATATTAGAGTATACCATGCCTTCTTAGTGGCTCCTGTAGTGAGTACAGCAGAATCCTAAAATACTTTTTACATTTTTGATTATACGAGCACAAAGTTTTTCTGAAATAAAATTGCAGTGCAACCAGTGCTTCATGTATACTCGACGCTTTTCAGGCCGCAACTACTGTTCAACGTTGGTGGATGTCCCTGCTTAAACTATTGTTTCGCAGATATTTACTGGTTCACTCGTAAGATTGTGTTTAATATATATATATAGTATCCATTATATACTTCAGTTTACTCAACTAGTGCTACTCTTAGATTTCTTATAAAACAAAGAACTTTTGAAGATCTATCAAAATGCTTAAGCTTTTCAAGCATATTAAAAATTACTAGAAGTTTCCTTTCCTTATTTAACTTGTAATAATTATGAACTAATTAAATAACAATTAACTCATTTTTTTTTACAGAAAAAAAAACATCTATTGTCGTTGTTATTTAGCTTCTTATATAATTCTTCTATTCCCAAACGAAGTTTTTCTACAGTTCACTGCTTGTGAAGAGGCCTTATATATTTATTTTTTAGTATAACGTTAACTTATAACCCACAAAAAATATCCTTTTGGAATTATTTAAAATTTAAAGAGCTTTCTTTTTTTTTAGTTTTTACTAAATTTTTTTCAGAGTCTCTTTAACTCAGCCATAAGGCTATCGAAATCTTTGCACATTGTAGCACGAAATTTATCAGAACGCTTGTTATTAACTTTTAAGCTATTACAAAATTGTTATAGGCTTCAATATATATATATATATACAGGAAAAACAGAAACTTTCGCGTCTTTCTTAGGGCATTCTTTGAATACCATAAAAAATTTAACACTTGGAAGACGCTTGACGAATTTCGTTTAAAAAAAATGTTAAAGTTGCAGTATGAAGAGCTTAAGTCGCTAAAAAGGACTATAAATTTAGATGAAAAGGCCAATGAAGTGTGGTTAAAAATATTTACTTTACATATTTAAAAAATTTCAAATGTGGTGAGCACGTTGCAATCACGTTTGTGAAAAAAAATTTGCCTGCATAAATACACTTTTACAAAAATAAAATGTGACAGGGCTCCTCTTATCCAACGGCAGCAGGTTCTGATTCTGAATACTTTTAAAAAGTTCAATCATTCTAAAGATAGTACAAATAATAATTATTTATTTTAATCATTATAAACTGTTCTTATACATAGACGAAGGAAATACTTTAAAAAATCATTTGTGTGAAGAATGGACTAACAAAAATTTGGGTAGAAACTCGTTACTTAAATTATTAACCTTATTATACTACCTTGAATTTATAGACATTAAATATACCAACGACTTCTTGGCCCATGAGCTTATGCTTGATCCAAATTTTAAATTAGAACTTCCGGAACCGCACGTATTTAAGTTTGTACTCTCAATGCTGAGTAGTATGATTATATACATACCAAGGCTTATGAACCATACAAGAAGGAGTTTATAGAGTTTCTTAGCGATTCTCTAAAAAAGAAGGATTACTCGTTTGCTCCAGTCTTAATCCACAATATTATGAATGTTTTTACTTTTTTATAATCTAATTACTAGAGTATTTTATTAGTTATGAATATTCAAGAGCCTTCTACATTGTGCGCTAGGATCGAAAGAGGCCCAAAATAAGTTAAAAGATGTTTTGGATGATGATCTCCTACTGCAACAGGTGAGATGCAAGTGGCTGTCGTGCTGCAGTAGTCATACCATATCGCACAATTACAGATCTCAAGGGGCTCTCTTGAAGTGGGCGCTCTTATGAAATTTGTGGTAGACACCATGGGATCACTCTGCGCCCCCGATAGGGACAAGATGGTGGAGTCGCTGCGTTCTCTCGATGCGCTGTACTAATTTTTAAAAATGTAAAGCACTGCGGGTATTATTTTTAAGGATCAGTGAACCACTTATTGCCGGGATCATCGAAACTCTGGCACTCATGAAACTTGACGTGGTAAGTAATCTTTGCTTTAAAAAAGTACTAATTCAAAGAGGCTCTGAAATAAACAGGCCAACTACCAACTGAGGAGCATTCTACCTTTCTTAAAGGCTCACGGCTACCAATATGAGCTCGAAATGTTTCTAAAAAGGGTGGGGGGTTTCGGCAATTTGGTTTTAGACTGTAAAAAGGATATTAATAGTACTCTAAGTAACAGTTCTCCGCTAGAATAAAACGGAAAGATGGCTAACAAGTGCCTTAACGCGAGGCTCGAAAGACTCTTTACAAAAAACTTTTGTCATGGGGATTGCCGATATTTTGTTCACGGCAGACAATTGGTCGCTCAACACGTGCCCAGAGGTCGCTACAGTATAACTCTTGACCTGTGGCGGTAAATTATTAAACAATCTAAGTAGATTCTCAAGTTAGACTACGGGAGGCTGAAAGAGAGCATCGAGAAGATTAAAAATATTGTAAAGACTGCGTGCACTCTGCTCCATATGGAGATGCATGCGCGCGCTCTACGAAATGCTAGTGGTGAGATTCATATCATTAATAAGGATACAGTAGCTAATAAAACTAGTCTTAGGTTTCAAGAAAAAGTTAAGCAACGACTTGCTGGTTTTGCTAAGCGGTATCGAAAAAGGTTTGTCTTACTGAGTAAAAACAAGCATGGTCTAGATACCTTTTAACCAGAATTCGACAAAAACATTAGCGCCTGCGAGCACGCGCTCAAGTTAATGGCTACCTTCCTTCGAGACTTAGATCAACCAGAGCTGTTGCACAAAGGTAAATATAGACGTACTACCTGGGAGTCTGCCATTATAAGGAATTTTATCGTCTCACAGATAAATCCTCCTTAACGAACTTAATACTCCAATCATATAATCAAGAAAACGTTCTTAACCGACACGTAAGAAAGATTTCCCGCACCGTTAGTAAATCATGTGCATTGCTCTTCTATTTATAAAGGTCAAACGAAAGCTGCGCAGTCTCATTGAAGATATCTTAAGCAGTGTGCTAAAAACTCAAACGGCCTTGAAAGAGTGGACGCTACCGAGAGGGAACGTGGAATTCTCGGCACTGGAAAACCACCTGAATGACCTTCTGCTTGATATAAATAGAGTGGTCCTCCACGACTATATGGTTTACGGAGACATATGCAAACAAATCATAGCTTCGATTCGAACGGAAACACACGAGGCTGAAACGGACTAAAGGATGCGAATGACATTAATAAAAAGGGGGGCCCAAGCTGCAGATTCACGCTATTTATAGGAATGCGAAAAGAAGAGTCTGGTTGGCTCGCACCTGGGATTAGTGCAAGCATGGCACTTTAGGCTTAGTTGGGGTGAGCAGGCAAAATTATTAACGGTCACGTGCTCTATTTCAGTAATAAAAGGTAGTAGACCCTCTAATTAGATATAATAACCAGCGACACCTTTTACAATGTCCGTCAAGGCATTGATGAAGGATGGCCGTGTGTTCATCGACGGGGCACGCCTCAGTTTGAAGGTAGAAGACTACATGCAAGAGCGTTATAAGAAGCAATCTCCGCAAGGAATACCATGATGTCACCCGTCCGACTTCTTCCTGCAATTCAATGTCCAGCTCGTACAGAGTTTCTATGTGGTCCGATGTGAAGGTGACGGGGGCTAGCATCATATTTTTTCCTTGCTTAGCGTATCCTGTTGGTTGTCAACAACTACAACAAAGACAGATAATCTTATTGGGGACCCTTTAAGGTTTCCAGAGTAGAAGGCCTGAGCCACCTGATCGGCCCAACTTTAGACTAGCATGACATAAGTGTGCGCTATACTACTCCAACAAAGCTAAAAAAGGTAGACCTGCCAAGCCAAACAAAAAGGATTTCTATAAGAAAGATTTTCCATTATTTTGTTCACTGATGCCGCAACTTCCTGCAAACAAATATATATATATTAATAGTATAGAGGAGTAAAGGGCAGGAAAAAGAAGCACGAGGGGGTAGGAGTCGCCTTTGGAGACTACGCTCAGCGGCAACGAATGGGCGGTGAAGAGAAGAACAACGTCTTCTCTCTCCTGTTCGGAAAAACCAGATTGCAGTTCCTCCCTTATCGAGTCAGCAAAAGCCTGAAGGAATGTGCAACTATTTCTCAAACGCCTTCAGTTACTATTATAATGAAAACCTTAACAAAAGAGGGATGAGTGCTCCAACGATCTATAACGGACCACTTTATGGCGTTGGAGTGCTTCGTTTCCTTCAATGAAATGTATAAATCTTTTATATTCAACAACCAAAACAAAATATTTATTACTTCTCTATAACAATACATAAATATACAACGCTAATAGTAAAAGAGACCGTTCAGACTGCTTCCAGTAGTGCAACACGAATATTGCGGATATTGAGGGAAAACAATAACCCTCTCAAACTGGCCCTAAAAGTCAATAAAAAAAATAAATATAAAATAGTCGATTGCTACATAACTCACTTTACAAATTTCGTCGACCACTTCCTTAGAAAAGGGCTGCACATAACGAAACGATATATAAGGCTTGTGGGGAGCTACAGAGGTGTAATAGAAAAAAACAACAACAATATTATAATAATTATTGCCTGTTTCTGGTAAAACTTTATCCAAACTGTGACAAAGCAGTACACTTTGTTTTTCTGACCAGAATTTTATAGGAGAGCCTCCGCCAATCTTTACATAACTTTCTTGAACCGACCGAGTTCGGCTAATTAATTAGAAAAACTAATAAAATAATCAAGCAAAAAAGTAATTTTTTTCTAACGTACTGTTAAACTAAGCGCATAATAATAAAAATAATACCTCCTGGCAATCACTTTAGACAAGAAAGACTGAAAGGGCAGAGTCAGTAGATCTCCTTTAAAATTTTTAAATAGTAAATTACTAATTAAGATATTAAAAATTTTCATATAACGAATACAATATGTTTAACAAAACTATTTAAAATTAAAATCCATATAAAAAATATGTAAATAATTAAATCTTATATATAATAGGATAGGTAAATCAGAAAAAAGTTGATAGTATGGAGTCCTAAATAAATAAGCGTTATTCTAATATATTCTGCTATTATTTATACGATTATTATATTGTACAACATGCACTATAAGCTATTTTCATTAAAGTTTACTGAATTTAAATAATAATAAAGAAAAGTTTTTTCAAATATATTAGTAAAAGTAGTAGAAGAAACAAAGAATTAACAAAGGCCTCACATGTCCAAACAACAATACGATGCTTTTATTTATATAAAAGTATAAACTAACTAGAAACAAGCAAAAAAGATTATAATTCTAACATTATCTGTAAATCTTAAAATAAATCATTCTTAAAGAAACCAAATGAGTTAAATATATATCAACGATACCATCGCTAAACAAACGTTGAAGAAAATTGTAAACACCCTCTTTACTCTCCGGGCCGCCCATGTTTAAGAAAAGAATACATGTCTTTGGTCTAAGCGTAATTAATATAAAAGTTCAAAGTTTTTAAAACTAGCATGTAAAAGATATACAAACTTCGTCAAAATAATATATAATAAGTAAATAACAGAATTTAATCTTTAAAATGTTCAATCAAAACTACTTTGTCATTATAACATTGGAAAAGCTATTATTTGGCAAAAAAGTATATATTGGATATTCAAATACGTTAGGACTATTACAAAAAGCTACATGAAAATTTAAATGAATTATGAAACTAACAATATAAAAGATCTTCGCTTTTAATTAACTTTTAAAGATGGTATATATATAAATAAAAATTAAAAAAATTTTTATATAACTATATGTATTAATTATAACAACTTAAATTTACAACTAAAATAAAGGTAAAACATTCTTAAGAGCTAAAGAAATTTCATATTCTGATTGACAAAATAATAATAGCAGTACTTAAAGTAGATAAACTTAGAATAATTTTTTTTATATCAAATAAACTTATATAGCCATCAATTAAGTATGTTTGTCCCTATGAAATAGTAAACTTAGAAATTTTTATATCATTCAAGTAATAATAGTAATATGATAAAAAAATCATAGAAAATACTAATTTATATTAAATACCTCAGAGACGCCATTGAAATTATAAAGTTATATAGCTAATTTTTTTAAATATGAACTAAAATACTAGACTGGATGCAGAGTTATATAAAGCTAATTTTACTAATTCTATTAAGCAAGTAGTAATGCTCCTTCAGTCCTAGTAGAAACACGTAACCAAGTCATATGTCCAAGAAGCTTCAATGCTTCCCTTCCGCGAGCATCCTTGGCTATCGCTGCGACCACCGTGAGGTAGACGTCGGTCATCTTTTAAAGATCCTGTTTAGACAACTGTGTAGGTGCTGAGTAAAATGTCTTTTAGCGCTGTCATTTCAAATTTTGCGAGCTACGTGATAGCAAGTACATCCTCCATGGGAGCGCGGAGTACTCTGTGTCCCTAGCTCATGTCATAATGCGCACGAAAAAGATCATGCCTATATTAAAAATGTACGTCTGCAGGCGCCTTAGACCTGGCGGCTTCTCGCGGGCCTCGCTGTAAGGAAGTCAATAGGTCGCTACCCTAGATTGAATGTATGCTCCATGCAGATTTACTTTAGGTTTAATATAACCTCTTTTCTTCGAAGGGGCCTTGGACAATGCTGTTTGATGCTTCTTGTGTCATTAATTTTCAGCAAAATATAGCTAGTATCCTCCTTGAGGCTCGGGCTTGGTTATGGCAAGAATGGTGTTAGTTAATTATGAAACCCAATGAAGCGTGACTATGGCACCTTTTATAGCTAAGCTATGAATTCACGGTGGGCAAACACTGAGAAGAGTGGTAAGTTATGTAACGCACAGTTCGAAAGAACTACTCTTAAACCTGGCAAAAGACCTCTGTAGCATAAATTCTGTGGCAGGTTTTATCTTACCTGTATCTTATAGGTTATAATACTAGGCCTATAGCATACCTTGTGCCCGGTTCCTTTGTGCACACTAGCGAGACATAATTCGTTCTAATGATTGACTTATGTTACATTCTCAGTATGAAAACTAAAGGCTCATTAAACTTGAACTTAAATACTCAGATTCTGACAAGTTGTATACTGGCATTCGCCTATGAATGTCTTTTCTACTCAGACTCATTCATACTAAGCCTGTATTGAAATATTAACAAGATATGCTAGGTTAGCATGGACACTACCTTTATCAGCAAGTACGTGCGACCGAAAGCGTTAGAGGTAAGCTCTGTATAATGAGTTACGACAAATAATACTGTCCCGTTCCTGGACCGTTAGTGTAGTAACATCCCTGGCCTGAACAGGAAAGCGAAGGGCTAATTAACCTTAGCCTGAATAGATCTAGTAGTCAGCGCTGGAAATATAGTGCTGGCTTTTAGAAGGCTAAGGGTGCTGCTGTACTAGTGTTAGTATCTTCTATCTAAGACCCGCCTAGTTATCGGATCTTGGGAGCGAGGTATCAAATAGTGTTATTTACCGGGATACTATAAGAACTAAAAATCGGGCATCTAGTTATGACAAAATTGTCATTCAAACACGTGCACTATATAATAAAGACCACGCAAGTGCTTAATAATTAGGGTAAGTGGCTGGTCACACAATTTTGAGTTGCAGTGAACTAACAATTATTATACTGTGACTTTCATCGTGTAATGTTCTTTATTTACTACAGTTATCTGAGGGTGTATGAAGAAAGTTTTATTACGAATTAACAATAGATAGTAAAATCCAATATTACACTACTTGTCTGTATTAGACGTACTATAGCGCAGTTATGATCAAATAGTAATTTTAAAGCATTACAAATAATATTACTTGCATCTGTTCTGCGTTCTAGAAGTTAAAGGCACCAAGGGTTGCTTGTCTGTAGGCAATAATAGCGGAACAAAAACATAGCAAAATTATATCTAGTTACTCGCCTTTTATCTTTAAATAAGTCAAGAGGTATATGTCATACTTTTTGTTAAATAACTATAAACGATAAAAATAAAACGGTTCCAACATAGTAAACAGGAAGACAAAAAAAAATTTTTGCATGTCCAATAAGTCAAGTGCAGAATGCTTAGCCTTCTCAGGGCGCCCATAAAGCTTATCATGGCCGTCCCCAAGGACTGGGGAGTGGAAAACCGCTTAAAAAACCACTGGGAAAGGCAATATTCGTGCTCTAGACCCGAGCTCCCCCACTCGACCCTCAGCTCCTTATCAGAAGGGGAGAGGCTATATTGTGAAGGACACGAATAATTAATCGTTTCATTAATTACTATAAATAGTTCTCTTAGAGTTTTGACTTGATGTTTTATAAAAAAAGGGTATACACATAGGAAAGATAATCTTTGATTATTTATATATGATCTACGACATAGCGTGGTAGCCGGCAAGCAAGCATACTCTCCTTCAACGTTTTGACTTTGAATCGAAAGTTATAACAAATTCTTGCTATTCTACATTATGTATGTGTCAATCTTTTTATAAAAATTGAAGCCGATGTATATTAAGTTATTAGTGAAGTCTAAACTTAAATTGTTTTCGGGTAGTAATAGGTTACAGCCTTTAGGCGTCGGAACAAGCTTAACCTAAATCAATTGTAAAGCGCAGGTCAGTATCACAGGCCCTTCTTTAATAAGACGTAGTCTCAAAGATATGGTAACCATCAAAAAGTATAAAATCATTTGCAAAATTTTCTACAATTGGCAACAAGTTGCGGTTGTCTTACGACGAAGATCTTGCCTATTTTTTTTTCGCCAAGCACAGTAGTAGCACGGCCAGATATACTAAATTTTTAAGTCAGTCTAAGTACCTTATGGCGTATGTAAAGCAGTAGCTTCTTTTCCAGCTTACCACTATAACCAAAGTTTAAAATGGGTTAATCAAAGGTAGGGAGTGTATTACACGAAAGACTTAAGCGGTATTTTTATATAAACCGTTTATAACTATAATTACAACTCCTAGGCCCATAACTAAATAAGAGGCTAGAGAGTAAGTAATTTTACGTCGTTTGTGAGTTCCAGTATGTTTGCAAAGTATATGAGGCGAAATCTGTTTATGCAACAGCTATTTTATTAATAATGTGCTTCTATTATGTACTCTTTAAAGCCAGAAAGGTTTAGCACCTTTAATTGTCCTAAAACATTACAGATAAGGAAATTTTTAAATTTATTATATAGAAAAAAATTTGTGATAATAGGGTTTTTTCACTATGAAGGAAAAACAATTACCAATTTTACTGACATCTCGGATGTCACCAGCTAAATGAGAATAATAACCGCACACAGTAAGTTTATTTTATGCTTTAGAAAAAATTTCATGCGTATGTTAAATATTCTTGTCTTATCGTTCCTCTATGCACAATTTTTTTTTTGAAATGTAATAAGTTAAATTTGTTTGGCCTTCTTCATAACTAATTTTATTTATAAATGGCATCGGCCACAGCAATAACGTCACTCATTGCTTCTACATGATGCACTCGAACAATTGAAGCGTGCGCCTCCACGCATGCAGTAACGCAAGCAGCGGTTGCATAATCCCTTTTTAGGCGCCCTTCACATACTTTTTCAAAAGTATTCTCGCTAAACATAATTAATCGTAGATAATGCATTAATATTATAGTTCCTTACCAGTCATCTAAAGTTCTAACAAAACTTCCACTTTGAAAATTTCGTTTCTTTAAAATGAGACTCTCTAAAAATTGTTTACGCGACGGTCCAACAAGAACAGGATAATCTTTTAATACTAAATAGTTTTTATTTTGCTGTTCACTGCACTTGCGCGCGTCCGTAGAAAAAAGTTTTTTCAAGTTCTTTATAACAGCAATGTTTTCCTTTAAGCCCTTAGCAAATCCAATCCCAGGATCTAAAACTTTCAAGTGTTTGCTACCACAAATTAAAAAAAAAATTTTAAAGCTCAAACTAATATTCCAACGCGGGACTCCATTATTCAGAGCAAAGATGACCTGCTGCGCCATTTCTTTTGCAATATCGTCTATAACATTATTATACTGCTTGCGAGTAGCCATATCCGAGGGACTTCCTTATGTTATGATTCAGAGAAAACAGAGCTGTGCCAATATTGAATACGTACCTCGCGAGTGAGTGATGACGAAGGGGACCCCCAAACCAGCTACAACCAGGAGCATCTGCTCATCCAGCTTCCCGCCGCTAATATCTTTGGTAACAAAATTAAAAAGGTTTACAATATTTTACTAAGTATTAACCGTTGACCATATGAGCGCCTTCAAGTATTGCAGCTTTAGCCACCTTTCATTCGTTTATAATAATAATAATAATAATAATAATAATAATAATAATAATAATAATAATAATAATAATAATAATAATAATAATAGAATGCCTCACTACGGTACGTATCCACAGATATAATCGTTTGAAGCCCTTCATATATATACAAGTGACGATGATAACAAACTATCAACAGTTCTCAAAGCTACGTGTGCAACCACTTTCGCGGATCTTGCGGATTACGGGAATTACTCTGAAGTAAAAAATATTTAACAAAATAAAAAAAGGAGTATTCAATACTAACCTTCTAAGTTCTTCTTCTACTGTAACTTCACAAGCTCCTTTATAAAAATATATTTATAAAATAAGTTTTTGTAATTTTACTTAGTAAATCCTTTATCAACAGTTCAAATAAAAATAAAAAAATAAGATGTTATTAAGTCTCCTTCGTATATTATAATAATATAAAATTTACTTAAAGATTTCTAAATATAAAAAATTATAAGCCGACCTGGACGAGTAGACTGCCCCCCAATATCGATAATATCAGCGCCCAAACTAATAAGCTCCTTCGCTCTCTGTTAAATAATATAAAGAAAAAATAGTTATTAAACTTCAAAAAAACAAACAGTTTAGAGTGTGATTATAGATGGCATAATAGTAACACGTAAAGTAACCAAAATATTTATATCAAGTAAAACTACTAATATACTTCTAAAGCTTTTTCCAGAGTGTTGTATTCGCCGCCATCGCTGAAACTATCAGGCGTAACATTGAGAATGCCCATCAAACGCGTGGGTTTGTCTCGCATCCAAATACTTATAAAAAACATATCTATCAGCCCTTTCTAAATATATCTATAAAATTAATATCGTCCTATGTAACTTAAAAAATCTCAATAAAAAAACGGCTTTTTTTTTTTACAAAACAAAAAAAAGGCAGATATCGTTAGGCTCGAAATATTATTTTATGCTCAAAGAAAAGTTACGTTAATGAACAATTATAAAGCAGCTATATAATATTAATATAATAATAAAATAAGAACTTATAGTTTAATTATGAGTAACTTTTCTGAATCAGAGTTGTTATTTGAAACCAATGGCAAAACTTGTGCATAATGGCCTTCAGAGTTAAAGGCACTGAGAAGTTCTTCATAAGACTTATTGAGCTGAGGGTGGATGCCGTCCGGTATAAGGCTGATGTACGTACAAATAAAATATTACAAGTATTAAACGAAAAGCCGAGTAAGGTTATTGGTTTTATATATATCTCATAACATTGCATTATTTTTAAAGGGTTATTAGTAATACTTAAAAACTAAATTATGACAATTTTAAACTCTTACTCATTCCTCAGTTTTAATAACTTGTAACCAGTCACTGAGAGTGAAACTATATACTTGAAGAGGTAGTAAATAAGAAAAAAAGAGATTAAGCGAGTAAAGCAAGAAGACTACAAATAGCACTTCTTAAGTCTTTAAAACAAATTCTACAAGCCCATTAGTTACCTTATTCTATTATAATTTTGCCTATATTTTATTGAAACTTTAGCTTCTTTACTTTTTTGATATAATTTAATTGAAGTATTGTATTAAAAAGCAACAGCCCTCTTCCACAAGCGGTGATTTACAGAATTTAGCTTAAAATAAAAGCGGCGTTTTTTAAAAACCGTTAATTGTTTTATAAGTTCATAACTCTTTTATATACACACAGGAAGAAATTAACATAGTAAGCCAAGAGAGTTTAAATTTTAACTTAACTTTATATAGAGGCCGTGTACAGAAAACACAAATTTTATATTAGAAAACGTAATAATATATATTTATACAATAAAATTTAAAAGTGAACTTATTAGCAATAATAACTATATTAAAGTCTTGCAAAAATAAATTTTGATTACCATAATAATAACTTTATTAATTAAATAAGAGTTATAAGAAATCATATAATAGAAAAGTGTGTTGAAAAGTGCCTAAAATTTTTAAATAAATAAACTCTATATAATACTCGCATAAAGGTTTTAAGACAAAGGTCCGTTCGTGAAGCCTGGGATGGGGGACAACCAACATTTCATTGTCTTGGTTTATAATATTATCATCATATAATAAAATATCCTTATAAGCATTGTAAGTAAAATATAACACCAAATTTGCTACTGGCTTTACCATGTCAATGACTCGCGGGCCATACCGAAAATTCTCTACTCGGCCCTATGAACATATAATAATTAACAACAAAGTTAATAAAAGTTATATTATAAGGTCAAATAAAACTTAAAAAAAATAAAAAAAATAATATAGCTATATATAAAACATTACTAAACTAGTTTCTGCGCTTTTTAACACACTTAGCAAATTCATGGGCAATAGATGCGTTTTAATCTATAATAAAATTCGATACAATTAAACTCTCTAACACGGAACATTATTTCTACCAACACTTAAACTTTGTGAGGCTCATATATCATAGTAAGAAATAAAAAATTTGAACTTTTTTATTAACCTCAATTACAGCATTTAAAAATTTAGGTTGTTCTAAACAGTAAAAAGGAGGAGTTTCGTAGAGAAAGGAGGTACGTAAATGATTTTCAAGAGAAAGTGTTTTTAAAAATTCAAAGGCATTCTTAATATTTTTAAGCCTACATCCTAGTAACATTTGATATTATTAACGTATAAAAGATTTAGTATACGGAAAAATATAAAAACTTTAAAATAGACCCACCTAGATTAGAACCCACTGAAATAAAGACACGAGCCATCACTTAAACTTAAATTTAGTAAAACCCGGGTCACCGGGTTAATATTTAAGTAACTTGTTGTGGCTCTGGTCACCTCTTAAACCGAAGCTTCTTGATGAGGGTCAAGAAAATGTGCAATAGTGTAATACACTGCCGATTAAAATCATTTCAATGTTTTAGATTTTTTCGTAGAAATTCTATAATACTTTACTTAATATTTGATATATTGATCCCTTATAGATTGAGATCTAATTAACGTAGTGTGTATTAGAGGGATGCTTTCTTATTTAAATCTTCACAGCTTTATAAAGTTTATGTATCGATTGGAACGATTTCGCACGAGGCCTCCCTTCATACAAAATTGTTTCAATTCTTTGTACGGAATTTTCATGGTCACTCCCTCATAAGGGGGTTTTTTTTAAAGCGTTTGGGTGACTATAAAGGATAGTTTATTTAGAGACCTTACTTTAAGAATGCGTAATCTTTCAATCGATAAGAATAATGATGTAGAATGCCTTTTAAATCAGGGCAAGCCTTATTTTGTGATCGCTCGTGAATGTGGTGTCAGTAAGGCCACAATATTCTGGATCAAAGCTCAATATAATCCAAATAGTTCTTGCAATGAACCTTGGTGTCCAAAGGTCTTAAAAACCGGGATGTAGCTCTACTTGTACGACAAGTGACAGTGGGTGCGAACTGAATCTGCTCAGAAAGCTTCAAAGATCATGGAAACAACATTAGATAGACCAGTTTCAAGATCGACCGTACCGAGAATATTGTATTCAGCTGGTCTCCATGCGAAAAAAAGTTAATTAAGTCCACCTTGACGTCACAAGCGACAAAGATTTTGAGTTTGAGAAGTACGCAAATTGGTCCATTTCTGTGGGAAAAAATTATTTTTTCAGACGAAACCAAGACCAAGCGATATGGTTCATAGTATTAGGTGGTGTTGGAAGCAATCCAGCGATAATTCAATACTTGATGACCAGGTGGTTCAAACGTATAAACATGGGGGATGATCAATTATAATTTGGTCCTGTATAACATCTAAGGGGGTCCGATATATGAAAAATGTGACATTGATCATCACCGCAAGCACGTAGGTTAGACATTATCAAGAATGACCTACCAAACATGCGATTTGTATGGCCGTGCTGTTGGTAAAATGGTTTTTCGGCAGGATAATATCCCATATCACACGGCACTATCGATGCGCTCATGGCTCCAATTACTGTCGTTCGGATTGCCTCCGTAATTTCATGATCTCAGTCCCATTGAGCAGGCATGGGGAATCTCGAGAAAATTTGGTCTATGCGAACCGGCTCGTGCCAACTTGGACAAGCTTTGGACGCGTACAATCAGAATGGAAAAGTGCAACGCCGGATCAACCCTACAACCTGATTGCCAGTATGCTACAGAGGACGCAAGCAGTGATTCTGGCCAAAGGGAGCTAAACTAATTATTAAAACTTTGTTTATTAAATTAAATTCTTTCTTCTGCAGAATTGTTTCTATAATCTTTCAACTTTACAAGCTCATATCTTTTCAATTCCAAACCATCAAGATCAAGTATTAACAAAAGGTAGCTAGAACATAAAAGTTTACTGTATGAATTTTAAATTAATCCATTACGTTATTGAAAAGTTATTCTATATTAAATTAAAAAATGCACAATATTAAAACAATTTTCCACAGCAGCGTTTATGCATCTACTTCACTGCACTTAAATAATATGAACTCTTTGTTAATTGAGAGCTGTTTTTAAGAAAAAAACTTATAAAGTTAATGTTTATATTATGTTATTAGTGCACTATTATCAAACTCCTTTAATACGTGCAGAATTATAATCACCACAACAACATGAAAACGTACCTTTGCGCGCTTACTTAAACTTTATCATTACATAAAAATCCCTTAGCTTCTCAAGCACACAAATAGTAGGGGATAATAGAGTAGTTAAATGAGTACACCATTTTCTAAAGTTTGTAGTTTTTTACTAGCTTCCTAACAAAAAGGCATACTCCTGCTCTATATATTGAAATAGTCCCTCTTAGGAATTTATCCTCTCTTTACCCTCTCCTTTCTATACTGTGATATAGTGCATTTTCAAGTAAAGGCGCAAGCCTAATTACAAAAGTTCCCAACCTTAACAGCTGACTTATTGATATATTTGGCAATTTAAGCTTAAAAAGGTCTGTTATAAAATTAATTATATTTCTAGAACCTAATATTAAAAAAATAATAAATCAAATAAGGTTCTTTGGTGACTGCGTCTTTAACTTAATATTCATGTTTACCCACAACATATATAAAGCTATAATACTCTAAAACAAATTCTTTTGCTGAGTAAAACGAAGTAATTAATCTGTCATTGTAAGTTAAAATTTCTGTTTTAGTTCTTTAATTATTCTTAATTTCATCATAATAGTTCAAAAGTTCACTCTATATACTTGCAATAGTTTTTTGAAAAAATCATTAACAAAATTTGCAACCAAAAAATAGCAAGTTAATTTTAAAAACTAAAAACAAAGAAAAAAAATTTTAAAAGGGGATCCGGGAGGCCGATTTTTGACCAATAACGATTCTTATTTAGAACTTTCTAAAACCCCCTGGATCCTAAATTAACACAATCAGTTCCCATAAATGTACTTTTTTTATGAATTCCAACTAATTAATTGAACAATATAACTACTAAAGCCGTATAAAGGTTAATCAACTATTTAATAATAATCATAAGTTATTAAAAGGTTGTACAAAGCAAGCAATAGACCTTTAATAATTTACTAAGGCTTCCTTAAAGAAAAGGATCCACGCACAAAGTGTTAGGGAGGTAAATATTACGTAATATACTGCACAGCGAAATAAGGCAAGGCAACTAAGCTTATGTTAAAGAGGATTGAATAAATATGAAAAGCTGATAATTAGAATTTTCCAACGCAAAGTAGAAGGATAAAAGACTCCCTGAATGGACGGAATAATAATATATACGAACAGTAAGGTCTATGATAAACACGTTATTCAAAAATGGCATAGTTATTATCCATAAATGTATGTCACTGGCATTAAGTTCTTAAGATTAAAATAAATATTATATTCAGCGTTGGAAGATGAAATTAATTTTTTAAAAAGTATTACATGGCAAACATGCTTAAGTTTAAAAGCTAACAACTAAGTATAAAAGTTTAAAGAATTACGATAATCAACTAAAAAACATAAACAGGTTCTCTTAGTTATAACTAAATAAAGAAAACAATTGAAACCTTCTATAAGGATTGTATACAGCATGAGCAAACTTATTTTAATACCATAACAATGTTCACATACAATTTATTTCTTTGCTGACGCAAAAACTTCAGCCTTCTTTTTGCCTCTAAACTTCTTACAACGATTTTTAGTTTCTTTAATCCTCTTACGAGCCATTCTCTTATGTTCTATAAGTCCAAAACGTGCTTGACGATATTTGCGTTCAAACTTCATCAAAGCATCTACTGAATCATACACCAGAGCAAATCCAGTAGACTTACCACCACCAAAAACAGTTCGAAAGCCAAAAAGCATGACGGCCTTAGGATCACAATTCTAGTATAATAGATATAAAGTTTTAAGTTTTAAAACAATCAATTAGTACAAAAAATATATACTTACATAACGTTTGGCTAGTTCACTCTGAATTTCTGATTTTCGAACATTAGGTAGGTTATGGTGGTATACGTCCACAACCATTTGCTTCCTTTGAAGCAAGCGGTTGGTCATAAATTTTCGTGTGTGTAAACGATAAGAACCTACAGACTTAGAAATAAAAATATAAGCCATAAAAGTATCATGAAATCATAAATAATAAAACTAACAGAAGGCATTAGCGTAACAGTCGAACGGGCAGTGTACTGCACAACGTAAAATGGGGACGTAACTTTACAAGTTTTCTACGTAAACAGTTCATTTCTTTTATGACCACGTGAAAATAACTCCACTCAACTTACTGAGGCCGGCTTTCTTCCTTGGAGATACCTTTGCACATATAGGTTTTGCTAGAAGAGTTCGTAAACAGTTTAGTTTTCAATGCTGAAATTCATAAAATATTTAATAATTTTAGGTGTATTTGGCTAATAATGGAGGCCACAACTTTTTTCAATATAGTATTGATTCTATCTTTGGGATTTTTCTTTGCCTTAAGTTCTTGGCACCAACCGCCGGCGTTTTTACCTAATCTTACATTATTTTTGTGTCGTTGTTGTTTTACGCTTTTTTTACAAGTACATGGTGAAAAATAAGATTCCAGTATATTTAGACGACTTTGATATTATAACTCTAACCTTATTTCGAAGTTTGTCACTTTAAATAATACATTTTTGGTTTATAACTTTTACAAGGAGACAATATGTGATATAAAAATTGCTTATTATTTGCGATTGGGTTCGACATCTTTTTACGTAACACTTCAAATTGCTAAATGAGCATTATAACACATAAACTGTGATACAACTTTCTGGCTATATGCTAGCCTTCTAGCTGTTAGTAACTTAGATTTCAATATTTGTTAAATCTAATATTAGAGTCCTGGCAATGTCTTATCTTACGTTTACTAAGTAATTAATTATTTATATAAAATAGCTTATGTAAATTTATTTAATCTAATTTTAATTTGTGGGGGGCACCATATATAGTGCGTAAGTTGATGTATATACAATAATAGTTTCTGTGTATATTAAACTTAAGATTACAGTATCTTCATATGGTATTTTAATTATAATATAATTAATATTATTTTCTTTTAGAAATGTTACACAGAATCTTATATACAATAATGTTTGCTTAAAGGATACAAACATATAAAAAATGTGAAACTTTATGTATTTAATCTTACTGACCCTCTACTGACGAGAAGTCTAACGTGTCGGTACTGAAAGTTGTATCCATCAAAAAATTTTTTAGGTTAACAGAATATAGCTAAAACTTTTTAATTAGCAGCATTGCTTCAAACCACGTACATCTAACTATTGCAGTTCTCTTTTTTTAATTTTCTATCTTTTTTTACCAATCAGGGTGGTCAATAATATCAAGGTATAATCCCCCAATTTCTGGGCTAAGCGGAAATTTTCCGCCCGACCCTATAAATTTTGTACATGATATACGAAGGCTCCGAAGTCTCTATTAATGTGTCTATGCAGGTAGGTTTTGGTTTTTATACATTTTTAATGAAAAAGTGTCCCATTCAGGATTTCTAGTAAAAATGGTTTTTTTATACTGAGGAATCATGGGATGGCAGAGAGGTGGGCATCTAACCCAGAGAACTCTGGAAAGTTAGGCCAGCATGACTGCTAACCAGGCCTCCCCAGGTTAGTAAATCCTGAAATACTTAGTCCTAGTATTCTTATTTTTCAAGCGCTATGCTCTCTTGTGAAGCCCGCTTAATTATTTTATACTTTTAACACGTGTATATATGCACTTGTTTGGTTACACGGAAGCTAAAGTAGTACTATCATGTGACGCCGGAAATCTCTTCGTTATAAAATTCTGTTCATGTAGGCAAAAAAAGCAAAACCCTTTTATCACGAAAAAGCGCACTGCACCACTACCGCTGCTAACCTTCAAGGTTTAGGATAATCCATCAACATTATTATAAAGTATATATAAAATGAAAGTATATAAAGTATGAGTTAGTGAAATCTATGTATATTGATGTCTACAATTGTTAAATAAGAAAATGTATAAAAATAAAATATATATAATACAAGATACAATTATTTTAAAACAAAGGATGCTTTATTAGTCATTTTTCGGTACTTATACCTTTGTTATTCTAAATCTCCATTTCGCGTAGTTCTTATGACTTAACTATAGCGCCTTAATTATATAATAAAAGGAAGGTAGAAGTAGAACCCTTTTACTGAATTATTTCGCACTACCCCGAACAAATAAAATCCCCCCCAGTGAGTACGTCGTTATAAGGTATTTTTTTATTGCTGCTCATATGCGCATATTATTAACGTTTATAACCAGTATTATCGACTCTTGCGCGTTAAGATCAAACATTTAATTTAAGTGCTCATTAACCCTCGACTCCTCGTTAGAGCTTATTTAACTAAAAATGCGCCTAGTTCACACTACAAAAAGGTCGAAAAGTGCTTCAAATATGAATAGTAAATTTAATAGAACCAGATATTTACTTTGTTTAGTTTGTATTTAATTAATAAAGTGTGTCAAATATTATTTTGTATAGGGAGAAAATGTAATTTCCTTTCTCTTATACTTTTATTAGCTGTTTAATATGAACTTAATTAGTTTATTCACGGATCACTTTTTTCGTAAAATTTTGGGTGTTTGGGTCTTGTGTTTTTGTATTTGTGCTTTGCGTTCATGTGCTTCATAGTCAATTTACTTTATAGTTAATATATTGACAATTCACATTTGTTCTAGTCTTAAGTTTATGTTTTATCTTTTTTGTTTCTTTTTTTTTGTTTTTTGTTTTGTCTCGTGTTTTAAAATTGCATCTTAGGTGATTGGTATACTGTTTTATTGTGTTATAATCCTTTGGCCTTCCCAAATGAAATATTTAATAACTTTTGGTGTAGGTCGCACGTAAACTATTTAGCGGTGAAGGTCAAGTGGCGGCTCAAACTCTTTATCCTTCACCCTTCCCAGAAGCAAACTCTCGTTGCACAACAAGCGAACGCTTGCGTTGTGTGTTCCGCTAACATGCCATATTCGTCTTACCTGGTCCTACGATTCACTGATAACAGTCTTGTCGCTTCAAGTGAGAGAAAACAAACCTCGTACGTCTTTTAATGGGCACACCGTGGTTTGTTCAAAATGATGTTTTTATTAAGACTTCCAGATTGAGCTGCATCTTATCAATTAGTTACTGGTAAACGAGATCAGCTACCAACCAAGGGACGGTGCACGCTTGCCCATCGCGCAGTGCGCTTCAAATTGTTTAACTTAAATAGGGGTTTGGGCTACAGTAAATGGGTACGCATATTTATGGGATTCCTTATATGGAAACCGTAACCTAGTTTGCATGACATTAACCTTTGGAGTGCTCGTAACTTAGGTGTTTTCATCAAGCACCAAATGTATCATAAAAAAAAAAGAAGCACTAATCGTTTATTCTCTTCATGGTTAAGTGTTGTCCCTCGTCTTTTGTTCTTTTCTATTCTTAGTACCTTCGGTTAGATAAGTGTCTGATATATATTTGTTCGGCTCTTGTCACATTATTAGTAAACAAAATATTTGTTATTAACACTTTTCTATTGGGGTGTACAACGCTTTTCCCTCTTCAAAGAAGTAACAAATTTTATTTGGTCCGTAATAGTCCCTCACCCAGGTCAAAGAGATTTTTATTAAATGGCGTGCACCCATCCTGACTGTCTCGAAGGACGAGGAGTGGCGGATGCGTATTGGATACCCGGACTCCCTCTTCATTCGGCTCAGAATGGTGGCAATTCGCTTAAAACCATCAATAGGGGGTAGTTTTGAGTACTCGACTTGAGGTTACCCGAAGAAACCGACTAGCATAGTCGCTAGACAAATTTTTTAGGCATCAGCTCCCCGCTCAAGGAAAAAAGCTTTTCTTTATTATTATCAGTCACACATATATTTATACTCTATAAAAAATCATTTTTAGACGCATGATGTGTTTATAATTATTGTTTTGATAATGATAACTAAAGTTCTAGAGGTTGTTTTAATGGTTGCTACTAGATTATATTATTGCAGGATGTTCATGAATTATATGATAATAGTACATTTACCTATATATCATTGTTCGCAAAGTTTTATTCTCAGCGGTTCTTTCATATTTCTAATCAATATTTATGCCTTTTAAAAGCAAGTTTCGTTAGTAGCTCAGGCGTGTTTTGGAGTTATCGAAAGTAGAGTATTGTTTTGGGTCCAACTCACTTTCACGAGGAAATAAACTTATAGTCTTGACTCTATTAGCAATGGTGTATACGTAATAATAAGACTAATTTGACACTTGTATAAACTTTTATGTGTCGACTACTTGTATTTATAATATATAAGAAATTTTACTTTAAGGAAACTTTTAATTTGCAAGACTTGAGACCTAGACGAATAAAATAGGTATGTCTTTAGAAGAGAACTCGAAAAATTAGCTATGGCGAAAAGTTTTTTGAAAGGTAGTGCGATTAACCAAATAATTAAAAAAAACTTTTTTAAACTGGTTTTAGCAATCAACTTTTTTATCGATTTAGTAAGGTCTCTCCAATACAGATAATAAAACCATTTGTCTCCAAACCAAAAAGTTTACTCACTACAAACTTTTTAATCTTTAAAATTATGAAAGTTTGAGTTTGTTAACAGACTTTTGGAGAAAAAAAACATAGCAGACGGGAGGTGTTTCAGTACTACGCTAAATGCTTTATTATTCAATTTTTTTTTAGGTAAAAGCTCTATATATATTGTTTGTCTTGCAGGGATAATACTTTTCTCCTATATTTCCTCCCCTTAAAAACTTTTGAAACCCCACTGGTTTTAAAATAGCGAGTTATAAAGTAGCTGAAATACGTCTTACCCGGCACAAATCAACTATAATTCTTTATTATAACATTAGTTCCCCTCAGTGTAGTAACACGTTGAAGAGCGTCTAAGAATATTAACTGAGCGTTCTTATTGGTTTTAACTTATTTAATATCAATAAAAACACACGCACACAATATACCACTTAAATTACAATATAATATCAACACTGTTAGAGATGTCTTGAATTAGGTAACACCTTGCAACCTAAATTATGTGTATGCAATCTTTTAAAAAGGATATAAGGTTAATCAAGAGCAGCAGAGTCAAATTTTATACTGATTTTATGAACTTTTAATAAAGTCACTTGTTTGGAGCTACTTTAAAACGTAAGCAAAGGAGTGAAACTTGTTTCAACTACTTCCTTACTCTTTCGGATAAAAACATGCCTTAATATTAGTCTGTCTTTTTTGTATTATTTTACGGAAAGAAATTACAAAAGCCATTTATAAATAGTAAAAAAATAAATTGATCTAAAGACACACGCAGCTCTCTATTCTAAAGTGGACTTGGTGTAATATACTATTAAACTGGATTATTGAAAAAAACATCTTATAATTATGTGAATTCAGCTGTAAAGTCTTGAAATGATGGTGCTCCTGCGTCAAACCCACGCCTAAAAAAAAGTAATCAAAACTTTATAGTGTACAAGTTAATATTAGAATTAAATGTTACTTATAGTAAATATAAAAGTAAAAAATAATTATAAAATTATAACTATAAATCTTGAACAAAATAACTCTAACTGACCTGCCAACCACAAAAAAGGCGCGCCAAATTGTCTTCGCTCATTGCTTCCTGCAAAACAGTGAAGAACAAAAACAAGTTATAAATAGCAAAAAAAAAGTTGGTTTAGCAACGGAACATTACGAGGCGAGGTACCTGAATGAGATGGTTGACGTGGCCTTGCACGCTCAACGAATTCCCTATAATATAGAAAATAGTTAAGAAAGGCATTTCATATGATTGAAATAAGAAACACCGTCTTCGATGCCATTGAGTTTTTCCTTTAAGCGATAAAGTACTCTTTCCCCTGTCATAGTGTTATTACTAGTACGTTTACTACTAATATTATTAGCAACCTTGTTTGGAATTTACAGTCGAAGTAGTACTATTCTGATTATAGTTGATAGCTTCGTTTTCCCTAAAGCCCCGATCATGTCTCTGTCTACTAAGTGCCTAGTAAGTGGCCTCCATATGAGTAAGAAAAAGGTTATGAAAGAGAAAAGACGAGGACTTTCGGGCTGATAGTCCATTTGTGCAAGGGATCGTGAATAAACACTTCCTATTGGGCAGACACGAACCAAATGCATAACAATAAATAACAGTACAAACGCACCAAAATTGTGTAGAGAGACTCGTGGTTATTTCTTAACAAGCGGAGAGTTTCTTCGCAGCAGCGACGAAAAACCCCCTCGACTCCGGGAAGGCCCATTCCTACCAATGGAAAATTAAGAAAATAAAAGATAAGACAATGTTTTTAGAACAACAAAGAGGACGAATAACGAGACGCTAATAACCATCCACGACGTCACGTGTTAAGCGAAAAGGAACCAATTCGGGGTAAGGAAGCAGCTTTCCCTGATCAAATGCAATTCCAAAGTCGATATGAACCAGCTCAGCCGTCTAAAAGGTAGAAGTGAAACAAGTAGTTCTAACTCTAATGACTGGTTGGTATAACTTTGTTGACAATAGCAATGCACAAATAATAACCTCGCAATCGATGAGAATATTCTGAATATGACGGTCGCCTAGTCCCAAGACGTAGCCAATCATAGACCAGGCAGCGACACTTCTGGTATAAGCCAAGCGCTTGTGGAACCAAACGGACGGTTGCAAATAGTTCTCATAAAAAAAGTGTCTGAAAACCAAAATTAGTACTATATATGAAGGCACAATCAAGTGAAAATAATGAAACCTGAACACAGGTTTAAAGTGTTCGGTTATAAGACGATACGTCTCCAACTGAGAGACAACTTCTGTAATTGGTATTATATATTATAATGAACATAATTGTGCTCCTCGATATCAAGCACATTCTGTATGAACGTGGAGGGTTCTAATATACAACAGCATATACACATTGCAGATGTTTTTATCGACTAATTAGAGCGAATATGTAATAGTAATGGCAGGCAACTGGTTCCCTGCCTAACAAATTATTTACGACAGCCAGTAATATAACGTTCGTGACTAACCACTCTTTTTCATTCGTTCTCTGCACTCTGAACTTAACCAATCATTAGGATGGTAGCGTTCATGTGCGGACATAGGAGACTCGGGAGTCTGCGATAAGTATCAAAATTTATTAAATACACATGAAAAGTGTCTTCGCATACATAAAGTTAAGGAACAAAAACAGCACAATTTTTTTCCACAAGTCATTCTGTTAGTCAGTTACTATAAAAAGAAACTAAAATGTTCTACATATTAAATTTATCCATTTTCTAATGAACGAAGTCTAGGAAAAATACATGAAACGGTAACAGCTGCACATATAATGAATATACCTTTACAGCACCGTTATATAACAGTAAATATAAATGTGAATAAGCCTAAAAGAAGTTGGTTATAATAAAAATAAGGGCAACTGAAATAAATAATAAACATTAAAAATAAACTAACTAATGGATATATAAGAAACAGGATAATAGTATTGAGACAAATGAACAGATCGTAATAGAGTGAAACAATTCACCGCAGCACGATGAATACGTCATGTGTTTAGCATTACATATGCCCAAGAATAGTTTTGGTTGTATATGCATATATATAAAGGACAGCTTACTTTTATGGTAGTCCCGACTAAGTACTCGCCAAGAGGGATAGTATTCTGATAGTTACGAGAAAGGAAGAAAAGTATTTAAAATATTGCATTAAAAATAATAACCTGGACATATTCCATCACTCCGCAGTTCTGGTTTAGTGGCAGCACAACATATGTGCGTACCTGTAATTTTCTCTAATATAATATGGAAGACGGTAAGAAAAAAAAAGCAACCAAATTTTATATACAGAAGAGTACTTTTCTTGTTATTTTATTACTGCTGAGGATCGAATTGAAGACGGCGAAGGCCTGCTGCATAACAGCATCCTGCCTTAAATCATCATGGCCTATAGATAATAAGGAAGTAATAATAAACCAATCATAGTAATAGTACCTTTTACTAGCTGTTTATAAACAATGCCATTGGTGCCAATACAGTTAATAATTTTTGGTAAAGTTAAACCACCGACACTTAAAAAATAGAAAAATATTCATAAAAAAGAATGAAAAAATCCGTAAAATAGTGATTATTAAAATGCCACAGATTATTTTAATGGCGCATATCTCCACTTAATTGAGTAATTAATAGTAATAAGTTACACAAAGTAAGTTTCTTCAAACTTATGAATCCCCGTGATATTTTCGTATTGGGCGTTAAGGGAAACCGGCAGAGGGTGCGTGGGGACAGCAACAGTGTGAAAGTCCTGCGCGTGTACAAGAATATAAAATTTGCTCTAACAATCATTATAATGATATTACCATATTCAAAAGCATTTGGCTTCTGTCCGATATTTTCAAAAGTTTATTACGTGGCTAAAAATTTATTAGTAAGTATAGATGTTAAAAATAAACCGATGGCTTTGTGGTTACGCAAAAAATATAATATAAAGTATACAAAGAAAACTGTGAACTATTCATAAACTATAACTTTATCGAATATAATATAATAGAAAGAAAATTGCTTATTAAATTTATAATTACCATTTATCACACGAAAAAAAAGTTAGAAATGCATAAATCAGTGCACAGTAAGATGAAAAATAAGACCCCCATTAAAATTTAATGGGGGCAATACTTTAGTGGGAACCAATTAATACTAATTATATGACACAATAATGCTGATGATGAAACAACTTTTAATAAAGGATTTGTTTCTATAATCATAATAAAAAAGAAAAAAAAAAGTAAGTAATACGGTTTTCTTAGGAGTTTCGACTTTAGCCAATTCGATGTACGCCTCGCACAATTTCGAGATGCTCTAGTAATCAATTATATATATAATAAAATATAAGAAAAGTCATACTTTACCTCCACATAACTGTTAATTTTAGAGTGTTGGCGGATGTGATTGAGAATTGATAGAGCGGCAGCAGCCTTAAAAGTATTTATAATAATAATAAGTAACGACAATTATAATAAAAAACATACCTTTTCGTTTTCATACGACTTTGATAAACTTAAGATGATATAAGTTGTATGAAACGGATGGTCAATGCAAATCTTCATGTAAAAATGATTTAAGTTTTATACAAAACACTAGTTTATTTATAGTAAAGCACAAGCTGTGTGACTCTTAACAGCTTAAAAACACGTGCTTAAATTTTCGGTTCAAGGTATTAAACGTGGACATTAAGTCATAAACGCATACGAGCTTTTTAACCTGAAAGCAAGAACAACAATACCTTTGCTATTAAGCATTGAAGTATATTCTGGAACTTTGAATTTTTCTCGCAGGACACACGTGCGACAAGCTGGTACAAGAGTGGTATAAACTTAAATGTGGGAACACCGCGCAACCCGTCCTCAATTATGCTTTAATAAATATATCAGCACAAAAGAACGTATTAATAATGAAGAAAATGGTATGAATATATATTATACGTAAATAACTTAAAAGAACGTCACTTTTATCATGAGATTAAGTTAATAACAATATACTTATGCATAATGACTATTCATGGTGATCATTAGTAAAAATTATACTGTGATATTTTAAGAATAATAATAAAAACTAACAAGTTTTTATATATCATTATTTACACGAGAATAACAGAGAAAGGTTAAAAATAATTAACCTCAAAACTGCGTCATTTTCTGTATTATCAAACCAAACAGAAATGAATCGAAACACAGAGGGATCAAATTCTTTAGACGCATTTTGGAGGCAGCCCTTCAGTATTAGCGGTAAATAAAAGACAAAAAAGGTGAAGGCAATGAATAAAAAAATAAAGGATATACACAAAATAGCAAAACAAAAAGAAATATAATGAAAAGTTACGAAACCAAATAGTGCTGCAAAGCCAACGATAAAAATAGTTGCAGTTGAAGTTTCAAGCGATTCACTTCTTCAGTATCCGATTCAACCTTTTAAATAATAATAATAATAATAATAATAATAATAATAATATAAAAAGTACTTGTTTTTTTAGAAAGTGCGTGTGGCGTTTAAGCTCCTGTTGTTCTCTTAGCCATTGTTTATCTGGCAAGTAAACAATAATCAGAAGTTTAGTAAAAGCTTAACAGCAGCATTAATTGATTATCATAATAACAATACACCATTGGTTATCTTCGGAGCTAGCGCCAAACTTTTACAGCGCTGATATTCCTATTAAAACTAATGATACATATATAAACTAATTAATATTTAATTATACTTCCAAAGTTTTCTTCCGGAGCTCTTCTGCAGCTTCCCATTCAGGAGAGGAGAGCTTGGTTCTCAGAGTCTCATTATTATTATTATTATTGTTATTGTTATTGTTATTATCATTATTATTTATACTTGATAATGATGATCGCTATATGTTGCCAAAGCCGCCATTGCCTTAAATCTGTAGGAACTTTTACATTCCGAGGCAAACAGGGTTGATTGTTTATACTAGCAATAAATAAGAATAGTTTATAAATAAATAAATAAGCGGGAGTAGAAGTATATTAAAAAAGAAAACACTAAATATAAAAATATTATTAATCTATTAATAATAGAAAAAATAGTAACCAATTCAATGATAAAGTTTGGGCTTTGAGAGGAAAGTTCTGCATTCCACTTTCCATATAAAAAGAGTAATTTTCCATAACGATCGCTTAGGAGGCTCTTTAACATAACAATCATATTATTATTATTAATAATAGTAATAATAATAACATCAGTTTCTTTATAAAAATCCATTAAGGTTTTTGCAGAAGTGATGGCGACTTCTTTAAGGCCCTCATCCTATATAAAATATAATACAGAATACTTTTATAAAGGAGGTGGAAGGAAAGAACAAACCCAAAACACGCGGGCTTTTTCTATTTGGAGGTCAAAAACAACTGAAGAAGTCTTTTCAATGTCTTTACAAGAAAACAACTCACACGAGTACAAACATTCTGAAAGAACTTTGTGGGCAATATGGTACTAATACCAGGAAAGTATGATAAAAATAAATAATCATAATAATAATAATAATACTTTATTAGCTTTTCTAGCAAGTTTTGCATAAAACCACAAGTGCTGATATAAACAGTTGCAAAGTTTCTTAGTTTCAAAATTTTCTACGGCCATCTCTATAATACACTTTATATAAAATTTATATAAAAACATGAAAACTTTTTAACGCCAAAAAAAAGTTTTGCAGTGGATACTTTTCGCGCGTTTAATATGGGGTCAACGTAGTCCCATTCGTGCGAGGAAAGTTTATATCGTTCTTTAAACTTTGTAGAAAACTAAACAACACCAAACAAAAAGTAAAAAAAAAAAAGTAAACGTATAAAAAATATGTAGAAACCCATTCTTCGAGTTTTTGGGGTGCGTGTTGATCCGTGCTTATGTTTTTAAATAATATAAAAACTTCTCGAAGTTCAACAAAAAGTTGAAAGTACGCAAGCAGAGAAGGAAGCACTTTCGATTCCTCGAAGTAATAAAAATCATACTAATAACAATAATATAATAAAATAACGGTACTTCGATTGTAACGTTGTTCATTTTAGATATCAATTCGTTTAATAACATATTGGATTGTCCCTTAAAAATGTTCTTCTTATTAAATTTTAATGCACGGAAGCACAAGTACAACTAAATAGCACTTAAGTTTCATTAGCTGAAATGAACGTATTAATGGAAAATAACCTTTTTATTGAGGGTCACCATTGGACTAGGCGAAAGCAAAGGGAACGGTGGAGTGCTAAGGTTTTTATGCGACGTGGAAATGTTCTTAATATATATTGTCAAGAGGTAAACAAAAAAGTAACTAAAGAAGCTTTCTTTAAAATAACTTCGATGGGCTTTGGGTGATCTTCAGGGTCCCACACAGAGTTTTTCCACAAAACTTAGAAACAGAAATGATAAAGGTAGCGTTTATATTAATAATTATAATAATACGCACACTCATAGTAGCACTCGCTCAGTTGATCTGTCCAACAAAATTTTTCATTGGAAATTCCTATAGGAAACAATATTATATTTATAATATATATTAAGAAGTTTTGCGCGGAAGACCTTTAAGATAATAACGCAGCAGGTGGGAGTAACCCATAGTTTGCATGGCGGACACCACTGCTGCAAAGCTTTCTGGGTTATCCGGTTGGCGTAAAGTCTCCAATGGAGTTGAATATCTTTACAGTTTACAGTATTTTACTCGTTGAGAAATATTATGCGTATAATAACTTTATATTTCACTATTTCTTTTGCATGAAATAGATAATTTTATTATTTGCTTAATGGTTTAAATATTGGTTTATTGACTGATGGGCTTCTGTGTGCGAGCAACAGTAACAAAATTTATCCATAGTTATTATGAAGCAAGCCGAGAAAAACACTGAGAAACCCAATCAGCCATCGAGTTAGAGTGCAGTCATTTTAGTTTGTGAAAAAAAAAATCAATCTAGATGGTGGTAACGGGAGGTGCTCACAAGTGGCTTAGTCGAAAGTAAATGATTGGGCAAACATACTTATATTTAAGTTTTCAAATGCGAGGATTAGTCAATAAAAATAGGAAATATAATGTGATTTGAATACCTCAAGGCGGGTTTACGAAAAAGAAGATCGTACGTGTCAAGTACTTTATAGTGCTGATGTTCGTGCGTGAAAAAGTTCAGATTGGAAATTACCTAGTTAGAAGGTAGCGATTAATACTCAAGGCGGCAGTTTATATATTTAAAAGTACATTAGAAGAATATCTCGCGCTAAAAAGAGAGTCCGGCTCATCTATTGCCCTGCGAATGGAAACAAGGCAAGAAAAAATATTCGTTAAAAATATATAAATATAAATATAATAGAAGAGCTAACAATATTGGAAAAATAATAAATGCATATTATAATGGATTTATATGAGCGCACAAGTAAATATTTTGTAGCAAAACTTGTAGTTCTTTTAGCTCTTTACTGCAGTCAGTTTGATGTAGAGTCGCATTGCTTAGGTTGTTGGCCTGAAAGTAATCATATGATACACAATATATACTGTATAATAATAGTGAGTCTATGAGAATTAAAAAACTATTGAATAGTTCATAACATGAAATTTAATGAAAAAAAGATTACATGAATTGAAAATTATATTTACCCAAAAATGAAATATTTTTTGTTTGATAAGTATGTAGTAGTATTAGATCATAAATAATAATCATAATAAAAATCCACCTCACACCAAACTTCGATCAAGTAAAGAGCATGTGAAAAAGAATAGCAGCGATAGGCTGCTTGAGCAACAGATACTAAATTCAAGTCCAACCAGAAGTTTCTCTCCCAGACAACACCAAACTCTCGACTTTTTTATGCAATAAGCAAAAAAAAAATAAACAAATGTATGTACAAAAAAGTACTGTGAAACTTTCCGAGTGCTTTTAATATTTTTTTTTAAGAAATGTAAAGGGATATCTTTTCTTCGCAAAAAAGTTAATATATCCAAAAAAAACTTCGATAATTCTTGATAATAAACTGGATGTTTCAATAAAAACCCTTAAAAAACTTTAAAAAAAAAAAGAAAAACTTATAAAGAGGACCAGAAAAACTAAGCACTTGAGCGTCGAATACATGTGAAAACGTTTCAGATAAAAGGCGCCTGTAAATAATAAGTTAAATAGTGTAAATATAGGTAAACACTATCGAAATAAACAGATAATAGACACTTTTAAAACTTTTTATTGGACAATGCAATGATTAATAAATAATAGTACACACTTATAAAAAATGCATTAAAAGTGTTGTAAAAAAAAGCAAATAATTCATTATTATAAATGATTGCTGTCGAAAAAAGAAAGAAACATAAAAATAATGTCCAAAAACAGTTAAATAAATGTAATAAAATCGTATAAAAGAAGAAACTATTATATATATATAAAACTTTCACATTAATAAATAAAAGTATGGTAAAACCGTCGCTCCTCTTTAATGTCACTATCAGAAAGACAATCATGAATCAAAAATGGCAATACTTCAAAGCAAAAAGAAGCCTAAAAACATAGCTTCAATATATATTTTATAATAAAATTGCAGTAGTCACAATAGGTTAATATAACTTATACTTATATAATAACGTACACTCACGGAACAAATATAATACAGCCGTTCTAAAACTTCATTCTTCACAAAATAATAAATGACTGAACAAGTAAATATAATGATCCACTCATCAAGTTGAGCCTCTGTTTCGATTCTGTTCATTAAAATTAATAATAATAAAGGGGACCAAATATAACCATAAGGCTAAAAATGCTACTTTTTTTCAAATAAACTTGCGACGGTGAAAGCCTCGACATGCGGCTTCCTGGGCCATTGCGCAAAGTCCGGCGTTTCCAACAAAGAAACAGTTCGGATGCTTTTGGTAGAAAATGGCTCTAAAAAGCTCCTAAAGTATATTACATATTATATATAAATTTTATACAGAAATTAAGATGACAGTAGCAGATATATAAGCAGTAACAATGAAAAATTAATAATAGAGAAATAGTAGACTTCGCTTGTTTATTATAATTACAGAAATAAGCACTATTCCATGCGGTTAACAGGAAGTGGCTGGATTTATTTCGCTCTTTTATAGTCTAAACTAATATATAAAAAACCGTAAAGTCGGTGAGCTATTCACAATATTTTTTATGTCTCCGATTCTAAAACATACAAATAAATAATAATTAAAAAATAATATAAATATACTTAATAAATAGTATTTTCATGTAAAATAAATATAATTTTTTTCTTATAGATGAGAGCATTAGAAGTAACTTCTCTCCTGCAAATTCTTATAAAGTTATATTTTTATTATTTTTGATATAAAACTTGTATTAAGTTATTGAAACTTAATGTTTTGGCGCCTTTTATGTATAAAGTAAATGCTCCCAGAAATAAACTTGCAGTAAAAAAAAAAGACTAACTGAAGCAGTTACATATAAAACAAAACTTTCGTGTTTCCCAAGAGTACTTAAAAAATTTTAAAGTTTAATGAGAAATAAAAATAATAAAAAAAAGAGAAACGCTTCTTTACTTTAATAAATTTGCAATGGAAACCCGAGCCGCATTGACAATCTCAAAGTTGGTATGCACAAGAAAATCGCTGAGATCATGAAGTAAAGATTCATGTGTAATATCTTAAAAAAAATAAAAAGAAATAAAAATTCATAAAAGGTTATTATAAATAAACATGATAACCAGTTGTATTAGTAAAATTTCCAATTAGCGAAAATACATTAACACTAGCAACTTTTCCTAATAACTTTGCTGCCAGTTTCCGGATTTTAATGTTCTGTAATAAATAATAGTGATATACCAGTAGCATTCATTATGAAATATATAAGTTTATAAAAAACGAAGTATAACACTCTCATTACTAACAAACAGACGTACTTGAGACTTGCACAGAAGCATCAACGATAAGGAAAATAAAGATGCGAATTCCTGTGGCTGCTGCAGAAAAAAAAGTAGCAATAATAGTCATTAAGGGAAATTTTATATTATAGACAAATACTTTTTATATCGCTATAATAATATGTTTCAAGTAAAAAGGCTTCATAATATAACTTATTTTTATTATTTACTATATAAAAAAAAAGAAAAAACCTCATTAAAAAAAGTGGTAACTAGGCTCCCCTGAGAAGTTGCATCGATGCCACACAAAATTCTGTTTAAGCAACCAATCAGAATATTATCATTCCCAATCGCGTGATGTTTGTCTGTAAGTGGACAACCATATATAAATAAGATCTTAACGTATAAATATAACAAAAAACGGACTTTAAAAAAAGGATAGAGGGACTATTATATAAGCAGTTAAACTTTATTATAAGTAAAAATACTATTGAGCTCAACTAATATTATGAAAAAAGACAACTTTTATTAAGCGGAAACTTTATAAGTGCACAGGCGAGTATAAAGTCATAATAAATAATATTAAAAATAGAGAACAATCTTTTACAGTACATAAAAAGAAGAACATAAATAATAAAAGTTGTTTTTAACTTATAATATTTCTACTCGAATACTATTTAAAAGAAAAGATAACGATAGTAAAATTTACCAGGAAAAAGGGATTGTGAATTTATAAAACATGCATAAATATAAAGTAAGAAACGATAAAAAAAAGAAATTTATAATTACGAGATTTGTAATTTAGAATGACCCCTAAAGCATAGTTAAGAGGAAGTTCAACATAAGAACAATTAGCATTCACTGGAACATCTACATAATATAAACAATAAATGCACTGAACTGTTAATAACACGCGCTACTTAACAATACGTATTACAATATAAAAAAATAATATTTTATGTTCACCATTTTTATTTTTATGAAAAAAAGAGGAAAATATCGCTACTTCATCAGAGAAGCATGCTAGAGTGCTAATTGGAGAAAATAAATAAAAAATGCTAATAATATTATAGGAATAATACTCTTCTTTATAAAATACTTCAAGGATTCGAGTAATGTGGTTACGAAAGTTGCACAAAAAGTTATAGCAAAGCAAACAACAGTATAATATTTGCGTGCGATAATCTAAACAGTAAAATAATTATAAGAAATACCACAAAAAAATACAGAAAGTTTATTACTCCTCCACAGTGAAGGATAGATTCTAAATAAAAGCTCCCGAAGAATACACAAGCAGGCTACAATAACTTCTACTTCATTATTATTATTATTATGATCTTCATCATGTAATAGGTCTCTTCTTTGAGTTTCATCATATATAACTCGAAGTAAAAGCAACACTTTCATGAAAAAGCAATTATAAAACAAAATCAACAGTCAGTAAAAATAATGCTTACGGGATTCTCTTAAAACAAATGGCCTTTCGATAATGTTAAGCTCTATAATACTATAAAAAAGTGTCAAACTGCTCAAAATATGACGTCGCTTTATTAAAGGGCATAACAACATGAGATAGTAAATATTCATAAAAAAAATTAACCGCTGAGGGAGTAGTATTTGCATAGAGCTCAACTCCAAACATATTTAAAATAGAATTTATTCGTTTATCGCTCTGAAATAAAATACAAAGTATGCAATAAAAATAATGATAAGATGACAATATACCATTCTTAAAAATATATGTTTCGAAAAATCTTTGCCTCTTTTTTTTAAATACTGCATAGCATCTATAGAAAGAAATATTTAGTACAATTATTATTCTAGAATTTATTAAATAGTAAGAATAGTAAAAAAGTAAAAACCATAAACAGTTTGAGATGAAAAAAAAGGCCAAACAGTGAATAAATCTTTGACAGTTGTGAACTTCATATATGGAAACGCTGTCATCTGACAAGAACTAGAAGCTTCTATGCCAGGATAATAATAATAAACAACCCAGGATAATAATAATAATAATAATAATAATAATAATAATAATAATAATAATAATAATAATAATAATAATAATAATAATAATAATAATAATAATAATAAATAACCTGGAATGGAAGTGTCCACAAAATCCACAACTCGAAGTAAAAGTTTAAAGTAAATACAATCAAGATTTCTTGAAAATAATAAATTTATGGTTTCCGCTAAATGATAGTTATGAATTAATAGAAGCAGATAAAAGTTTATAAATAAAAATAATTATAAAAAGCCATATAAATGCTAATATAAATATACGTTTAAGGTGCTTTGGTAGAAAAGTTTCCACCGCCATTGGGGTGTTCTGTGTTAAATAAGTCATTAAAGTAATGAAGGCTAGAAAAGTTATCTTATGGGTGACGTTACAGAGCTCAGAGCCATCGGGAGGTCAAGTGCAAGAATATCAGGGAAGCACTCGATATATAAAGTTTCCAGAGGCTTTTGTGCTTATAATAACTTTACTATTATTATTCTTCTTGAAATGTTTACCTTTTTCACTATTTTTGAAACTATTTTCAGACTGTTTAGTTCTTCGTAAGCAACAAAAAGAGCCACAATGAAGGGGAGGTGAGCTGAGAATAGCAAGTTATTAGAAAGTATTAAAACTACTTAAAGACTATATAATAATATTTCATTTTTCTATAAAATAATAAATATAAACATTTTATAGTTTACACATGTTAATTTTTCTTAATGATGGTATTCTCTCTCATTTAAGTAGTAACTTACTCTCATTTTTTGGATTGCTTGTAGCGTGCTGTCATGCATAAACTTTATAATTGTGGGTAAAGACTATAATAATTCCGACTTTTTAGAGTAAAGCTACACTTTTGCAAACAAATTCCATAATTGGTATAACATGTACTATTGTAGAGTCACTAGAAGCAAAGCCTTATAAGTCAAAAGGAAAGCTGTTAAGTAACCAATGACATCAAACGAAATAACCAATGAGTACCGATCAAAAAGCTTTGCCTGATAGTTAAAATAACCAATAAAAATTAGACTAATTTTTTTGCGACCAATCATAGATAATAGTTTTATAATAAAACATTGTTTTGTTACTTCACTTAAATTATATAAAAGGAAGAATAACAATAAAAGACCCAATAGAAGAGCGGAGAGCGTGTTAAAACCAAAGAGAGTGTAAGGAAGTTGCTCCAATGAAAACTTTTCGGTAATCCAACTGCCAATCATATAACAGCTCTTACTTTAATGTTACTATTAAAATCACTATTTATAATGAACTGATCAAAGCAGTATGGAAAGTGGGAAGCCATAAAAGACTGGAGGTTTGCATGCGCCTTGTTTTTTGAAATTCGCTTAAGAAGCAGCTAAAAAGTTTTAGTAAAAGGTAATGATAAACAAGACGATATTATCATGAGGCGCAAACATTAAAAATGTTAAAAAAAAATTATTATTAATACCATAAAAGCTTATAAACGTTATTAATATACAAAAAGCTACATATCACAAATATATAAATAAATAAGTAGAATAATATATAAAAGATATACACATATTAATATATTAATGCCGCATTTTCAAAACGAATATAATAAAAGTAAATACTACATTAAAAAAAAAGTAAGGGCCAAGTTTTCGGGTGTTATCATTATTATTATGTAATTTTATTAATTTTATGATACGTTGGTAATAATGTTTATTATTGTAAAACTCTTTTTATATTGATTTTTACTTTTCTATGCTCTTACTTTCCTAACTTGTTAGCTGTAGTACAGTACTTTTAAGATACACACTTTTTATAAAAAATATGTATGAAAATAATAAATTTTTACTAACTGTTATAAACTTTTCAAAACCAAATAGCCGCGAGTGAAGAAGTAACTGTAAAACAGAAGAGCTTTCTTCCAGTGAATAGTTAGCCATGGCCCCAAAACCCAATAAGGCTGTAGCAATATTTTCTGCTATTTATTACTATTAATCAAATGATGATGATTTTTATTTAGATCATTATATTACCGCGAAGTAGAGTACTGCCATCTTGAAAAGCACTCATATGTTCTTTCAAACTTTCTTTTATAAACTCAAAAGACTTTTTAAAAGTCTCACTTCCAGTGAAAAAAATATCAATATTAACAGAAATAATAATCCTTGTCTGCACAAATATAGAAAATAAAGTTTAACAAAGTTGAAAAAGTTTTATTAATGTATATATAAAGCATTATATATGATATATTATAATAATGCTTAGACTTCGTAGTTGTGGTCAGAAATTAGACTGCGAAGAACCTGAAAAATAATGAAGTATGATAAAAATAATGAAAAAATAATGAAATGGAATACTGAGGGAAGAGGAGGTTCCAGGCATGCCCACTTTAAATCAGTATCTTTTCTGAAAAGGTCGCATAAACATAACGCAAAGGCTATTTTGGTGCTTTTCTCTAAAGTTCCGGCGCAATATAACTCAAGGTACCTGAAAATAAACAAGTGCAAAAAAAAATAACGCTAAATTCCATGATTTATTTATAATAATATATACAAATATATAGAAATTAGTGTTGTATTTACCTTTGAAGAAGCCAAAGCACACAGAAATGAGGCGTCTTCTCAAAACTAGTAAAAAATTAGAATAAACATAAAAGTCGTAAGATAAATATAGCGCGTGGAAGATAAAAAAGTGGTCAACAGGATGGTTATTATAATTTTTAAGCCTATAACGAAGTTATGCATATATGGTGTGCCGCACGAATTAAAAAGAAATTAGTAATAAAAATAGAGAAAAAGAAATTAAACTGACTTTTCAGTAGAAGAAAGCGGCGGCAAACATTTTATTACATTTCTCGTTATATTCAAAGCGGCCTCTAGCAGAACGGGATTGGTGGAATATTCAAGAAGTTGGCAAGTAGACTTCAGCAAAAAGAAAAGATGGGATATACACAACGTAGAGTCTTCAGACAGATTTAAAAAAATCTATTATTATTAATAGTGAAAAGCTTACTGAAATAATGCAGCTATATATTTTTAATATTAAAGGATATATACTGTTTATTTAATAAGCCAACAAAGGTTTCATGGTAGCAAAATCTTTCTAATATTTTTTATATGCTTAAAAAAATCAATTAAATTCAATATAATAAATACACAGCATATTATTTACTTCAAATTATTAATAATATTAAGTTAAAAAAATTATGTATATATAAGTTATTTACAAAAACTGTATATAACTTACTTTCCACACAAACAAACGCCTCGAAACAAAATAAGGCTGCAGCTGAAGTTCTTTTTCAAGAGAAGTTTCTATAAAAACTTTTATTTTGTTATCATTACAATTTTCGTTGCTCATATGGCGGATATTGAAGAGCAGTTTATAACAAAGTCGACTGATCTCGTGCAGTATTCCAACTTCAGAAGTTTCTAAGTGTATAATAAACTTAAATATATATAAAAGAGAATTTACATAATACTAATAAAAAATAAGAAAGTATATAACAATAATAAAACTTTTATCATCTTGTGGTACACAAGCGAGTTCCAATTCATCGGCTTTCGTTACTTTTCTATATTATTTATATTAAATAGATGACCATAAAATATAAGCAAATAATAGACAAGTATCGAGGTTCTTCTGATTCCGTGCAGTTACTTCCGCCGTTCTTATCCGTACTACAGGTTATTATCTAAGCCAATAAAAAGGCTTACTACTAATAGTGATAATGATAACGATAATACTTGAAAGCAAAAGGTACAAAGGTCTTCAAAAACAAGCGTACAAAAGTCACTATTTTTTAATAACGGCTCCATCACTTCTATACTAGTAATGCATTTTTTTTCTAGCGCACAAAAATTCTGTATTATGAATGTATATGTAATTAATATTAACATTATAAAACTTACATAAAGCTGATAAACTATATAAAGTCAGTAAAATACCTTTAAAAAGGCGAAAGCAGAATTTATAATGAAGAGGGTACTTTGAAGGTCAACATACCGACGCTCCTCTTTCACTACTTTTAGCTATAACGATAATGGTTTATACATTTTTAACTAAACTATCATAAACAAACTTTTTCGATAGCCTTCGTTAAAGCGCTATTCATGAGTTCAACAAATTGTTGATCAAAAAAGTTATTGAAGTGGTGGAAGAAAACCTTTTAATGAATAATAGGTAGTACGCACGTCTATATAAGTAAACATAGAGTAACAAAATAACAATAATGTAAAACTTTAAAAGGCACGTGGTTAATAGAGACAAAAAGAATAGCGAGGTCAATAGTAAATGCGATAAAGTGCACATGCGAGGGCGTTTCTATAAGTCTACTGTGTTTTCCCATATAAAAGCAACACACGAACCAGCACGTGCACGAAAAAGTAAAACCGAAGCGAAGAAGGAAAGTAGCTTTCCTCTGCCGTTGCCCTACTAAGTAAATATGAACAGGAACTATATGGATGATAAATAGATAAACAAGGGCAACCAATTATCCAAAAGTTTACTCACGATATATTTATTTAATAAATCCACGTGGGGGCCTTTGCAAAATACATACTTATCATAACTAAAGTTACCCATCCTTTCTACATATGAAGAACAAGATTTTGCCACTAGTTATAAGGAAAAGTATTAGCACTATTACCATAAACAGCGCGCGTTTCGTTAAAGTCCACAAAAAAAAGTTTTTCATAATGTTTTATGAAAAGCAATAATAAATCTTCTCTTTCTTCCTCATGGGACAATGGCTCACAGCTGAGTCTATAGCAAATTTCTAATGCAATAAAAGTTTTTTAGTAAAAAAAAGATTTTTAGAAAATATATAAGACTTTGTTTCTTGATGGTGTCTTTCAGCAAACTTTTTAAAGTCCTTGTTTTTTTATTGGCTCCGACGGCCTGAATGTTTATATTATGAAACGCTAACGCCGCACCACTCAAACCGCAGCAAATAGCGAACACTTCCTGAATAAAAACAAAAGTAGCAGTAAAACTGAATACAAAGTAAATAAATATTTTACTTTTAATGAGAGTGTTTGATTCTTGATGATGCTTCCCGCTTTACAATTTTGTTCATTAGTATTATTTTTATTACTTAAAGCAGAAAAAAGATAATCAATTATATGCTTTCTATAAGGAAATAAAACTTGGATCTTCTTCATATTCACCGGACTATTTTCTTTAGAAAAAGACGTGTTGTTGTAATAGTCGTAAGTTTCCTCAACTTCTGCTCTATTATTTAATATAATAGTAGCATTGATTTTTAGTATAGCAGACAAGGAGAAGTAAAAATATGCGCAAAACGCAAAACTTAATAGAAAGTAAAAAAAAGTTAAAGAAGCGATATGCAAAATAACTAAATTTAAAACATTCTTTTAAAATATAATAAAAAATGCTGCTTACTTCTGAATATACACCATAATAAACTTCACAAGAGGAGAGAGTAAAGAAACGGGATGCGTTGAGGCTAGTATGGTGTCTAGCGGCCCCTTCAAACTTTTTATATGAAAAAGAGACACCAAACTTTTTTTAATTATTAATGTCACTAAGTAGAGGCAAAGTTCCACAGCCTTTAAATAATAAAAAGTAGTAAAAAATATATGAAAGATATATAAACTTTTTGTAATAAGAAATAGTGAAACAAATTTTTTTTTTATTAAAAAGTATATAATATAACATGAAAATATAAAGAGCACCACCACAAAGGAATTATTAAAAGTACTTGACGTGAATGTTCGAGAAAATTCAACAAATTTCTTTTCAAGTAAAAAAGAATAAATAGACTCCCAACAATCCGGAGTTAGAAATCTTTTATTATTCATATAATAAGAGGATTACTTTTTGTGAACTTGTTATGAACTAACCAAAAAAAAGAAAAACATAATATAGCTGAAAATGTAAAAAAATGATAAGCAGCCTCATATATATAAAAAATAATTATTTTATAAGCTTCACAAACTTTTATACTACATTTCTTAATAATTAAAGAGAGTATTGGCCTCGACACATGAGTTAAAGTTAATGTGCAAGGTGTACTTTCCTAGCACTACACTCTTCTATTGTTATACGCCCAAAAATTCATTATTTTAATTAATATTAATTTATTTAAAAAGTTTATTAATTAAGTTTGCAGGCACCTGCCGGACTTTATCACTGCAATCAAGCAACGTGTAACCCATTGGAGTTGAAGAAAGTTGTCATGAAGTCTTGTAAGTTGATGAAAAAGCGAACGACACTGCAATAAAAGTTTAGAAAACATCACCCCAATAAATAAACCATCATAACAAAAAATTTATATTAGCAATAATAATATAATAACTCTTATCGAGTTTACATATCAATCTACATAAAAAAAACTTTACTAGAGACTAACAAAGTATTTTATATATTATACCAAAAGTTAACTAAACGCGGTACTACAGAAAAAGACAATTGTAGTAATCAGCGGAGGGATAGTATGATAGAGAAGAAGTGAAGAATAAGAAAAATTGTAAAAAATAATGGCGAAAAATATAAATAAATTAAAAGTAAAAAAGAAAGCACTAAGAAGGCCATGTCTTCATTGGAAATCTTCTGTGCATGCTTGACCAATAGCATCCAAAGGAGAGCAAAAAAGACTGGTGAATCACAATCCTATTGGCAAATAAGGTTTTTTTTAAAAGCTCTTTATTTTTATTAAATACATCCAAAAAAAAAGAAAATATTTCATTTACTTTTGAAATTGTGCGAAGAAGATTGCTAAAAGAATTTGTCATCGGAAAAGGATTTCCATCGTCTTCGTACTTGCGCTTTTGAGAAGGCCCATGCAAGCTGTCCAACGAAAGTATAATGCAAGCATCCGCAGCTAATTGGATGACGGAAATATCTTGAAAAGTCATGTGCTGAAATTTGGGTCCAATAAGGGGAAGAGGCGTCGTAGTAAGTTCCTTATAAACAGACTTGAGCAGCGAGTTAATCCCCTGAAGAAGATTATATATATAACATAAAGCTTATTAACATAAATCATTTTCAATGGGTAATTGTTCAAAGAAATGTTATGATTCAGATGAGTTGATAGGCAGTCTAAAATTATACAAACGACAACTTGAAGTACAACTTATAACGTGCAGTAAATTTAGAATAAAAATATATATAAAATTTCATAACAATATATGAATAGTTTTAGTTTAAAATAATTGAAGCTTTAAAGGGAACAAAGCAGGCAGTTTAGTCAAACTTTGCGGTGTTTAAAGTATGATAATAAGGAAGCTAATCACTGTAGCTTGTCAAAATGGTACAGATGCAACTTGTTAAAATTGCGCTTATTATATTATAATCATTATTTATATATTACGCGGTTTTTCTGCTCTTTTCCCTTATTAAAAATATTGTTGATTAACTCCGTTGCTGCAGAAAAACTGTGCGACAAACAACTTTCTTATTATATAAAAGTTTGTAGTCCCCTTTATACTTTCTTAACATTTTTCTTAACATGACGGTAAATAGCGCAATAACAATAACCGCAAAGCTGAAGGTTGTTGTCACATGTGATAGATAATAATACAAAAAGAATCAAAACTATGATCTATATTTTAGGTATTGCAAGTAAATAATACAACTTGTATTGTATAACTTCCAACTTTTAAACTATAAATTGCTACTTCTTGGCTTTATTAACCGGTCGGCTAGTAAAACAAAATTCAAAAATATCACCGCATTCGTTTCATCACGTGCCCTTAAAAGTTGAATTCTTAAGGCATTATGAAAGTGTCAAAAGTGAAGAAAGTTTCGAAGGTCGTGCTGCCCATGAGGAGAGCCGTGAGCCTCTCATCAAGGCAAAGAGTGAATGTGAATATTGCAAACCCTCTGGAAAAAGATCGCCACGAACCCTCTAGGGCCACCACATGGTTGTTTAATAAAGTTTTTACATCGGACCAAGCATTGATTCGAAAGTAGGGACACGTGGAATCGCCATCTCGACGACGTTTGGCATGCTCTCTAATGTTTATAGCCACAGCCCCGTCCTTAGGTGACCGAGTTCCCCAGGCCACTTTTCTATATTACAGGTTCGGCTGGACAGTGGCTGAAAGGCAAGGAGAAAGTGTGCTGCGTTAAGCCAACGTGTAAATTTCAAAAGCTCATTATATACTTTTCAAGCTTTATTATAATAACATAAATATTTGTATGTACGTCTTTCGGCATTAATAAAAATGTGAAGAGAAACAAATTATAAGGAAAATAAAGTGATACGTTTATGTTGTTATGCTCCACATAAGATATTTTCCCGGTTAGCAGAAGAATTCTATATAAAAAATGTAAAGATATAAAGTATAGTACAAAATACTATGTAAAACCTCATGTAACGGATAATAAGAACCCGCACTTCTTTTTTTCGAGTGTGATAAAGTTTGCACATAGTTAAGTTAATTTTGTTATGCAGATTAATGAGTTCAGACTAAACTTACGCGCAAAGTAGTAAAAAAAACCCAAAATACTAATGACAGGCACCTTCGTGTCAACGGACAAGGCACTTACATACTCCAATAGAGACTTCAGCATAAAATAAACGTGTTTTCCCGAAACCAACAGTTCCGTGGAAAAATATTTAACAAAAAATGCGGTAAAACTTTTCTATATACATAATAAGTATCCAATAATACTACTAATAATAAAAATAATAATAAGGAATACAGTGTATAGTAGTAAATCCTGAGAACAGAAAATAATAAGTTTATAAAGAACCTCTGAAGAAACAGAAGAATCTATTAATAGTAATGCAAAACGTTACTAATAAATATTTTTCAGATTCGTTATTTTTATTGTAAATAAATGAGACCAATGAAAGAGCGAAAATCCAGAATACAGGAAGTATAGAATTGCAACAGGAATTCCCATTTCTCCATCTTTGTAAACAATTATTATTATTATTGTTATTATTATAATTATCATTTAATATAACTGGGAGTTCATGGGCATAGTTAGCTTGACTTAGAAGAATACCCGAAAGAAAGTTGCTATAATCGAGAATTACTTCCATTAACGAAAGCGCTTAATTAAAAAGTTAGATTCATAATTCTACGTCTAAATTCTATAAAAATTTGAACTTAAACAGCTTTATAACAGAAGAACACTAACGCGTATAAGAATTTTATAAAATGATTCTGAAACAGAAAAAAGAAATAATTTTCAGTGAATAAAAAAAAATTTCGTAACTAGAAAATTTAAAGTTGGATTGAAAAACCTTTAAAAATTTTAAGCATATTGACGGTGTGCGTGAACAGTATTTTAACACAAGAAAGTAATCTTTCTCCTTCAGTATTATAAAAGCCTATAACTGCCGTTCTGTCCACTTTGAAGCAAAAATGTCTTAAAAACGAACAAATTTCAATGACCTGCATACGACAGTCATAAGCAGTCGTTATTTTCTTCAAACTAATTGTAAAACTCAAATAATTTCGAAAAAGAATTACTAATATATGACACATCTATTGTTTTTTTAATATAAAAAGCATTCATAGATTACTGAATTATGATAAACACGAGAGAAAGAAAGTCTACGATATTAATGGAAAAGCGTTCATCTATAGAACTAATTAGATGTTAAAAATAAAATGTAGTTTGCGGGGAAAACAAAGATGGAGAACCAAAAGATTCTTATAAAATTATTTTAAAAAGTTAAACAATCTTCACTACTATCACGAACGTGTATAATTAGATTTTTAAACCTAAAAAATTTTTTTATCATTAGGCAATGATGAAACGATTTCAAATAAAAATTTATGATTAAATATCATATAAATCTATAAATGCTTAAGAAAAACTTCAAAATTTTTACTTCATTACAGCTCCCTATAAAAAATTGGAGCAAAAAATAAGTAACAAAAACTTTTTAACAAAATTTCAGTTTTATGACTGACAAGAGAAAATTAAAAATAATATGAAATAATGAAAAGTAACAAGTTTATAAACCGTCAAATTGTACTTTCTACTTGAAAATAGGTATAAAAATTATCAATTATTTATTAAAGACCAGTCATTTCTATTTAAAACACAATTTGGAAATAAGAGTATATAGTAAGTTTGTTAAGTTAATAAGGTTACACTTAAGGAATGTTTAGAGTAATTTATCTCAAGTAAAAAAAATATAACTGACTTTTATTTTTCTCTTAGAGATGGTGCTTGTCGACTTAGATTCACTCGTCGACTCTTTATAAAGCTGAACTTCAGCTTCAACGGCCGAAACTATACAGCTAATGATGTACTGATGTGCGGGTAAGATGAAAAAATCGGTTAAATTATAAAAGTTATCTTACTTTCCAGCAAATTCTCACACCCTGCAATTCTTCGCTATCGGAAGATATTAATAAGGTGTCCTTATCATAATCTAATATTTAAAAAGACTATATAGAGAGAATAAATGTGAAGTTAAGTCGTTAATTACAATGCAATAAATTGAAGTTTTCTGGCACTTCAAGCCAGTTGTTTTTAAGCTTATTTAAAGCTCTAAATCGTTCACTACTGCGAGGGTCTTTAAGTGACTCGCACAATAGCGTAATTTCGGAAGCCATAAAAGATTTTTATATAAGTTTTCGCTCAGTCGCCCTTTGAGTTTTGCTAGCAAATTAAGAACATACGAGCCAACCTTTTTCATTGTAAATTTAATTAAAGTGAACGCCAGTGGTCAAGAAAAGTAGTGCTATTGCCAAGGGTGAAGCTAATTGGTTACTACACTTCATAGTAAATCTAGATTTTTTTAATCTTTCATTTTTACGAACTTATCCTCAGTAGTCTAAATAAATTTTAACAGCACTCTTTCTAGATTTTATCTTCTTCTTTTGCCACAACTACTTAAAGGTTCATGACTGGCCTCTGCTTAAAATTAATTTTTTTTTATAATTTTTATATTCTCTATGATAGTCTGTTCCAGTCGCAGCACACCGTTCTCTTTATAAGTAGCAATTTTTCTAATAGATTATTGCCTAATACCCAGTGCACTCAATATCACCTTCTGTTTAAAAGTTACCTTTTTTAGTCTTAATACTCCCTACAGTAATCTATCCCGGTCTTTTCTATTTTTTCTAATGAAAATTCTTTAATTATTACTTTAACCTTGCAAGGAGCTTAGTAACACCTTGGAAATAAACTTATAAAGAGGCCTTTAGGAATAAATTGTTTTGGAGATTTAACTTTAATTTGAAAAATCACTTTTTTAAGACTTTTAGTTTATTTAAGTTAATTAGTCACACCGATTACTTTAAACTTACCGGGTCAAAATATAATTAAGGCATAAATGAATGTTTTTTCTTATGCGAACTAAAAAGTTTTTAAAATTTGTCCAGTTTAGGTATATAAGAATCTAAATACCTTGCAAATCGCAGAATTGTGGTAAGCCTTCTGTTCTCCATTTATACTGTTCTTTTATTGTCTCCTCTTAACAGTTCTTTAGATATGAGAATAAAAGAAGTAAAAAAATTTTGAATATTCGAGTATTTTGAAAAATTGTCTCCATTAATTTTAATTATAAAAAGCTTGTAATATTCTAATTTATAAAATCACACATAGGCATTTGTCTTTTACCTGTAAAAATTTTTTAATAGCTTAAAACCGAGAGAAGTTGTTGTAGAATATCTATTTTTTATCCTTTTAATAGAAGGAAGTAGTAATATGTTACATTTATTAGTGTTCTTATAATAAAATAACTACGATCATACTTGTGAACGTTAAATAATGTGTTAATGTAGCCATACAATAGATATTACTCAGTCCCAAAATAATGTCAACTAGTATGTATCGGAAGGTGGTTGGATTTTAAAAAACTTAATAAACAAATGTTGTATTTACGTAAAATTATAAAACTGTGACATTCGAAAATATTAGTAAAAATGTACAGCATTTTCAAAAGGGGTTAAGGTGAGGTTAAATTCAGCAGTAGAAAAGCTTAATATAGTAAATGAGAAAAAGCTTCAAAGGTTATGTTTGCCACATCAGGCCACTCTTTAACTTTCTTCCAAACACAAAGATATTTTTATGAAAAGTGTTTACCCCTTTTACATTTTTCTAAAAGAGGAAAATTTGTAGTTAAGAAATTAAAGAAAGACCTTCAGGGTACTGGCCATTTCTTTAGTCCTGTTTCTCTTATAAGTTTCCTTTGTTTAGACATTCTTATTTTCACGTATACAATAAATTTCTTTTATATTAGAGTGTTGTATAAAAATTTTATCTCTTTTTACCCTTTTTTTTAAGTGAAAAGAGTTGAAGCCACTGGGTCAAACAAAAAAGATGAGACTGAGACTACCACTGCCCTTAATTTTCTAAAACCTTTAAAAGGTTACATATATATTTTGTTTTTTTCCGAATCTTTTTTATTTTCTTTTTCTTAGAGAAATTTTATTTTAAATTATATACTCGTTAGCAAGTTACTAGCTTTGTACTTTTATCAATAATGTTTTTTAATTACTGTTTTTAATTGGACTACACAAATCTAGTATATATAGCCTTTTTTTTAGACCTATTGCAAACTTTAATACTATTACAGAATATTAATATTTGTAGTTATAAATTTAAGATTTCGAAAATGTGTATACTACTTTTACTCCTTACTTTGGTTTATTTCTCCTTAACGTAAGAAGGTTTTTTATGACTAAATGTAATAGCTATTTACTTTTGAGAATAGTGTGGCTGCAGAGGACTATTTAATTTTTTTTTTATTAAACTTTTTATAATTTTTTCTTAATATAAGTTTAAAAAAAGTTTCAAATTTCTACTTTTTTCAAAGAAAAGAAGATTTTATTAAAAATTGGCTTGAAGTTAATTTAAGTGATAATTAATGTAACTAACTTTATAATATTTGAATAAAATATTTTTTCATAGGGCTTGGCGACTCTACTTCAAAAGATTTACTTTTGTCGGTTGGCATAAATCCTATGGCTCCTTTGAATATGTTAACTAAAGAAAAAAGAAAGTAAATTGTTATAGTAGTAAAGTTAAGAAAATAATTTATTGAGTTCTCTAAATTTTATTTAAAGATATAATTATTGGTTAAAAATTGTTTTTTATACTCTCTGAAATTCTGTAATATGGTTTTAGTAAGATTTCAGTGTATATATCATTTTTGTTCCCTTTTTTAATTTTAATTAATAGAAATAATACAATAAATTTTAAAATGGAAGTTTTTTTAAAATTTGAAAATAAGATAATAACTTTAACTTTTTTTTTTTATCAACTACACAGACTTTTGCTTAGCGCTATTAATAGCAAATGGGGGCTCAATAGTTATAAACATTCTGTCGTGAATCCCTCTTTGATCCGCTACTCTAATTCCATGGGCTTTAGCGGGTTTGGAGTTATAAAGATTTATTTCTTTTTTTGTTGAAAACTTTTCATAGGAATAATTAAAAACTGAATTTATTATAAAATATTAAATTTTATATTATCTACTATATTTTTTTTCTAATACCTTTTTTCCATAAGTGCTGAAAGAGGACAACTTCTATATGATGAACTTAAACGTATACAATTGCAAGAAACTATGCACGAATATGACTACAAGTATCTTATATTTATATTAATAAAGTTAATATATAAATTATAGTTGATAATAATCAATAATAGAGATACAATATTTCCATAATAAAATGTTAATGCCTATAAAAAACTATAGAACAAATTTATACACGAGTTTTTTCTTTTATGTTTATAAAGACATTAATTATATTATTTTTTTTTGGTATTGGGAAGTATTATTAATGTTTTAAAAACAGCAATTTCTATATATATATTTAATTTTTATATATATTATAAATTTTTATATCTTTTTTTATTAATAAATATAACTAAAATTTAAAACCGGGTTAAAAAAAGGTTTATAGAAAAAGACTGTTCATAATAAATGATTGGTAGATACATACCACTGTATGTGTGTAGCGAATCAAGTACTTATAATTCAATTTTTTCATATTAAGAATGACGAACGCATTTGCTAAAATGAAGGATACTGTTAAACTGAAGAGGTTTCAACTCGGGCTCCCTACGAAAGGTTCTCTTCTAGTATCAATTACTTTGTTTATATTTTATATGTCATTTATTTTTAATACAAATAGGCCAAAGAACTAGAAGTAATGCACGTACTGCTAAAAGAATAAATAAGAGTTTATATAATAAATATGTTCCAAAGTGAATCTTCTTTATGTGTTCATGAATTTTTATATTAATAAAACTTATTTATTCCCTTTATTTATGGTGCCATTTTCAATTTTGAATCATTTTCTTGTGGTACGTTCAGCCGGTATAGCCAAATAAACGTCGCCGAGAAAGGACTTGCACTATTGGATATTACTTTTTTGTTAACTAACTTATTGGATACAGCGACTAGATTAATTTTTAAAGTTTTCAACTCGCTAATTTTTGGTGCTGACATAGAAAAACCATCAAGCCAACCTCTGGAAAAGTGTAAAATTACACAATCTCCTGCTAGTAAATTCGGTCAACTTGCTCTTTTCACGCTTCGAACCACCTGATGAGCAGTACTTGTAAAGAAGTACTATAAATTCACACAAAGCTTAGCCTAAGAGACCAACTCCCCTTCTTTCTAATTTCTCCCTCTCATTTTGCCCTCCTGGCCTACTTTAAAACACAAATTTTTTTTCACCTTTGTATTTAAACATAAAGAAAGAAGATAGCTGCTATCAAGTTTTTTATTATAAGCGTAAACTTTGAATTTAGGCTGAGAACATTTTTATCAGAGGGCAACATTTGTACCTCTTTAAAGGTCTCACGGAGGGGTCCTTCTTATCAAGTAAATTTTCAAAGAAGTGTCGTTTAGACTTGACGTTCCCCGATAAAAAATAAGCGCGGCTTCGTATATAAAATAGCTTGATATTCCCAAAATCTTCTTCCCAACTGCTGTTACGATTACCATTTTCAAAGTTGGCTTTATAACTGTGTTTATTGTCTTTACTGCCTGAGTTATTATTCTCATTGTTATTTATATATTCTTTATTATAGTTCTCACTTATCCTTGGAGTTTTGCTTTGGGTTTTATGTACATCAATATCATTATAGTTCTCGTAGTTGTGATTGGGGCCACTTGTGTACATTAAGCTGTTATCTATAGATGGATAACTTCGGTTATCAGTATTGTAGTGGCTGTTAATAACTTCATTACTGGAGTTATTTATATAATTATAACTACATTTACTGTTTATAGCAATATCCACGCCTTCATGGGTACTATTATAACTCTCTACGACAGAAATGTCTTTTTCGTTTTCACCACTGTTAGTAGAGGAGATGCTAATATATTCATTTCTATAATCATCGGTTTGAATAACATTTGTATCATTCCCAGTAAACTTCAAGTTGTTTGTAATACGGTGTTCAAATTTTTGACTATTGTTTCTAAAAATGCAGTCGTCGTACTCATTGTTATTGAAAGGGGTAGTAATATGACCATCTTTAAAATTATTATTATAAAGAAAATTAAACTCATTTTCGCTATTCTTCAAGTTGCTTGTAATACAATATTCACTTTTATAACTACTGTCATTAGTATTGTAATCGTTGTTTTTATTTTTAATGGAGGAGTCACCAATGTAATCTTTAAAATTCTTCGTGTCCTTTACAATACCGTCATCGACAATGCAGCGGTTGTTCTCATTGTTAATAAATAAAATCCCAATATTATCATTTTTATAATTCTTCGTGTCGTTAATAATATTGTATTCACATTCATAACTACCGTAACTATTGTTAATGGGCGGGATGCTTAAACCATTCTCGCTATTCCTAGGGTCGTTAAGAATATTATATCCACTTTTAAAACTACCGTTGCTAACATTAGAGTCATTGGTATAAATGCCAGTAATAGAGATATATCTTTTATTACTTTCATTTTCATTTCCATCAATATAATTGTATTGGTTATTAAAAATAAGAATCTCGTCCTCGCTATTATTTTTGATATTTATAGTGTATTTATTATCTTTAAAACCGTCAGCACCAACACTGCAGTCACCAATGCTATTTTTGTTTAAAGACTTATTATATAAATCAGTTTTATCATTATTTTTTATGTTATGTTTACTAAAAATTTTCACATTTACATTGTTAATATGATTTTTATCATTAGAACATATAAAGTTATATATATTATTATCTAAGTGGTCTTCATTACTTTGGTCAGAATTACAAGTATTGGCGTTATTTATATCGTTTCGTAACTCTTCATTTCTCCGAAAAATATTATTTTGCTGGTAATAGTTCATGTTATTACACTCCTCTTCGTTATTATTACTGTTTTCAGTAATATTCTTACTATTATCTTGACGGTAGGAACCACTAACTGTTAGTTTCTCGTTGTTGCTGCGCACACGTCGAAATTTTAATTTTTCGAAAGGGCCTATGAGCTGTCAATAAGCAAAAGCCAAGTAAAAAGGCGCTTATAAACTGTTTTACTGTATTTTTCCTGTTTTTTGAAATTTCCGGTTTTATGGATGCGGACCTGATTTTGGTTATTTTCCAGATGTTTTATAAGTTTTTCAGGGGGCTATTATAAGTATCTTTAAGTCGGTAACTCTCCAACATTATAAAAATCTTTACCTTGCAAACTTCTTCATAATTATCAATCATGTATTCCAAAACTTTCACGCATTCCAGGTTACTCGCTAATAACGTTATATTTAAGTGTAAGCAGGTGTGCAGATATATAATATGAGCGCACCTAACAATTTCTTTGGATCGGTGGTTTTCACTACGAAAATGTTCGGGGCCCATACCTTTGCTAAATTCAACGTAGACATGCGGTTCTCGAGTTGATGTTGGGCGACGAAGTGGCCTTTAAATAGAATATTAAATACTGATTTGCATAACAACCAAGCTATCTACATAAATTTAAAACGGCCCTCAGCAGGTTTAAATTGCTGGGCGGTAATAGCATGTTGAGGTTCTGTAAAATGGTAGAAATATTGTTCTTGGTCTCATTAATTTCTGGTTGAACAAATTGTTACGGAGAATTTTCCATAAAAGGGCGCTCATAAAACGGGCGTACCCCATGCAGCGATGTATTTATCGATTAAGTTGCTGGGAATTAAACCTCCAGGAAGGGACCTGACAAAGTTTTTCATGACACTACTGACGTCGTGAACTGTGTACCTTTAAGGAACAGAAAGTAAATGTTATTAACAATTTAGTTAAATAATTAAATATATTTTGGTTTTTTTTTTTATAAAATATCATTTATTTGAAAAGTTTTTACTTTTTTATTAATAAATTGTTTTCTTTGACGACTTTTAGTTTCAGTATAATTATTTATTGTTTCGAGGTAAATTATATATAATGCACGCTTGCGCTATTTAAAATAAAAACAATAAATTTAAAACCGCAGCAGTTCGTCTTCATCACTTATAGGAAATTTGCATAACTCCTCTTCCAAGTTTTGTAGTCTCTGAAAAGAACCAGTTACGCGAAATATTCCTTTAGTTTTAAAGCCTTAAAAAAAAGTTATAGTTTATATAAGTTTCAGCTTTAACACTTTTTTTTTAGCAAAATATACGTCCGTCGTAGAGTAACAATGCGCACATGATTTTAAATATTTCTGGTAGGTACTTATTGGCTGCCAACGACTCGAGTGGAACACCAATAAACTACAAAGACAAATTCTTTTTTTAACTAAGTCATACAAAATTTTGAGTGCTTACTAACCTTATTTTTTTTCTTTTGCTTACAAGATCCTGTTACTGTCGATTTACTTTTTTTTTAATAAAATATATTTTTAAAAATTGTGTTAGTGTATAAAAGTTTAGCACACCTTTTTAACACCTTCGTTATCCTATTAAAAATATTTAAATTAAATAATTCTGAAAGTAAGTTTTTCTTCCCAGTAAAATTTTCGTGTCCTTTTAAAACATCTTCAATCTTAAGATCTTTCATGCTTATATGTTTCTTAATAATATTAATTATTATAAAAAAAAGTTTTAAACTCTGAGAAAATAGAAAACAGAACATTACCTCCAGCTCGCAAAAGCAGAAGTCAATTTTCTGACGCACATAATCTCTTGAATCTTTCAAAAATTTAAAGGCTTCCATACTACCTTTTAGTATACCAGAGCACCTTTTCTCAACGTAAACAGTTAATGGATAACAAAATTATGTATTAAAAAAAAATAAGTTTATTGCAAATAGTTGGCTTTACTACAATATAACTAAAGTTTGACGATTCGTTATCTACACTTTTGACTCCTATATAAAAATTAATGAAACAATATAAATATATATTTAATTCAAATTTGAACTGAATTTATGGATTATTTGTTTAGTAATGTTTATATTCTTCTAAGAAACTCGGCTGTCTAAAGGTTGTTAGATCAAATGTTTACCAAGTAGTAATTAATTTGTAACTAATGTACTCCACAAAAAGTGCTAATAATTTTAAACTTTAAGTTCCAATTAACTATTTCTTTAAATGTAAAGAAAAAAAAATGAATTCCGTCACACCTGATCAATTACACGAAAAAAACTTACCTTCTAGTGATTGGATTGTCTATTAAGCGACTAAGTTTTGTGCAGGAAACAAGATTATTGTTGATGACTATTTTGTACAAGTAAAGATATAAGAGCTTTGTAAGCGTTGTATTACAACAGAAATATTATACAATGTGGTTGCAGCATAATGAAAGTTTGGTTGCACACGTTCATTAGTATAACTTAAAGTTTTCTCCTAGAAACAGTGAAGAACACATAGATTAAGGCACTCTAGTTACCTATATATCTATAAGATGGATATGTTAGGCTAAATTTGGAGTTCTGCTGTTAAAAAAATTATATAAAAAGTTCGATTGGTTAATTTTTCGTACATCACTTTTTAAGACGAAAATCCATTTTAGGCAAGGTGTAAGACCAGTTCTACTGATAATATTCACATATACAAATCTTAAGCTGCTTTAATTAAATGATGGCTAAAAGCATTTTTTACAATTATGTAGAAGCGAAAACTTTTAAATAACTTAAAATTTTTTTTACCTATATTTATTTTAAAAAAAATATATGCATGACTTAGATTATCGTCTAAACGTATCTTCCTAAAATTTAGTGAGTAAAACGGGGAACCCTAAAAAAATATAATGTATGTAAATACTTTTAAGAGAATGTAAACATCAGTATACATAACCATAAATTAAGGCGTAAATAAAAAAAGGAACTGGTGAATAACCTAAAAAAAAAAAGAAGGGATGGGAAAGAAAAAGGATTCACGTAAATCTTGGCAACGATAAAAAAACAACATTAACAAAAAAATAAACGGATTGCTATTGCATGTGGTTTATAAGGCTGAAGAAAAGCACGATATCAATTCTCTGGTGAGCACAGGAATTGTCGGGGGTTTTTTAAAGTAGAAAAAATTATTTAATAACATAAATTATCAATACAATAACTATGTAGTAGCTTTTTTTCTTCGAAAATAATATTATTTCGATACACACATTTCATGATACTGCTTCTAAAAATAGTAGTCACTTGACCCACTTCTACGCGCAAAGGCCTGTCGCCTTATAATAATCAGGCCTTAAAGCACGGGTGGTGGTGATTCGAACGCAAATTTTAATCCGTAAGTGCATAGTTCGGAAGTGGTCTCGATAATCAATCACATACCCCCTTACATAAAGCCCATAAAAAATTATAATAAAAATAAACAATGTATACAATATAAAAAATAATGGTTTATAAATTTTTATATTACAAGCTAAAAAGAAGGTATAAAGTAATAAACCACGAGTCTTACTCAAAGCTATTAGCACGATAACGCAATCAAAATTCTACATAAACTAAAGCTAATAACTAATTTTTAATATACCACGATAATTATTCAAAATGCTACATTTTATTAATATCAAATATAACAATTTCTTAGAAAGACTGTCTTTTAAGTCTAAGATGGTGTCCTCGATATGAGCCCCTTGTCTTTCTGATGTATCTTCTTGCTTTGGTTGCAATTCGGTTGCGATACACTTATGACCACAAAAAAAAAAGATTAACTTCAGTCCTACATTTTTTGTTACTTTGAATAACTCAATAGTTTTACACTTTTCCTGTTTGTGTCTACCACCGCATCTTTTGGGTAAATAACGTGAGGCATCTAAGTAACACTTCTGCTCTTGATAACTCCTTGTGCTTGATAAAATAAGTTGCAAAGATTGTTGCATATTGCTGGAGTCTATTTCTTTTTATTTCCGATTAATTGGTTATATTCATCCAATATTAAGTTGCGTAGACTTACTAATAGCAGCACACTCTCAATCCAGTTGATTATTATAACAGATGCACACGGCAAAGAAAATTTTTATATTACTTGTGAAATTTTATGAAATTTTGCTACTAACCTTAACTTCCTATTTAATAAAAACGTATCAATATCAAATAATATTTTAGTCGGTTTATTAGATTTTAATATATTTATATAAAGATTCATAGTTCATATAACAAATTAATAGTTAATAACTATAGATAGGAATTACACCTTTTTTAATTACTTCTTTACTTGATAACATCGGTGAATTAAAACGGCAGCAATACTGTGAATTAACAAAAAACAAAATGAGCATGCCTCTGTAAATGAGTCAATATTATTTATTTATTTACAGCCGGAGTGAGCCTCCAAGAACACTCAAGGTTATATACCCCCATTCTCGTAAAGATGCTAACAGGAATTACTAAAGCCATAATCATTGGCAATACTGATTGTCATGCCTTGTAGTTCCCTCATAAGTCTTAACATTTACTTCTGCTTAAACTATATTGATCTACTAGATGGTTGCGCCACCTGAGCCATTTAACTCGCTTTCTTTAACTTCAAATAAGACAGACGATAAAAGTGATGAGTCTTCTATCAAGAGCGAAATTGTACAGAGGTTAAGTGAGGATTCGCATAGAAAGAAAGAGGAAAACTTAAATTATACTGACATTAACTGCGAGGTTTCAAGTTATATTTAACTAATTATTACTCATATTTACTTATATTAAGTATATTTTGTCTAGTCTAAAATAATTGAAGCTAACTTACTAAAGGAAAAAGGAAATGAGTATTATCGACTGTGTTTATTTCAGGAGGTTATAAACATAAAAGCTTTATCATAACCTGATAATTTATATAAATAATAAAGGCCAAAGAGTGGTACACTAAAGCTATAGAAGCTTCCCCAGTTTCCTGCGACAACGTTGCAGTTTTTTATTGTAATCGAGCTGCTTGTTGTCTAAAATTGAATGAGCTTGATAGCGTCGTTGAAGATTGCACAAGAGGTTTATACAAACCAATTTTACTGCAGTAAATTCTCTCCTTGAACTATATAATTTGTAGTATCTTTTGCTTAACTTTATGTTTTTTATAAATCTAGTAATTATATTATATTTTATATAGTATTTTATGTTATTGTATAATAAAAAATAATTTTGGGTATAAGTAGTTGTAGTTATTTAACAGTTTACCTTAAAATTTCTAATAATTATTATTTACTATAAAATTCTTATGTTATTTGCATTCAAATTTATAAATATAATGGTTTCTTTTTTTTAAAATAAAGTTTGGTTTTATACATATACAAGTACTTTATACACGACTGCTCAACATATTGTTTTAATAATCTTAATTTCTATATAAAATATAGTAAGTTAGTGAACTTTTATTTATAATTTTAATAATTTTAAAGTTATTCTTACATGATTTTATGTTTTAATTATGGTTATATAAGCATTTGAGTTATTAACTTGAACTTTTGCCCGAGTTTTAATTTATTATATATATTTGTATTAAACAGCTTTAGAAATTAATCCTAACTACGAAAAAGCTTTATTGAGAAGAGCAAGTTCGTATGAAAGGATGGAAAAATTTAAAGATGCACTTGCAGGTTTCCCATTATATCGTTATTTTCTTTAAATTATAATTTATGAGCATTTTAAATAGATTATGAAAAAGTTCTTGAAAGTTTTCCTACTAATATAACGGCGCTTATTGAAAAAGGAAAACTTGAAGCAAAAATTAAAGAGCAAGAAGAAAAAATGAAAGGAGAGATGATCGGTAGCTTTTCTTTAACACTTTTTTTTTTAGGTTTTTTTAGTTAAAAAAAATATATTGGCGCAATCACCTTCAGTACTTTTAAAAAAATTTAAAACTGGAAAACCTTTTTTTATTTTTATTTTTGTATTAAGCTTATATCAGTTTTACTAAAAAGAAATTTTAATTTTTTATAATTTAAGTTATAATTTTATTATATTTAACTATCTTAATTATTTATTTTGAAATTTTAATTTTATTAAAATTACTGAAGCTTTATTTACTTTATACGGACGGTCAAATTTAGTAGGTAGAAAATCTTATATTTTCATTTCTTTATACATTTTATTAAATTTACTTTAATTCACGCTTTAGTAAAGTTAATATGTAATTTAAAGAATATGTAATTTAAAGTTTCTTATTTGACTTTACTACTTTATACAGTAGATTTATATTTTTATCTGCTAAAATAAATAGTTAGAATTGCTTATATATACTTAAATTCTCATAAAAATTAAAAAAATTGTTTTAAAAACGTGTTTGACTTTAATTTAAAATAGATAAATTAAAAGATTTGGGCAATCACTTTCTCAGCAACTTTGGATTGTCCCTCGATAACTTCAAGACTGAAAAGGTTCTTGTTACAAATTTTATTTTAAAATTTATTAGTCTTTATTCTTATACTAATTTTCTTTTGTTAATTTGAATGAACAAATTGCAGAGATCTGATGGGAGTTATAATATAAAATTTCAGCAGTCTTGATTTTTTTTATAGCAACTATATTCAATAAAATGCCCCTTTTATATATCAATTTACTATTTTTAACAAGAACAGTTCAGTCAGTTATTGTTACTATTAAGTAATAAATTTGCCTCCTATGTGGCTTCATTGAAAATATCGTTAGATTTTTCAGTCCACCGAGGAGAGTATAAGTTTTAGTCATATCATTTTTGAGTACTCTTTTTAAAATCCCTAAAGTTTTAATAAAAACAATTTTTTTATAGCTGCAAAGTTAAAAATGTACATAAGTCATATTTTTTTGCTATACGGTATTAGAAAATTGACCTAATACATGAGTATTACCTTATCGTAGATTCAGGTAGTTTATGAAGAGAAGAAAAACGTAATTCATATGAAACTGATATGAAGGCAGCAAAGTGTGAAGTTCATTACTTTAAGAAAAACTTTGTTATTAGAAGTCTGTTTACGAAAATTTTATTAAAAGTGTTGTGTATTCGGTTGCCTAGTTGGGGAGCGCCTTCTAAGATTTGTGCACTTTTTCCCGTGTGTACTTAAATTTAGCTTGCCTGCAAAACTACTTATAGCAATTTTAAAACTTGAGCTGCACTCTATCCCGCGTATATTGCTATTTATAAGAGATCCTTGTTTTTTTACTCCGGTCAAAAATTAAAAAAATTTAAAGAGTTACTTTTACCTTTAGTTGAGAGGGGAAACCCTGTTAAGCGTCATAAACATGGGTATGAATACATATCATTTAAATATAGAAACTTAAAGGTAGAAGGAAACAAATAATATTGAATACTCCAATACTATCTTGGTCTCGTAAATGCGTAAACAAAAATAAGCAGCCAAGATCAATAATTATTTTAAGTTGCTAGTACAGGGTTAATTATAAACACTTAGTGTAAAAAATTGGCAAGAAGATGGTTTATCATAAATAGTGAGTGACCACATACAATATTAAAAACAAAAAGACAGAAAAAAGAGAAGTTTGGTCATATTTAGGCCAGTTCTTTAATAACTAGATCCTGTTCCTAAACTTTGTAACGACACAATACATTATCACCTTATAATACTACAGAAAATGAAAAACAGACTATTCCATACTCTACACGGCCTGTTATATCTAACGAAATATCACAATACTTAATGTTTGGAGGCGCAGACCCCTATTTATTAGATATCTGCTGATAAAAAAAAATTAATCCTTTGAAGATCTTAGCTGGTTTACGCCAAAGGCGCTTCCTTATAGTGGGTACTAGCACCACGTTAATGCTAAGGCCAAGTTTCTGTTTCCTTTGGTAACAACTCATGTCAACGAAATTACTTTTAAGCCTGGTTTAAATTAAACAGCAAAAGGTTTTTGTAATGTTATTTTTATTAGTACATATTTATCTATTTCAAGGGTAATGAATCTATTTTCTTGTGATCCGGAACGTTACAAGTCTCCCCTTCCAACTTATATAAATAGAAAAAAGCCCATTGTGGTAACCCCCTCTTATATGACGTCAATACAAGCTAGAGCGAAATATACAGAGGATGAAAGTATAAATAAATTTAAAATTAAAGCAATTCCAGTAGTTAACACAGAAGCACGAAATTGTAATTTACAGAATGGACAATTGTCGTTTCCGGATTCTCCTAAATTTAAAGCACCCTTTTCCTCTACTCACTCCCCCAATATCTCTTTTTCATCAGCCTTTGTAGAATCTTCCCCACCTTTACGTAAACCAACACCTTTAAGATCTTTTACCTCTTTACTTCAAAATCTCCCTCTTCCACGTTCGGTTAGTCAGTTGCTAGAGTCTACTGCAGGCGTTCCAACTCCTTTAAAAGACCAAAGTTCGGTAATCCAGCAGTCAATATTTCAGAACTTTTGTGAAAACTCTTCTGGAGCGTCTTTATCTCTGGAAAAAGCTGATTCTAATCTTACCCGAGACAAATTTATTGAACTTCCCAATTGTGAACAGACCGAGAAGAGCACTGACATTGCTTGTAGAGATAACAACTTTCATGTTTCTATCAATGAGAGTACAAGTATTTTAACGGCAAACAGTGAAATGGATTGTATTGGTAGCAGTAGTCCACGTAATAGTAATAGTGGCCTTGTGTGTAATAAAGAAAAGGAACAGCCCATGGATAAAAAAAGGACTGGTTTTTCTAAATTTATTTTCAATGAAGTTAACAACTTTAGAAGCATCGACCCTGAAGGTGTTCGTAATAAAAAGGAAGATGTACGTGATTTTCACAGTTTATTTGGAGATACTTCTGCTGGAGATAGCAATATTTTTAATTTTGAGTTGAACAGCATGTTGCTCAGAAGTGTACCAGATAATATATCAAGTAGCCCTATTAATTTTGAATCTAGTAAGGAAAAAAGCACTACGCACGAAACTTTAAATTCACCCAAATCCGTATTGTCATCATCAAATTTTGCAACGTTTGCTAACAAAGAAGGTATAGGTATTTTAAAATTTTTAACTTATTATGTATACAACATCTTTCATTATTGAATTTACAGAGGAAGTTGGGCCCTCCGAATTATTAAAAACTCCGAAGAAGCAAGGCCAAACAGACTTCAGATCTTCACCATCACCAGGCGGAAAGTTATTGAAAATTCTCAGGGATCACGAAAGTAAAGGATTTTCGGAAAGTCCTTTAAAATTAACTTGGTTCCTTGATAGTAACCCGAATGATAAACATTCTTGTTCTCTAACACAACTATTTAATAGTTCAGAGGAGCTCTATAAGGAGGATGAAAGTATTAATATTAACGACGATAAAATTATTACCGACTACGCTGACAACAATGAGGATAATAATAATAGTAATAACAGCAATAGTGACAGTATAAACAATAATAATAATTATAATAATCACGCTAATAATAGCGATTATAATGATAATAATTATAATAATGCGAGTCAAGTAAACGTTGAACAAACTCTTTTTTCGCCTATAAACAAATCCCAGAATGTTTATTCTGATGATGAGCTGATTTTTAAAATGAAGAATACTAACTCTTCACCCGAAGTTCGCCTTCCTCGTTTACGTCGAAGGCCAAAAAGTTCTTTGCAAACGCCGCCTTCTAATTTACAGAGCATTCAAAGCCTAAAAGATAAGGAAGTCATTAAAAGTTCTACTGGCGTCCGCAAGGAGGAAATCGCGGCTCCGCGTGGGTCAGAGAAGCATGCAAACCCTGCAACACCCGATGGAGCAGTTAAACAAGCTCCGACGCCGCTTCGTAGGAGTGCACGCGTTCCTCGGCCAGTAAGCGAGTTTTGGGCGTGCCCCCGTTTTATTAAAAAGGTTGTTATCATGTTGAGAAACAGATGCTGTGCTTTATTTTAAACCGCTCGTTTCAGGAGGACGGCAGTTATGAATGTGTTCAGGACTTCTCGTGGGTGGGCTCCTTTGAGTCAGAAGGTGCCCCACTAGCTTGCACTAATTTTAAAACCAGAAGCTCAACTTCTTAAACTTTAGCTGCTGTCAGAAGAAGAATGAATCTTTGCAGTAATAGTACTGTTAGAAAATGTACTGCTGTAAGTCGTGCAAAGATCGAACTATCCGTAAAAGAAAGGCTTCGAAAGCTCGAAGACAAAACTAAAGCTGAGAAAACTCGTAGCGCTCATCAAATTCCTGCAAAAAAAAGAAGAGACAAGGAAAACAGGTGAAAACGCTTTTTTTTTAGTGAATCTTTGGGCCTTACTAAACCGGTAACGATTATAAAGAGCTTGCGATTCCTGGACTCAATTTGAAAATAAAAGACTCGAGGAAATTCTTAAAAAGCAGCCTCTGGGCCCTAACTATTGGACCAATGTGGCACAACACGTGGGTACACGCACAGCTCTGGAGTGCGAGGCGCAGGCATCTCGGCAGCCGGCGTCCCACAGCAAAGCTAAGGATGATAATTCCAAAAAAAGAGTACTTGGTACACGTGTTACGTCAAAGAGACGGGTATTGAACGACGACGATGACGATTCCATGATTTTTAAAGCGACCCCCATACGCTACCGGCCTATGAGGCAGGGTGCGCGCACCCCTCCAATACGTAGCTTCGTCAAATGAAAATCCCTCATCCTACTTTTTGCAATGCATCTGACGAACACACCGTTCTAAAACGTGATCAAGGGGAAGCGCGGCTTATGCACGACTTACATAAATAACATTTCACTCGAGAAGTATAAGTATCATAGTAACAATAAAAAGTAAAAAGTTTTTTTATTATATCAATATAATTTAATAAAAAAGGCCAGTAGTTGTTGCAACAATCATATTCATGCACCAACAACTATTCTTTAGCCCCTTCTAAAAAAAAACTGCTGCCCTCCTTGCTGAAAATGAAAGTTAAAGCCGCTAGGAAACTGAAACACGTTTTCTATTGAAAATAAATATATATATTAATTTACTTACTATTATTATTATTATCACCCCAAGAATCATGTTGAAACGGTTCAGGATTTAGCGGGTCGACTCCTGAGTCGTATTGTCTTCGCTTTTCTTTTTTAAAATTTAAAAGTTTTTTTTTAAAAAAGTAAAATTATAAATGAATTATTAGAAGTTCTTTTATAACACTAAAAAAGTGACTAATAGAAATAAAAGAAATTTTATAAAACCATCGTCAGTTAAAATTTCCTTTGCTTGTGTGATCTCTATAAACTTTCGCTCAACCTCCTTCTATTATTATAAATATTATTAATAATAATTGTTGAGCTTTTCGTAATATTACAGAGTTTTTATCTTTATTTCTATCGGGATGATACTTTTTAGCGAGCTCACGAAAAGCTCTCGATATCTCTTCTTTAGTAGCAGTGCGCTTAACCTTAAAAGTAGATTAGTATTATATAATCATAAAGTTTTTAAAAAAGAATATTTGTTTATGTATACTTATTATAGCCTATAGCTATTGGCTGTTATATTCAAATTCATTTGTTATCGACAACACACTAAATTTAAAAAATTTCATTATGAAAACCCCCAATATTTTATAATAGTCCTTCTTTTTTGATTGCTTGGCTAATTTTTCGGCCTGATGGAGGCCGTCTTTTGCAGCAGAATAGTTCTCATCAATATTTAAAGCTTTCCGATAATCTTCTTTGGCCTGAAAATAATAATAATAATAATAATAACAATAATAATAACAATAATAATAATAATAAAGCGCCTCTTCATAGTTCGAAAGAGAGATGGAGGCCTCTGCCCGTTTACAGTAAAGTTCTGGATCACGTGGGCTTAACTTGATGGCTTTACTGCACGCGTCGTAAGCCACTTGCTCACCAGAATCCTTAAAATAAAGCAAAAAAAACTAAAAAATAAGTAAAGAAAAATTGAATTATTTAAAAGGACTTTGAGATGAGCGTTGCACAACTGCTTAGCCACAAGCTTTTGAAATTCCAGCGGAATATTCGGAAAGTTTTGTGCTTGTTTGTACTTGTTGATCTTTTTATAAATTAAAAGGTTATTATTCTTTTTAATCACCAAGTTAATTTTTTAAGATTTTAAAGTTAAAAAAGATTAAGTAACTACAATCTCTGCCTTAAAAAAACTTTTAAAGTAACTAAGAAAATACCGCTAAGTTATTATATTTTATAGTACCATAATTGCTATAAAAAACTTTCAAATACTTTTACAGTTACACGGTTATTAAAACAAAATAAAGTTTTTTCCTTTTTAAAAAGTAAAATATTTTCCTAGAAAAATAACAGAATGTAAGCTAAAGTCTCAAAGGTACTGATTTCTCCATAAAAAAAGAAGTACCCCCGTTTTCCAATCTTTTTTATTAACGGCATCATCGGCGGCTTGCATTACTTGGCGCAAGTTTTTTATTTCCTACATAAAATCCAATAATAAATAATAAATAATAAATAATACTATATAAACGAAACTCATAAACAAAAATAAAAAAATATTATAATAATAGTAATACTAATAATAATTATTATTATAGTAACTCTATAAAAAGTTTTGCATTTAGAATGATCTTGGTCCAATTGCAAGCACTGGCGCACGTGGTTTAACGAGGAGTCCAGTTGACCATCTTCAAAGTAAAGTTGGGACAAAATGAAATGCCCTGAAAAGTTTTGCAAAAAAAACTTCTGTTTAGTAAAAAACTTTTAATATCAATTTCATAAAACGTTTGCTACATCTTAGAAACAAATAGATATATAAAAGTAATATTAAACAACCTTCAGTGTTGTCAGTTTTTAAATGAACAGAGCGTCTACAATCACATCAAGAAATCGCAAGTTATAAAATTAAAAAATTAAAAAGTTAATTAACAATCTATAAAAACTAGCAACAAAAATTTATATATAACTGAAGTTTAAAAAAGTATTATAACTAAAATTATAAAACATAGAAATTAAGAATCGCGAAGTATTATTTTTTTATTATAAAAATTTTAAGGATAAGCATAATGATAAAATAAAAATGTTTGCATACTTCATAATATTTTTTAAATAATTATGACTTAAAACTTAAAAAAATTAACACAATAGAAAAAAAATAATTTGTTATTAACAAGAAATTCGATTGCATGGCAAAATAAAGGTATATAAAACGTTCTATATTAACATCCATCATCTACAATTTACAAAAGTGATCATAAATTAAATTGTTTTATAAGTATAATAAATAAATAAAAATAATTTAACCAATAAAACAACAAATGTAAAATAATTTAAAATTACAAATATGAAAATGTTTGTATAATAAAATCAACAAACAAAAAAAGGTTTAAAAAAAATAAAAACGAGATTAAAGTTAAATTATTTAAAAAATATTGATAATGCACAAATAACGCACAAATAATCGGCGATGGCATCGGCTCGCCTGTTCAACTTTACATAACACTCAGCTCGAAGGACCCGCGCCTCGTAATGGGCAATAGAATTTTCAATAATCACCTATCTCATAACAAATATGACTAAAAAGCAAAGTTTTCTTAAAAAGGTAATTATAAATCATATATAATTGGTTTTAAATATTAAATATTAAAACACTTCAAAATAAAAAACTTTACATTCAGATATAAATGTCTTCAACCAACCAAAGATTTTAAAAATTACAAGAATTCCATCTTTTCGAGTTGTCAAAAAAAAGTATGTAAATATTGTATATTTTATGATTTTTTATTAATAAAACCAATAATTTCGCTATTATTAAGTTTAGATCAGTCTGAAAATAGTAGAAAAAAATAAGATAAAAAATAAAATCTACCAAGCAAAAAAGAATATTTTAATAAATTATATAAAAGTATAAAACTAAGTGATTACATCAAGGCGGCTAACAGCTTCTTCAAAACGTCTTCGTTTAATTAAGTTTTCTACTTCCTTATAAATATCTAGTAACTCACGATTTTTCTTTGCCTAAGAAGAAATTATTCAAAAAACTTGCTTTAAAATACCCACAGTTTACTATAAAAGAACACAAAAAAGACTATTATAATAAGAAAGAAGGTAATAACTTGAAGAAAATTTTAAATTTAATAAACCATTTTTTTAGCATGCAAATCGGAAGGATTTTCTTTTAAAAGTTTTTCAGCGTCCTCAAGTGCTTCCTTGTAATAACCAACTTTTATATAAAGTTCATCGCGCTTAATCCTTGCCTAAAAAAAAAAATTAAAAAATACAAACATATATATATAATTTTTATCAGAAAAAACTTCGTGAAAGTTAGGAGCAATCGATAGCGCTTTATTTAAATCAGTTATGGCGGCATAAAATTTTCCTAAATTAAAATTCTAAAAACGTAACAATGCTTTCAATGGTAATTGAAGTACCTTGTATGAGCAATGCAGTAGCTCTCTGATAATATGCAACATTGTTAAAAGGATCACTTCCTTATATAAAAACAGTACTATAATCTAGATGCACGAATTATGAAGGTAAAAATAATTACTTAACACAGAAGAATATATAGCAATAGCTTCATCAAGTTTTCCTCTTGCAACAAAAGATAAAGCTTTATTTAGTTCGCTATCAAAACTCTTGCTAGCTAACAATAAAGAAAAAAAAATCAGATTAAATATAAAGTCAATCACGTTAACAAAACACAAAAAAAACTTTTTAAAATTAAAAAAGTTAGTGATTATACTTGCGAAAGCAAAAAGAAAAGTCCAAAAAACGAAAACACGAATTAGCATTTTATTTAGTAAAATAAGGTAAACTGCTACTTCAAATATTTATTTATTTGTAAATGGTATTTACTATAACAACAGCTAATAAGAAAAATAAAATAAAAATCAAAAAGTATTATTGTCGTTCTGATTGGCAAAGTTATATGCGTTTATTCCACCAATAACCTTAGGACTTATGGCCTCGCCACGTTGGTAATTAAATAGGACTGGGGGAATTTACTTATTTACATTGTGTTATATAAATTAATTAAAATTATAATGTACTCACGAACTTATATTTTTAAGGCACAATAACAAAATTTAAAGTTATCTACTTATTCTAATAAATATTTTTTATGCAGAAACCTTAAGGCTTTAAAAGTTATTTAAATTTTTATTATTAGAATTTCACATTGGAAAAGCCCTTTGAGCTGCCTGCATAGTAATAAAGTATATATATATTTTTATTTCAAAATTGACTTTTTATTTTTATGAACAAAGACTAGACTATTATAAACTTGTAATAACTCGTTGGGATGGTTTCTATACGTTTAATACTGCAAATACTAACTCTTTGGTATTAAGCAATGCCGTGCCTATATTAACAGTAACAAATCTAAAAAAAAATTGATTTTGTAGGCTCAACTTCGAGAACAAGTATATATTTTAAATATAAAATATTTAATATAGACCACATATATACTACAAGACTGTTAAACATTTTAGTTGTTACTAATCCAATGGGAGCACAGCACCCTCAAACCAACAAAAAACAAGTTTTTCTTTAAAAATTAGGTATTTATCATTAAAGACCTATTAGACTTAAAAAATTTTTTGAAATTTTTAATATTTTAACTTTATACTGTTAAATACGTATGTAAAACAATTTTTAAAATTTTATAAAAGTAATAAATCCATATTTCCCTTCGTTTATGCGTTTTAACAAAAACTTTTCAAGCATACAGGGATTCTTAGTAGTAATGCTAACGGCAGTGTACCAGGTATTTTAACTTAAGTCGTTTAATTATGTTCCTTTATAATATTATTTGCGCCTAACAGCGAGTTGAAAAATAGGGTTGGGCTTTTACCTTGAACAACGAAAATATAGTTATATAAAATCCTAACCTTAACCCTAACCCTAACCCTGACTGAACGAGTTTTTTTTTAGCACCCACATCTATATTTCACATTATAACGCACAAATATTAATTAGATATTTAATTTAACCTAATAATTCATATTAGCTTTTTAAATATTTCACTGTAAAATATCTAATAATTTGTGTGGCGGGGCTTGAATATAGTTATTTTTTATATAATGCAGCTCAGTAAGCGTTTTAAAAGGAAATCTGCCCAAAAAATAAAAGGTATGTTCAAC